CCGCCGAGTGGGGCCACCCGTCGGACAACATTGGCGCAATCCTTTCCGTCGCTGACTGGTTGTCGCGCACCAACGCCGCCGAGGGCAAGGCTGCGCTGACGGTGCGCGACGTGCTAACCGCCGCGATCAAAGCGCACGAGATCCAGGGCTGCATGGCGCTGGAGAACTCGTTCAACCGCGTCGGCCTTGACCACGTCATCCTCGTCAAGCTCGCTTCGGCTGCAGTCGTGTCGAAGATGCTCGGCAACACACGCGAGCAAACCGTCGACGTCGTCTCACAGGTTTTTGTCGACGGCGCCGCGCTGCGCACCTACCGCCACGCACCCAACGCTGGCTCACGAAAGTCGTGGGCCGCCGGTGATGCTTGCAGCCGCGCGGTCAACCTCGCGCTGGTCGTCAAGAACGGCGAGATGGGCTACAACTCGGTGCTGAGCGCCAAGACGTGGGGCTTCTACGACGTCGAGTTCAAGGGCCAACCGTTCAAGTTCCAGCGGCCGTACGGCTCGTACGTCATGGAGAACGTGCTGTTCAAGCTGCGCGCCGCCGAGTTCCACGCGCAGTCGGCCGTTGAGGCGAGCATCCAGCTGTCCAAGGAGATGAAGCAAGCCGGCAAGACGTCCGATGACATTAAGGCCATCCGGCTCGGCACACAGGAGGCCGGCGTCCGCATCATCTCCAAGGCGGGCAAGCTGAACAACTACGCGGATCGCGACCACTCACTGCAGTACATGGTCGCTGTCCCGCTCATCCACGGAGACCTCGAGCCACACATGTACACGGACGACTTTGCGCAGGACCCGCGCATCGACCGCCTGCGCAGCCTCATGGTCGTTGAGGAGGACGCGCGCTTCACCCGAGAGTACCTCGAGCCCGAGAAGCGCGCTATCGGCAACAGCGTCCAGATCACGTTCCTTGACGGCACGACCATCGCTCGCTCGCTTGACTACGTGAGTGCCCCGTACTGTGCTCTGTGATACCCTTCGTTGCCACGTGCAAACACGCTTTCCACGAGCAGAACCCAAGATCGGAGCTACTGCTGACCCTGCTGCTATTGCCTTTTGCCCCTACTTGCCTTAACCCTCGTACGCACAGCCCGTCGGCCACGCGCGCCGCCGTGATGAGGCGATCCCGCTTATCGCCAGCAAGTTAAGCAAGCACCTTGACGGCATGCTCGACGACACCAAGGATCAGATCCTCGCGCTGCTCGAGGACGCCAACCACGAGAGGCTGTCCAAGATGCCTGTTCAGGAGTTTGTCGACGTGGGTACCTCGAACTTCTCCCTTTCTCTGCTGATCTCTTCACGGCGCGTCATGCGCAATTCGAAGTGCGATGGCTTACTGGCTCTCATTTTTTTTCCTGTTTTGGGGACAATGTGCTTCCGATCTGCAGCTCTGGGTCAAGAAATAAGCGGAGCGAGAGAAGCTGCGCTGCTTGCCTCTTCCTCGCGGCTGGCACGTTTCCGCTTTTTCGGTCGGTCACCTTTGGCCTCTGCGTGCGCTCGTGATATGTACGTCGATAGACAGAAGGTCTCTTCCCCTTGGGGTCTCTGGAAGCCCTCATGGTCGCATAGCCGACAAAGGGGTTGCTCTGCTCATTTTCGCTCTCATGCCAGGGACGTGGCATGGCGTGGCGTATGTATGATGGATGCTAGCGAAAAAGAGATACAGCGAGACATGCGAATGTGCTATTCAGTCTGTTTGTGCACTTATCCGGCGCCAATGCCCTGGCTTGACGCTTGCTAGGCGAGGTGGGCAAGGTGCGAGGCATGCGCGTATGTCCATGTAACACTCATCAGCGAAAGAGCCGTACGCACATGTACGAAATCTCACGAGCGTATGCTTTTCGTGAGTGAGCGGTTACATACGTCATGCACATGCCCATGCTTCCAAAAGCCCCACAACCTCGCGCGGCCGGATGGTGCCACGAGGGTTTTATGTACAGCGATTCACGGGATCCGGGCGCGCATGGGCGTGAATGTGCGAAAACCCCCTCACACGGGACAACGTGCGAGTATGTTTCAGTGTGTCGTGCCCAGCCTCTCTTCCACGGTAGAAGAGACCTTGGATGGAAAGAGAGGACCGTAGAAGAAAGGTCTAGAGAAGAAAGGACCACGGTGTATGAAGTTGCATGGCGCCGTCGTTTGCTTGCTTATCGGCGCTGACGCCGTCTCCCTTGCGCCTTGCATCAAGTCAAGGTTTGCCACGCCTTTGTTGCATGTTCGACTTTGACACTACACCGTCACCCCATTGCGCTTGCAGCGGATACACCCCCCTCACCATTGAGCGGACTGCGAGCGAGGTGCGCCCATCCATCGGAAAGTCGTTCATCACCATTGTGGACCCGTGGAAGGACTCATGTATACGGTGTTCTCATCCAGACCAATCGAGAGGGCGTTGCTACTATTCATAAGCGTTTCCCGACAGTTCGGACATTGGCCAGTGCGGCAGTCAGCGCAGATGGCATCAAGCGTTTGTTCTTTCTGCTCCAACGGGATTCCACCTCTTCATGGCGGAGGGGGCCTTCATCGTTGACAATGCTAACCGTAGCTCTGGAAGGCTCCAGACAGATACATACCGCTCGACAGACCAGAATGCATTCGAACACCGCCAAGAGCTCCAGTCTGACACTCTTGGTCTTCGCCCACCATGAATCTAAGGGAGTCGTGCCGCTTACGCTTTGCCTGCCAAACAGACCTGCGACCGGACGGCGCTACGATCTGCAAAAGACTGGCTACAACTACTCTGTTACACTTGCATTCGTTTGCTCTCCCCAATGCTTGCAAAGCCTGTCCACATCCCCGCGGGAAATCGCGTCAAACAGCAACCAAAGCGGTCCGTCCAGATTGTTACCAGCTGCTCGAAACGGCGCAGGTGCTTTGTTTGCCACCGCGTCACAAGGGCTTTCTTTTGGAACATTTGATCATCTCTTTGTCAGGGCAAACGCTCTTCTGCTGTGCGGCCAAAACACACTCAGCAAGCAAGCCGAAACATCACGAAAGCTCACGGGGACGACATTGACGGATATGTTCGTCGGCAAACATTGCGCTGCTTGTCGACAGCCATAGCTTCGGCCCCGTCGTCTGCAGCAAACAAAAGCACGGTAGACGGAAGAGCTCGACGTAGCAAGCACAGAAAAGCTGCAAACACTTCCTTGGCTCAGCACCGTCGAGCTGGCGCCTTTCTCAAGCCGGTGACGCAACCTGCAGCACCAGCAAGAAACAAGAGACCGATCAGGATTGCTATGCTCCAAGTTCTCCATCCACCGTAGTCACACCCGTCTATTTCCAGAGGCCATTCCTGCGCACGAGCACCAGGGTTTCATCGTTCACTTGACCAAGATCGCAAAAGCTGGCGTGAGACGAGGGAAGGCGCAGTGGGCGGACGGATGGAGGTGAGTTTCTTGCAGGCGTCATCGAACGCAGCGCCGTGCTATGGTGGCGCCCAGTCGTTCGGTGCACCGTCGAAGATGCCTACTAGGCATTACAGCAATCCCCACGGTCAGGCGCACGGGAGCATCGCGGCTCTGCGTCTTCCGCCTATCAGAGAGACGCTCGATACCGCGCTACCCTACTCACAACAGCTCCCAGCCATGTCTCCGCATGCGTCGGCGCAACGGTCGGACCCTGCGTACCACCTCCCCTCTGTGAACCGTATTGCAGCGCCGTCGTTTAGCATGGGTCCGCTTGCGCCGACTTTCGCTGTGCCGCGCGACCCTCACGCAAGGACAGAGACGACTAGAGATTCGCACCGCTCCCACCGCACAGTAACTCTGCCGGAGCTCTCGCCCTCGTTGAGCAACAGGAGCGGGAGCAGCAGCAGCAGCGGCGGCGGACATTGGCGTGAAGACGGATCCGCATCATCTTCTGAACGGTGTCAGTATGCCTTCTCCCATGGCGCGCAAGAGCCTTACCCACGAGCCCAAGCTAGCTACGGCGCACAGAACCGGCATCTTCCGCCACCACATCCGCCCGTTTCTTTCGGCGTCAGAGGCACCTTCGGTGGTGGCAAAATGCTGCACGCTCATGCTCACCCATCTCCACCGTCACCTGGACTCCTGCGCGCTCCCAAACGCGGAAGAGACATGCGCTACACAGATGCACCGTACGCGCGCTCACCGCCACCGCCAGCTTCAGCTTCAGCTTCTACACCTGCTTCACGGGTTTCTTACTCGTCTCGACAAGACTATGTAGCATACCCTCACCACACCAAGGGCGAAGCACGATCACTCAATGCTCCATGCGACGACCATGCGCCTGGAACGACATCAGAGGGCCCAAGCCAGCCGGCACCTTCCGGCACCGCGCAGTCAGGATCCGATGCAGTGGTAACTTCGGATGCACGGACCAGCACCATTGCCGCACTTGCCGCTGCCACATCGGCTTCACTGCCCAACATCTCTGCGGTCCCTGCTAAGTTGAAAGACTCGGTCGAATTGCAGCGCACCTTGCGGCCACGGCTCGACAGTCGAGAAGGCGTGCCTGCTTGCAACGAATGCCGGAGGAGGAAAGTCAAAGTGAGTGACTCGTCTCGCTATTGACTAGCTCGCCGAAAGCGGAGATGGACGGCGCACAACCGACTAACTGCTTTGGCATTCTGTTCTTTTTTACGCAGTGCGACCGTCGATCGCCCTGCGGAAGATGCGTCGCGTCGAAGCGCACCTGCGAGACGTCGGACATGCTGATGCGCCGCGGTCCGCTGACGCGCCAGCAGAAGGAGGTGTTCGCCTCATCTGGCATCACGTACGAGTCACACAGGGACAGGATGCGCAAGAAGCGCTTACTCAGCAACCTCGCGTGGGGCGCTGCCGCTGAGCTGAGCGCTGAGCATCAGCATCCGCACCATCATCTGATGCAGCAAGGTGGGCACCTGTTGCATACGCAAGGATACGAAGTGGCTCCGAGAGCAGCTGCGACGCCGTTCAGATGGAGCGAGTCATATGCGTCAGCAGCGAATGAACTTCCAACGCAGCGGAAGGCGTCTTCGTGGCCGGAAACGTTGGTGACGCTGCCGCCGGCACCGACTCATGCGAATGGCGCCGGCGAGTGGTACCACGCATCAGAATACGACCCCGCGATGTGCAGCCCTCCCAATCGCCGCCTCACATCACCGCAATCGCACTCGATCGCCAATCTCTCACCTGCAGCTCCGTCACGGCTGGCGCCACTGTCCCACTTCTGCGGAAGCAAAGCCGATGGAGAGTCTGATCAGCACCCTCGTTTGTACGTACAATCTCCCAGCGACAACAACGATAACGTACAGCAGCAGCAGCAGCGGAGCGCCGATCAAAAGTCGCCGCTGCTCTCGCCTGCGCCTCACAACCCGCTATGCGCTGCATACTGGCACGGCCACAGCTTCATGCATGCACATCGACAGGCTCGCGAATATGGCAGCTACAAAGTGCAAGCGCCACACGGCTCACGCGATAGCCGCACCTTGCCATCGCCCGCTGGGCCGCGGCGCCGCCCGCACATTGAACCGACTCGCACGGCCGATGCACGCAGGAGCCCTCACAGGCTGCCAGACACTAGGCCGTTCGGAGACGATAATATGGGACGGCCGCTGCCGCCGCCTGCAATTCCTCCGCGTGCCGGCAGCGTCTGATGGGCCTGGGCGAGAGCCAGGGCCAGGAGCATGGGGCTTGGTTGGGTGGCGATCTCGCGTTTCCGTCTTTTGCTGACTTTTGTTTTCGCACGCTGCATGGATTGGAATTGCATTGCACATATCTGTATCAAAAGGTAACGTCACGCAGCACGCAACAATGCACGTTTTGCTTTTTTCTTGAATCGCAACCAAGGTAAAGACGGAGTGACCACTCTGAATGGGTAGCAGCGGTGTGTGAATGCCGCACGTAAATACATGCATACAAAGCAGTAGCGTGCCTAGGCAGAACGAAGTTAACCGGCTGCACGGCCAGCCCTCAGCCGAAGTTAAAGCGGAACTGCTGCTGCTGCGAGCCGGCGTGGTGTCCGTGTGCGGGGCCGCCCTGTTGAAAGAAGTGCGCAAACGGATGCCCGCCAGCGCCCCCACCGCCTCCTCCACCGAACGGCATGCCGCCGGGCCCGGTCTGGAAGACGAACGGGTTGCCATAGCCGCCCTGCTGGCCCTGTTGGCCCATCGGGTCGTTCGGGTCGTCCCCAGCATCATAGCGTGTGCGCAGCTCATCGTCGCCAAGGACGCCGAAGGCCTCGTTGATCTGCGCCATCTTGTCCTGGCTTCCGCCCTTGTCCGGGTGGTGCTCGCGGGCGAGGTTGCGGTACGCCTTCTTGATCTCGCGCGCGTCGGCGCTGCGCGGGACGCCGAGGATGGCATAGTAGTCCTTGGTGTTGGCGAGCTTGAGGCGCTTCTGCGCCTTGATTAGACGCGCGTGCAGCCCGCGGTCCGAGTTTCCCGTCTTAGAGAACGCGGCGCTAAAGTCGCGGACGGCGTCCTCGTGCCGCTCGTGCGCCATGTGCTCCTCGCCGCGCGCGGTGAGCGCGTCAATGTCATCTGGATCACGCGACAGGACCTGTTGGCAGAAGGGCATCGCTTTTGCGAGCTCGCTCAGCTCGAGGTGCGCCTTGCAGTGTGTCTTGGTCAGACCGAAGAGCAGTTCAGACCGCGCAACGGCATCGTGCAGCAGCAGCGGGATGAGCGGCTCATCGCCCTCGAGTGCGGCGCCGCCATGCACGGGTTTCATCAGCTCATCGCGGATGTACGCCTCAATCTCCTCCCGAATGCTCAGCCCGCCAACCTTGCCGCCCTTGAGCACGCTCGAGACGGCCCTCCAGTTGCCACCCTCACGGAAGTTGTGTAGCTTCTTGAGGGTCTTTTCGTATGTTTTCAGCTTGCGGTGCGCCTGCGCGCAGCGCTTATTGTCCGGATCCGAATGCAAGCATGTCTTTAAGTGCAGCTTGGCTGCGTCCACGTCGGATTGGATGTAGAACGACAGTGCCGAGAGGCGCAGGTGCAATGAGGTGGATGGTGTGAGCTTTGCTATGCGACTGTTCCAGAAAAGGGGTAGGTGGTATCGTTGGTGAATAGGCAGGAATATCAAGCTTTGGCTCAGCAGGACACCTACCTCCAATCCGCCGTTGCATCCTCCATATTCCCACGCCAGAGCTGGCAGTCTGCTCTGAACTTCCGTGCTTGCAAGTGACTCGGACTAACTTCCAGCACGGCTGTTGCTGCCTCTACACACTGCTCTGCCTTTTGCTGTAGCGAGCTGTCCACCTTGACCGCTTGGCTGGCTGTTTCAGGATTCTTCTTGAGCGCCTTGGTTACGGAAGCTGCACCTGCCTTGTGGGCAGCCTGCATTTCCTTCTGCTTCTGCAGAGCCCACGAGATATCTGCCTGCAGTTTTTCCGCCTCTTCCGCCTCCCTCGCTTTGCTCGTGCTGCTCCGACCGAGGAACTTGCCGACGCTCTCCTTTGCCTTGCCCAGCTCTCCCTCCTTGGCAAAGACGCGTGCCTTTTGCAGCCATGCAGTAGCAAAGCTTGGGTTGAGTTCGAGCAGCTTTTCGAGGTCGGCCAGCGCCGAGCCGGTGCGGCCGAGGGAGAGCAAGGCGGTCGCACGGCGATAGTAGGTCAGGTAGTCGCTTGGGTCCAGCGCCAGCGCCGAGTCAAAGCTGGACAGCGCGTCAGCATAGCGGCCCGTGGTGAGGAAGACGTTTGCCTCGGACAGGAGCTGCGAGTGTGTCTTGCCCTCGGGAGAACGACTACCCCCCTCAGTGGCGGCGGCGACGTTGCCCAGGACGGTAAGCGGGCCGAGGAGGACGAGGAGGGTGTGCAGCAGCAGCCGTGGGTTCATGGCTTCGCAGAGCGATGGGTTCTTCCGTTATCTGTTCGCACACCGCCGTGCGGGCCCTGCTGTGCTGATGTTGCAGGAGGGTATCGCCTTTGCTGCAACGTCCACTGTATGCGGGTGTTGTGCGTGGTCAAAGTACAATACATATAATAACAATTGAAGGATTGGGGTACATACCGACCCAGCAAGCGTGCGACGTGGAGAGGGCGGAACGGGAGCCAAGGCACCATCGGATGTCTCATACATTACAAAGCCGAATGATCCGCACCACACTCGAAATGTTTAGACGGGCTGGCCAGCGCCAGCCAGCAGGCGCCATCCTCATCATGCCTGCACAGCCCACAGCATGCTACGACATACGCTGTTCTATAATGTTCCATCAATCGACGTCCAATCCCACGTGAAGGGCACAGCCATCCTCATGCTCGCTTGCGTTGCATGTGCACCCAACGCTTTTCACATATCGCAACAAACAGCGACCACGGTTTGGCTTGAACGAGCCAAGACTTGAGCAACACGCATCGCGCAGTCACCACTCTCGTCGCGCATCGAACCCCCTACGCTACGCCCGCCACCCCACTCCCAAGCCGCACCAACTAGACTCATCCGCCATGTCTACATCAGCCTCTGCACCCGGATACGTGCAGGAGCCGCCTGCGTACGGCGCCGCACCCTCTCCGCCTGCGCACAAAACGACGCACGCCGGCAGATACCAGTCGGTCCCGCAGGACGACGAGGAGGCTGCGGCTGCGCGTGCCTTTGTAGGCAGCGACGAGGAGGACGTCGGACGGCCGTTTGGCGTCGGCCTGCCGGTGGCCGAGCAGGACGCTACCATACGCTCAGCATTCATCAAGAAGGTCTACTCGATCCTCTTCCTGCAGCTGCTGCTCACCACCGTCGTGTCCGCCGTGCTATCGACGCAGAATATCAGCGCGTGGGTGCACACGCACCAGTGGGCGTTCATCATCCCGCTCATCGGCTCCTTTGTGTCGATGTTCGTGCTCTTCTGGAAGCGTCACTCGCACCCACTCAACCTCATCCTCCTCGCGCTCTTCACTACGCTCGAAGGCCTCAGCATCGGCGTTATCGTCAGCTACATCGACCAGACTGTCGTCCTGCAGGCGCTCATCATCACCCTCTTCACCTTTGCTGGCTTGACGTTCTTCACTCTCTACACCGACTGGGACTTTGGCAAGCTCGCACCATACCTTTTCGGCGGCCTCCTCCTCCTCGTGGGCGTGGGCTTCGTGCAGATGCTCATCCCCTTCTCCCGTTCTACCGACTTGGTCTTCGCAGCGGGCGGCTGCCTCATCTTCAGCGGCTACATCGTCTACGATACGTGGCTCATCACCAAGCGCCTCAGCCCCGATGAATGGGTGCTCGCCAACATCTCGCTCTACCTCGATATCATCAACCTCTTCATCAACATCCTCAGGAGTGAGTGCTCATACCTCCATGCCGTGGTCCCGTTGAGCGTCTTGTTGATCATTGTCTTGCTTCCGGTGCCTCCTGCTGAGTAGTCCTCAATGGCAATCGCGATGATTAAAGCCCTATCTAACTGCTCGTACTCGCGCCTCAACTCGGTTCATTTTCTGTAAAATCTCCGCATGTACCATAGCATCATTGCATCCAACTTGAACATCACGTGTGCGTACAAGAAGACATCATCCTCACCATCATCCGCCACCATCTCATCCGCAGTGCATACCATAAATAGCTTCGCCAATTCCCTTGAGTTTGGTCAAGCCTCCCGACTTGAGAGCGCTCGTGAACAAAGGCGTCACAGTCAACGTCTTGTTTACCCTTTGCTACCATCTTCGATGCGGTACCGAGTGACATTGTGCACGAACAAGAGAGCCGAGCGAAGCAGCGCTCTTACCGTGCAGGAAGTCCAAGCGTGCAAGGCCACTTCACATGTGACCGCATAACCCACAGGCCACAAGTCATCAACAGCGACTCCTCCACCCACGCGCCATGTCAGCTGCAGGTTTAGATTCAGCAGCCGGCTACTTGCAGGAGCCCACCGCACACGGCGCTGTAGTCCCTTCGCCTGCGCCTGCGCAAGAGAAGACGCACACCGTCGGATACCAGTCCCTTCCCCAAGGTGAGGAGACTGACCCAGGCGGACAACCTGGGGGGAAGCACGTTATTGCGGGGTGTAAATGCCATTCCACGTCATCGGCCAAGCAAATGGCGACGATGCGCTCATATCTGAAGCCAACAAGAGTGCCCACGCTGACGAGCTCGTGAGCCTTGTGCTCGGCTTCGCCTTGCACGCCGTGGTGCACTTGCCTGGGCCCCTTGACATGGGTCCATCCGAACCACTGGCACTTCATCGCCCTGCTCACCAGCACCCTTGTCTCGTTGCTCGCGCTCTTCTGGAAACACAACTCGTTCCCGCTCAATCTGGCCTTGCTCGTGCTCCTCGGCCTACTTGAGAGTTTGAGCTTGACTAGCCACGTCAGACACCCAGACCTGACGTGGGTCGCAGGAGGGGTCGCTTGCATAGACTGGACCTTCCCCAGGCGGCGCCTCGTTCCTTTTAAACGCACGCCGACCTCAGCAAGCTTGGCTCGGGCCTCCTCGTCCTCGGCGGTGCCGGCTCCGAAAAGCGCTCATCCACTCAAGATCCACCGACCTCATCTCCGCAGCCGGTGGCTCGCCCCTCCTGTGCCTAAGGTGTCGAAGACTACTTGCCCGTCGCCAAGGGCGCTTAAGGGCAGGTGAATGTTCAATGCTGATAGCTGGCGACACCTATGGCTCCCTTCGAGCTTCTTTCCGACTGCTCACTTTCATGCTGCACGCTTATACCCGCATGTATCCTAGCAAAGTTGTATCTATCTTGGATATCAGATGTGCAAACGACACGACGACATCTACCTTCCCGGGGAAAATACTGCCCATGAAGACGCTGGAACCATCATCCTGGGCGCGAGCCCTTTAGCAGCCATCTTCCTGCAGCCCACGCCCCAGCCGAGAGGCCCACAGCTGCCAGGCCTGCGGCTACCTCGACGGCGGTCTTGACGACGTCGTTCTGCCAGTCGCGCCGCTGCACCACCGCGCTGTAGCGCTCGTTGGAGAACGTGACCATCGAGTACAGGCTGCGCCACCAGCCTTTCGGCAGCGTGCGCATCAGCAGGCCGTCGAGCTGCATGCGCGCAATGTACGCCGACGAGACGACGCGCGACGACATCTCGTTGTAGTTCTGGATCGCCAGGCTACTGATCGCGACCAGGTCGGACCGCCGATGCGACGAATATGCGTTAAACGCCGTGCGCAGGGCGTGCCGGATGGCGTGCATGTCCGCGGCGGTGGTGGGCGCAACAACAGCATCCTCTTGCTCCACCTTGGCTGCTGTTGCGCCAAGGGGCATCTCCTTTGCTTCGTCGCGCCAGACGCCTTCCCCACCCTCTTCTAACACAATCGTCGGTATCATCAAAGGTGACACGCGCGTCCCTGATCCTGAGCTTGCTGTTTTGTCATCGCTGTCAATGCAAGAGCTAGCCGTCGAACGCTCCGCCGCAGCGCTACTGCTGCGCGCAAACAGGCCAGGGTCACCTACTTGCGATTGTGCATGGTTTGCATCCGCCTCTTCTGTACGCGCTTGCGCCAGCACACCCTCTTGCGGCAGCATCTGGTCGATGTACTGGAGCATGACCCGCACGTCCTCCAATCCGCAATTGAGGCCCTGTCCATAGAACGGCACCATAGCGTGTGCCGAATCGCCCAGCAGGATCGCGCGGTCCTTGTACGTGTACGGATTGATAGAGACCATGCCGAGGTTGCTGGGCTTGCGGCTACTGAGATCGCGCACGAGCGCCGCGGGCGAGATGAGCGGCAGCGCATCGGGGAAGTGGCGCTGGAAGAAGTCGATCATCGTCCGCGGCTGCACATCTGCGCGGTCGATCTGCTCATCGTCTTGCAGCACCGATCCGTCGTCGCCGTACAGACATGTAGGCGACAGATGCCGACGGAAGACGTTGAACGGCGCAAAAAGCGTGCAGGTGAAGCTGCCATCGCGGTTTGGCAGGGCGATCAGCATGAAGTCATGGCGCGGCCAGATGTGTAGGTGGTTTGGATCCAAAAGGAATTCATCATCATCCGGCATCCGTTTCGTCGCCCCGGCACGCGAGTACCGCGGGACATGTTCGCGAACGCCCGCATCAGGGTGATCACTGCGCCGCGGGATGCTCAGCTCGACATAGCCATTGTCAATGTAGGACTGGCTAAAGTCCATGCGCGGCACGAAGCGCACCATTTCCCCGCGCAGCTTGCTGTGGTGGCCATCGCAACCGATGACGACGTCGCACTGCTTGAGCACTGTTTGCCCGTGAGTGGCAAAACTTGCCCCGTTCGATGCGCCAGAAGCGCGTGGGGGACGCGTTGCAGTGCTCTCGAACAGCAGCTCCACCATGTATGCTGAACCTTGCTCATCCTGCGGAAGAGCGTGCTCCAGATCGGCGCGCAGCAGCTTGTACTCGAAGAAAACGTCGATCAACGGATGTCGTGCCGCCTGGTCGAGAAGAAGATTGTTCAGGCGCGCTCGATCGACACTGTTGATACACTCTCCAACGGTGCTGTAAGCCTGCGAGAGGAGCTTGATGCCTAAAGACGATGGGTGCACACGCGCATGATCCAAGTCTGACGAACTGCTGGAAGCGCCAAGTGAAGTAGGTAGAGTGTGGATCATGCGTGCGCACATTGGCACTGCTTCGGAGAGGATGATGTCCGCAAGGTCATGCTCTAGGTCCCTTCCTTTGCACGTTCCTTTGATCGGTGAAGCGCCACCACGCCATGGCCGGACACTGCGCAGACCCGTCAGTCCTCGCGTGCTGATGGCGAGGTTGATGCTTCGATGCGCAGCAGGTGCAGTAGCTGCGGGATTGCTAAGTTGGGGATCGGAGGAGATAGCCCCGGCTGGCAAGTTGCTGTCGGCAGGAACAGCAGCAGAGCCTTCCGCTACTTGGACACCTTGGAAAGAGCTTTCCACCGGCGCCGACGTGTCGTCCTTCCATGACGAGGTAGAAGCATTGTTTGCTGTGGCCGATGGAGGACGAGGGTCGCGACGGGAGTCGAAGACTTGGACATGGCAGCCTCGCTGTGCGAGCCCGAGCGCTGCCAGGCAGCCAACGGGGCCAGCGCCGACTACTATGACTTGCAAAGGCATGCTTATGATACCTTCTCTCAAGAGAGGTTGGGCAAGTGAGTGTGAAGATGTGAAGAGGCAGGCTGCCCGAAGCGACCCGTATTCAAATCAGGGCTGCGGTGAACCGGAACCCTACCAAAAACCCTAGATCCGGGCCGGAGATAATCGTGCACAACACCGCACACAAAGTTAAATATGCGCACAGCAGACACATATGGGCGCCCCAATCTGCCCAGCTCCATCGGTGCCACGTTCTGGCAGAAAACGGCGAAATGCCAGCGGGCGTCGGAATCTTACCACAAAAAATGCTTCTGCAGAAACATTGTGTCGAATGAAGCCCACAAAGTCCCTCCGTGGACACGCACCTCTGCAGCACATCTACAGCCTACCACCAGCAAGCGACCGTCAAAACGCCCATAGGTTTCCTGTCAACACTGCGACTACATTCGGGCGTTTAATGGGTCAGAGCATGACAGACACCAGCCATTCGATATCTTTGACAACATACCAGTGTCATCTTTGTTCCCTGCCCAGATTCCACGGCAAAGTACTCAGCGTGCCTGGCTCATGCAGACAGGATCGGAAACAACTCTTTACTACAGCGCTTCAACCTGCTTTGGCGCATCTCACTTTCTCCAAGCTGCTCAGCGGCAGCATGCCTCATAGCGTTGTCTAGCCCTGCCATTGCTCGGTCTACTATTCAGGCTTGTTGGAGAAATGAGATGAGACAGATGGCGGGGTGGAGCTGTGTTCGAGTGACGGAGCCCCGAGGAGACGTGCGCGAATGGAACCGAAAGCCATGCATGCAGTTGCTGCTTTCCGCGGGCCGTTTTCATGTACGTACGTATGGAAAAATATACACCGCCAAGCTCACACCCGCCTTCTGCGGTGTGTGGCGCGCGTTTTCCGATGTCGAGAGTTCTGGTCTCCATTCTTGCCAAGCCCCAAGACAGTCCAGACAGCGAGTAAGGAATTGTGCTCTGCATATCTACTCCCGTTCCCGGTTGCTCCCCGTCGCAGGACCGTGGCAAGGGCGCACAAGTGCCAATTGATCCACTACACGGGCGAAAAGCAAGACACGTACTGTAGAGAGTGTTGGAGCTGATGGTGATCCTGACCAGTATAAATGGGAGCCAGCTTGCGTGACGTTACGCTGCGACTTTCCCTTTTGCGCTCACCACTTCCAATCTCCTTTATCGGTGCCCATCCAGCGCAAGATAACCGACGCTCGGCGCCCCTACCCCTCCCTCTTTTGCACATCAAGATGGTCCGCCTCACCGCCTTGCCCGTCGCACTGGGCCTGCTCGTGCTCAGCGCCATTGGCTCCGTCTCTGCTGGCCTTGCGCCTCGTGCAGCAGCCGACAATACAGTGCATGTGACGTCTGCAAAGGATCTCTGTCTCATCCTGCCACGGAGTAAGCACACCAACATCGGTGACTCCGAGCATCCAGGCGGTATGAGGTCCTTCTGCAACAAGCCATACGGCAACCAAGGCCAGGTATGTAACAACTGTGCAGACGTTGGTTGGCGCTCAAACTCAATGCACACCCACTGACTCACGTTTTGACGTTGAATTTTTTTCCTTCCAGCTTCCTAGCAACTTCTGGACGGAGGCACATTTTTCGAGCAAGAACGGTCGCAGCGGCAAGCGCCAGGTTCAAGTGACCGGCTGCATCAACCCGCGCTCCTCTTCGCAGCTCAATGCGAACGATGGTGAGCGAATGGTAGACATGCTAATGGGCGCATGCGCGATCAGGCATTCGCTGACGATCGAGATTGCTCTTCTCCTTTAGGCGGCGGTCAGTACGACAGCTCGGGAGGTGTAGGCGGTCGGGGTAACCCAGAGGTGTGTGCATGTGCGGAAGAAATAGACCCTCTGTTCGCAAGCTGAGCTCAACCCTTTGTGCACTTTCCTGTGTACTCGATCCGCAGGGTTCCGTCTGCACTGGCTACAAGCACTACGTCGAGATTGTCGAGCCAGATGCGCGAAGTACGTTCGCACGCATTACGCTTCGTGTCTCTATCCACGCTAACCCCCGTCTCTGGTCCCATGATCTTGACAGGAGCATGCATCCGCTGTTGCGACTCGATGTCGGACTGTGACGTCTCGCGCGACACAGCTGGCTGCCCAACGGTCATCCCTGGCAACTATGGCAGCTGTCGCTGAACGTGAGCGCTCAGCGCGCCCACCACGGTTGCCCATCTAGCATCGAAAGGGCGCCCTCTTGATACTCGCGTATCTTTATTTCATTTCGGGTTCGATCTATAACACTTGAGCTCGCTTCGCTTTGCTGCATGTGCATCTCCAGTCATCACGCATCACGTTTCCTCCACGCACTTGCTGGACCGGGGGTGTCGGTGGATGCCGGATGGCCCAAAGCATTGTAGATATTTGTGGACATGGCGGTTGTGGCTCAGTACATACTTGCCGTGCGGCGACCCTTCCGTCTTTGTGTATGATGCTATGTACTTCCGATGAGGCGATGAGGGGGCTGCCTGATGTGCAGCGCGGTCGAGAGCAACGCAGTCCGAGGCATGTGCCAAGAGTTGCGCCAAGGTACGAGGAGCGACGAGCGCGCGAGTGTGAGTTGAGCGTTGCACCGAATATAAATACTAGCCGTGTAGAGACGTGGATCAACACTGCGGAACGCTCACAAATTTTTTTGACGCTCGAACCTTCGGCGAGAGTGGTCGCAGCATCTACTGAATCTGGTTACGTTCTGAGAGGGCACAGAGCATACGTTTTGTGCTTCGTCCTTCACAACAATCACACACTGAGCTCGGTCGTTGCCAAAGCTCTTGCACATCAGGAGAAGGATTATACATTCACAATGGCTGCTCCACCTGTCGAACTTTTCGCCTTGCGCCTGGAGCCAGGCGAGCCGCTCCACCTGGACCCAGACCGCGACTTTGTCATCACGAACATCTGCTTTGCCGACGATGAGGGCGCAGAGGACCTGCCGGAGGGACAGACGACCATTGTGAAAGTACACCATATCCCTGTGCAGGCGCCATTCGGACTCGACGACATTGACGAAGACGACAGCGATTTTGACGACGAGGAGGACGATGACGAGGAGGGAGAGAGCGACGAAAGCGGCACCGCCGAGGAGAAGCAGGAGAAGAAGGAAGCGCAAGAAATTGCTGTTAATGGCAGCATCAAGGAAGCCGACAAGGCTCCAGCCGATGGAGAGAGTGATGATGACGATGATGATGATGACCTGCTTGATCTCGACGAGATCGAGGAGAAGGTCTTCTCCCTTGCTCGGCTGACGACTGGTCGGGTAAGTACACGCTGCGTATGTAGCGACCGTCAGTGCAAACAATTGACGCGGCTGATCCATTCATCCAGGTCGAGCAAGTCACTACATCGCTTCAAATCTGCTCAGAGGAGCTCATCAGCTTCAGCTTGGCAGGCAAGAACCCGCGCCCGGTCGACTTGCTCGGCTCGTATCTCGCTCCGCCCGAGTCGTACAACACCGAGCCCGACTCGGACGAGGAACTGCTAGATGACTACTCGGACGAGGATGAGGAGCTGGACAGCGACGAGGAAGACGAAGACGAGGAAGACGAAGACGAGGAAGACGATGAGGACGACTCGGATCCCGAGGTGGAAGAGTTTAGCAGCGACGAGGACGCAGACGGCGTCATCGACCACGACGAGCTGGCTGCGCTGCTGATGGGCGGCGGTGATGATGACGACAGCGACTCGGCAGAAGAAGCGCCAGAACGCTTCCAGGAAATCAAGGAGAAGCCCTCATCTGCGGCCTCTAGCAAGGGTAAGAAGCGCGCCCGCACAACGGAGGATGACTCGGTCGACGCCGAGATGGCGGACGCGTCGGTTGACGTGCCTGTCTCGAACGAGGAGCTCAAAGCCGCTGCCGCCGCCGAAGGGATCGACCTGGCGAACCTGAGCAAGAACCAGCGGAAGCGCCTCAACAAGAAGCTCAAGGCACAGGGAGGCGCTGCCGTTGCCCCACCTCCTGCAGCAGCAGCAGCAGCTGCTGATGCTGTTACTGCAGCAAAGAAGCCTGCGAAAACGGAGGCGAAGCAGGTCAAGATCGCCCCTACCGCTACGGACAACAAGGGTAATGTGCACAAGGTCGCCGCAGAGGCGCAGCAGGGCGGCAAGAAGACGACGCTAGCGAACGGTCTGGTTATCGAGGACAAAAAGACTGGTGCGGGTCCGCAGGCGAAGCCGGGCATGAAGGTCGGCATGCGGTACATTGGCAAGTTTAAGGATGGCAAGATCTTCGACAGCAACACCAAGGGCGCGCCGTTCAGCTTCCGCCTGGGCAAGGGCGAGGTGATCAAGGTGCGTGTGTGTGCCTGCCTGGCGAGAAGCCCAGGAGTTGGCTTGCGAGCGGGATGACGATGCCGAGTTGACACACACTGACCCCATCATCTTTGTCGTCGTCGTCCGCGAACGTGATCGTTCTGCTTACAGGGCTGGGACGAAGGCGTCAAGGGCATGCAAGTCGGCTCGGAGCGCCGCCTGACTGTGCCGCCTTCGCTGGGATACGGCAGCAAGAAGACGGGCCCGATCCCGGCCAACTCGACACTGATCTTTGACATCAAGTGCGTTAACCTCAAGTGAGCGGGGGGTAGTCATGCTCCAAAAGAAAAGATGGAGAGTTTCCATTTCTTGTGTTCTTAGATAGACAGCCCTCTTTTGGCATGCGGTGCCGCATCCTGTACCTGCTATGCTGTGCTATGCTATTCACTCCACTTTGCTCTCATATGTGCCTGCACCCAACTTGCCCTCGAGGGAGAAGAGCAACGGCAAGTCCGCGCGTAGGCAGTGTACACCCACAACCTAACTTGGGGCGGTGCGCTGCACATCTTCCATTGTATGGACACTCGGTGCATGGCTTGGGGCATCGACCCTACTACACACGGTAGAAGATATCAGGCCATCGACACTGGACGCTGAACAGGTGAAGTATTGCCTTCTTTCCTCCCGCCCGAGGTGCTGTGCGTCCACACCGCACCGCGCCTCTGGGCCGTGGGGAGAGATGAAAAGCAAACAAGCAGTAAATACATTTAGTGCGGTGTTTCGGGGACGATGTTCTCATCGTTGTCGTATGTATCGTGTTTGAACGCATTCAGGACCTATCCTAGTCGCTGGCGATCCCTCTATATATATATATCAATGTGGTAGCAGCCGAGCACATGCTATCTCTCTGGGCCGCAGCACGTAGCAGAGCAGAGCACGGTGGCGCTCTCCGTTCCGCCCGTCACGCCACACGCGCGGGGAACACAGTCGTCTGTCAGCGTCGCGCGGACTTGCGGAAGAGAGGCCGTAATGAACTGAGGTGGGGACCACACCCACCCTCGATATTTATATTCATCCTGTTGGATTCTTCCACACCTTCTCCTTCCTGCATCCCGCATGGACATATTCCTGCATTCCTGCACCCCCGGTCCTGTTGCAGCTCGCTCTTTTCCTTCTTGGCTGCTGCTTGGGGTCGAGCCGTGTGGCACACAACCCTCCCGCAGCAAGAGCGCACCGCAGTCCTCTCCCCAAGAAGACTGCTAGGCTAGGAACAGCCGAGCCGCCGCTTGTCGTTTGAGGGCATCCTCCGCCCTCTTCTCCCCGCTACGCCTTTCAGCCTCCAGCTGCCACCTGCAGAGGAGAGAACGGCTGGTGTGTGGGTAATCGAAACTGCAGAATTCGTCCGGGCGGGCACTTCAAGGCACCCACTCGCTCCTACAGGCTCTTCTCCACCACCACCGGTTCGGCCCTTTGGTCTCCGCTCCACAACTGTCCAGCATCTGCATCAGCGTCAAACGTCGTCCAACATGCTCGCAAGCAACGGAATTTCGGCTGCCGAGCTGCAGCGCCAGCACATCCTCCAGCAGTTGCAGTCGCCATTTGCCAGCGAAGCAGGTGCGACTTCTGCGCAGGCTACTCCCATGGCGGATCCATTCCCATCGCTCGGCGACAACGATGCGGACGTCCACTCGGGTGCCGATCCCAGTTGGGGTCCCGGCGCAAGTGGTAGCGGAAGCACCAAGGCTACTGGCTCGTCTCAAAATGCCGCTAACGGTTCTTCCAAGGAGCAGCAGAAGCAGCGTCAATCCCAGCCTGACTTGTGAGCAGCCAGGGAAACCCGTTCCTCTACTCGTCTCACCGACATATCGACAATGCCGATCCGAGTATATGCTGACCGCTTGGTGCCCCCCGTCGCGATTGCCACAGCAACTCGGAATCTGCGTTCCCCACTCTCGGCGCTGCGGCCGCAAAGCCCGCCGCGTCCTCGTCCTGGTCCAGGAAGCTGAGCACGGCGGGTGGTAGCAACGGCAATGCCTCCTCCGCCACAGCTGCTTCTGCCCAGCAGCCCCCGGCTTCTGCGAGCCAGTGGCACTCGACGACGCCGGTGATCCAACGGAATGTCGTCAACGAGACCTTCTCGTTGCCGTCGTCACCCGAGTTGGTCAGCAAGCTGCCGGGGGTGCTCACGCGCATCCGCGCCAAGTTTGGCGGACCGAGCTCCGCCGTCGGCGCCGGCCTCGGCGCTGCCGCTGGCGCCGTCACGATCGAGGCGAGCACGACGAGGAAAACGAACACCACCACGTTCATCCTCAAGGGCAGCAGCGAGAAGACCATCAAGGCCGCCAAGAAGGAGCTGAGCGTCGCGCTCGCGAAGTCTGTGCGTGCTCGCTCAGTTTTGAAACCAAACGCACAGATGCGAGGAACCTTGTACTGACACTCAGCTGCACTCGCAGGTCACGCTCACCATCATGATCCCCGCCTCGCTGCGGGCTTTTGTCATCGGCGCCAAGGGCAAGAACCTCAAGACGATCACCGATCAGACGGGCGTGCGCATCAACATACCCAAGCCCGACGAGGGCAGCGGCGACGCTGCTGCTGCTGCCGCTGCCAACGGCGACTACGACGCCGACGAACAGGTCCCCGTCACGATTGAGGGCGACGAGATCAACGCGCGCAACGCCCAGAGCATGCTTCAGGCCATCGTTGCTGAGCGCACGTCCAAGATCACCCAGCGCCTCTCACACATCGACCATGTCTTTTACCCGTTCATCGCTGGGCCCAAGGGCAGCAACGCCGCTAAGCTCGAGCAGGATGCCGCGCTCGGTGCCGGTATCGTCAGCGTGCGTGTGCCCCCACGCGCGGCGTTCCTGTCCACTGCGACTGCCTCCTCCAAGGAGGGCAAGGAAGGTGCTGGCGAGGAGCGCGGGCGCGATCTGAGCATCATCGTCACGGGTGACCGCGAGGCCGTGGCGCGGGTCGTCGCAGCAATCGAAGCGCAGGTGGACAACATGCGGCGCAACCTGCGCACACTGGCCATCCAGATCCCCAAGCGGCAGCACCGCTTCCTCGTCGGCGACAATGCCACCGAGGTGCTTGCAACGACCGGGTGCAGCATCGAGCTCGCGCCGATCGACGACCCGAGCGACAGCGTCACGATCCGCGGGCCTGCGCCCAGCCTCGCCGGCGCGCTCACCGCCGTCATGCAGAAGGCCAACTCCGTACAGGTCCAGACCGTCGATCTCGTCGCCGCGCACCGCTCGATCGACCACGCGCGCGACCTCGTCCGCTGGTTGTCTATCGGTATCGCCCCCAGCCGCCTGCCGCGCGGCAGCGCCGGCGGCGTGCAGGTATTTGCGCCGCGCTCCGCGCTCCTCGAGACCACCGGCCAGGCGGCCATCGAGATTGTCGGCGGCGACGCCCATGAGGTCGGTGCTGTGCGCGACCACGCCGAAGAGCTCGTCCGCCGCGTCTCGCCTGCGTGCATCGTGCGCATCGACATCGACCCGTTGCTGCACCGCCACATTATCGGCAAGAAAGGCGCCAACCTTAAGCAGTACGAGGTAAAGGGCGTTGACCTGGTCTTCCCTCCTGCCTCCGAGCACGGAGACGGCTCGGCGGAGGTGCTGCTCGTGTACAGCAGTGGCGCCGCCGCCGCTGGTGAGTCAGACAAGAAGGCGCGCGACGCGCACGCGCAGCACGTCCTCGCAGACGTCAAGGCCGACGTGCTGAAGGCTTCCGTCCACGCGGCCGACATCCACAGTGAGACGCTGCACATTCCACAGAAGTTCCACAGGCACATCCTCGGCCCCAACGGAACCACGCTCAACGCGCTCATTGGCGAGGAGCGCAACGTCGCTGTCAAGGTTGGCCCGGGTAAGGGCGCCGCTGCTGCTGCGGGCGTCAATGGCAATGGAAAAGTGGATGGCGAGGACGCAGTCATCGTGCGCGGCCCGAGCGCCGAGGTGCAACGCGTCGTCCAGGAGCTGCAGCGCATCGCGCAAGAGGCAGAGCAGGACATCATCGTCAACGGTCATGTCGCCGAGTTCTACGTCGACGCCGCCCACGTCCCGCACCTCGTCGGCAAGGGTGGTGCGGCGGTGACCAAGCTGCGCGAGGAGCTCGGCATCCGCATCGACTTTACCGATCCCGTCGCCGCGTCCGGAGGGGGGGCGACAGCGGTAGAAGGAAAGAAGAAGGGCAGCGCCAAAGCCAAGGTCACGCTCACTGGCCGCAAGGAAAATGTTGAGGAGGCTAAGAAGCGGCTTCAGGCGCAGGTGGAGAAGCTGGCAGACGAGACAAGCATCGTGGTCAAAGTGCCGGTTGCGCTGCATGGGCAGATTATCGGACAGGGCGGAAAGTACGTCACGCGCCTCCAGGAAACGTACGCGGTGCGCATCAACTTCCCCAACGCCAGCGCGAATGCTGCGGGCGGCGGCAGCAATGCGCAAAGGCCGGATGAGGTCGTCATCAAGGGTGGCAAGAAGGGCGTCGAGGGCGCGAGAGGTACGTGTTGCTCGTACTCCTTATGCCTTCTATTCTCTAGTCAAGCTAACCTTCCCCCTTTCATCCGATGCACGCTTCCCTTCAGCCGAGCTCGTCGAGCTCGTGGCATACGAGCAGGAGAATAACAACGTAAGCATGCTCAAAGTCAGCTCCAAGGCCGTCGCGCGCATCCTCGGCCGCGGCGGCGTGAACATCAACCAGATCCGCGATGATACGGGTACCCAGATCGACATCGACCGCGACGAGGCCAGCAAGGACGCCGAGCTCACCACGATCAACATCCGCGGATCGAAAAAGGCCATCGAAGCGGCCAAGAAGGAGATCAACGCCATCGTCTCCGAGGTAGACGCCGAGGAAAGCTACCGTGAGTATCCTGCAGAGCACGGGCGCTGCTATGGGGTATGAAAGTGCAGATGCTAAATATTTGCAACATGATTGAATCTGCAGGCTTGCATGTCCCGGTCAGTCTGCACGGGCAACTAATCGGGGCACAGGGCCAGGCTATTCGCGATCTGATCATCCGAGCGGGCGGCCCGGAGGACTCGCGAGCAGCGGCGCAGCACATTATTTTCCCGCGCAAGGGCGACATGGACACGGATACAGTCATCGTCCGCGGGCCGGCAGCGCTAGCCAGCAAGCTCAAGGCTGAGCTGGAGGCTGCAGTGGAGCAGGCTTCGAATCGCGCCAACGAGCTCACGCTCGGTGTCCATGTACTGCAAACCCAGCACAGCCAGCTGATTGGCCGTGCAGGGGCACGCTTGAAAGAGCTCGAGGCCAAGCACAATGTCCGCATCAGCCTGCCCGGCTCGCGGCTGTACGCTTCGGCACCGGAGGCGAGCAACCAGGCCGAGCTCGGTGACGCGGCGCCAGAGACGATTGTCAAGGTCCGCGGTGCGGAAGCCGCGTGCCGCGCAGCGATCGAGGAGATCTCGAGCTCGCTCGCATCTGCCTCGCGCAGCGTCCAGGTGCCGCGCTCTGTGCACGGCAAACTCGCATCGCCCAACTTTTTGCGCAACCTGCGCTCTAACCACGGCGTGTCGGTGGACCTGCCGCGAAACCTGCCTGCTGCTGCTAGGTCAGCGGCGAGTAGCGCACGCATCGACGCGGACGAGGCGGAGGACGAGGCTGCTGCGACCGCTGACGGGCTTGCGTTTGAGCTGGAAGAGCTCGACTTGGGTGACAGCGGTGCTGCTGATGCTGTAGTCGAGTGGAAGCTGACCGGCAAGGATGCAGCAGCGCTCGACAAGGCCGAGGCGCAGATCCGCGCCGAGTTGGCCAAGGCGAAGAGCGCGTCGCACGAGGGGCGACTGACGCTGCCGCAGTCTGCGGTGCCACGGATCATTGGCAAACAGGGCAGCGGCCTGCACGCGTTGCAGGCCGAGACGGGCACGGACATCCAGATCCCACGCGACGGCGGCGGGCTGTGCATCATCCGCGGCTCCAAGGAGGCCGTGCTGGAGGCCAGGGAGAGGATCGAGGAGATTGCGGAGAGGTGACGCACTCGGTGCAGGTCAGGGAGAGAGAAAGCCAAGGTTCTGTCCTCGAACAAACAGGCAACCTAACCAAAAAGACGAAGGGTGCTTGGCGCCGCGCAGATGTGTCGTCAGAATGGAACGTGAGGAAGGAAGCATGTATTCGTTTGCTCGTTCGACTTTCCCTCTAGCACTGCAAGTATTTCCAACGTAATGGACCGGCGCGGCAATAGCAATGGCATGGTTACCCAGATACACTCATCGATTGTGAATCACCGTGTTGGAGGCCGCATCGCCTGGCCAAATGCCATGGCCCCTGGCATGACATATAGCAGTTGCACAGTCCTGTTGCATTTTACATGGTCATATATACACATGTACTCCTCGCCAGTTGCGTGGTCTGCATGTCTCTTGGGGGGGGTCTGTTCGGCCCTGGACTGCGCACGGGCCACTGCAGATGCATATGATACTAGATCGGATCCAATTTCATTACTAGCAGGTCTGAGTGCTAAGCTGCCAGGCACCAGGCACCACAGCGCGGATCCTCCCCCATGCCACCGCACCAACCCTATTATAAAACCCGAAGAGAAGAGAGGTTGGCAGTGAGTCAACTGCTGACATCTGCTGCTGCTTACATTGGGACACCAACAAACACACAAAGGCAGCGAACTGAGCGCCGTACACCAGTGCAGACCGACCATGCTGTGGTTGCACACCAATAGGCGGCACATGGGTCCAGAGAGCTGCTTGCTCACACAGGTATATATATATATAGCATGGGCCCCTTTTCCTTTCCCTTTCGGCGCCAGCCGAACATGCAAACCCCCGTCAGCACTTATTCTTTTGAACACTTGACCCTCTCTGCTCTGCACTTCTCACTGTCGTCATGCGCTTCTCTGCCGTGTTCGGCCTTCCTAAAGTCAACAGGAAGACCACCAGCACCGACGTGACAAATTTGGTCGCGTTCGGGGCAGCTACACTGGCAACTGGAACACTGAGCTCCACGAGGCTAGCGCCGCTTTCTAGAGCCAGTACCCCTCCCCGTCGCCCGAGGGCCGCACATCGGACGGCAAGCACCTGACCAAGCTTGGCACCATCACCGATCTCGCGTCTTTAGGTTCTCCGCGGCGACGTGCGGCAACGCGCTCTGGAGCGGCGCCTCGGTCAACGACATCAAGCAGCAGATCCAGCTCGCTCGCTTCAGCACCCCTACCCCCCGGTCGAACTGCGCCGCGCTGTATGGTCCCGCGATGTTGATGGCGGCCATTTATATTGACACGAACGATATCTCCTACTTCCTCGCCGACCTCGCAGAGGCCGTCGTGAGCGTGCCGAGCAGCAAGCTGCAGCACAAGACTTCCTCTCACGGTCTCGGTGCATGCTCGACCGCTTCGTTGAGCCGCACTCGCTCTCGCTCGGCCTGAGGGGCTTTGTCCTGCTCGAGAACATCCCTCTGCAGGTGAGTACGCACGTGCCGGCTTGCCAGCGACTCCTTGGTTCTGCGAGGCCCCTTCAAGAAACAAAGTAACGAAAAAGAAAAGCTGATGTCCCGCCTCGCTCATAAAGAACACTCCCTTGAATGGCAACGCTGTCGGCTCCAAGGCGTTCGTCGAGACCATACCGTTGAACAAACAAGCTGCAGAAGTACAAGGCCACTGTGCTCGTCGGCAAATGGAATGACAGCTCGTTTATCGACGTCTTTCCGACGTATGACTCGTTGTGCGTATGCGAACAAAGCAGGTACCCGTCCTCTCGCAAGGCATTCTTGCTGACTGGCACTTTTTCCGCTCGCTACCGTCTTCTGCCTTGCAGCGAGTTCATCTTTGCACACCCAGCCGAGTACGACTTCAACAAGGCCAGCACGTACGACGTGAAGCACGGCTACTTTGAAAACAGCCTGCACCCGTCCGGTAGGGCCAACCAGATTCTCGCGAGCAAGATGCAACGCTTCCTCCTCGGCGGCGCAAGCCTGATCAGCGGCAACGGGCAAAGCGCGTGCTGGGGCGAACAGGCGCAGCCGGCAGCACGCAGCGGTGCGAACGCTTTACTTATACTTGTCTCATGTTGCTGCCTTCTGTGGGCGATGCTTTGGAGTTGTGACAGCTTGGGCTTGGGCTTGGGTGTGGGACGCCCCGAGCGGGCGCCAGCCAATAAAGCGCAGCGGCGGTGTGGGTGGCACAGACGGATTTAATAGCCGGGGCGTGGGTGTTGCGATGGCTTGTGCGTGAGAGCTCCACCCTTTTGAGATGCAATATGATGCAATATGTACATACAGGGTGACGACGACGACTTGTGCCTATATACCCAGAATTCAGCCATGCAGCAGTGGATGCGACCTCGCTTTCAAGTTGCACACTGGACGAGCTTGCATATGTGCATCTTGTATGGTGGGTGACGGCCGCTTGCCAGAGCGTTACCGGCCGTATTGAGCGCCCAGCACGCTGAGCCGCTGCAGCCGTCCGAACCGCCTTCAGCGTTTCTGTTCCACGTCCTTAATCTCAACGTACTTACATGCAGTCAGCACTTGGTCTTCGCACGGCCAGCCGCGAGCCTCCAGACCGGTATGGGTCCGTGACGCCTCTCTCTCTCTTTCTCTGTGTGCAGGTCAAGGGGTCATCATGAGCTTCATCTCGGACGCTGAGTCTGTTCTGCCGCGTGCGGTACTGCAAGCGCTCGCCGCTCTCTCTCCCTCCAGTAGCGGGCACGGCCACAAAGATGGCCGCCTCAAGAAGCTCGCTGACCGGGCCGTGACCAACTTCCTCGCGTTCGGGGTAGCTACACGGACAATTGCAATACCTGTCGCCTGATCGATGGCGCCGTGTGCCAGCAGTAGCCTTCTTTCCCCCTGTGCTCAACGGCGAAGGAGGAGCGCGCATTGGGAAGCAAGCCGTGAGTCAAGTACCTCGACAAGCTCGACCGCGTTACCGACCTCGCGTTCTCCTCAGCCACATTGCGATAACGCTCTGTGAAGACGACCCGCCGCCGAAATCATGCAGTAGTTCCAGCTCACGCACATTTGCTTCAACACCTCCGCCTCCGTGTCCAGCTTCAGCAAGCAGTACGACCCCGAAACGGCGATCGGGGCAATTTGAATTGGCATCGTAAGCTAAAAAGTACATTCTTGGATTGAGAGGACTGGTGTCGTCTGACTGGACAATCTATAAGGACGATACTTCCTACTTCTTGTTCGATACCACCGAGGCAGACCCGAGCATTCTGGAAGGTAAAGCCAAGGCACGGCGACTTCCTTGCCCCGTCTCAGCGCGTGTTCGATCGATTCGACGAGCTGCACTCGCTCGAACTGAAGAGTTCCGTTCTGCTCGAGAATATCCTTCTGCAGGTGCGTCACCAAGCATGGTCAAGCCAAGGCCCCAGCGGGGGCACGGCAATCCTTCCCTACATAATACTCTCTGCCCACTCTCGCAAAACAGAACAATACGCTCGAGACCCAAGGCGTTCGTGGAGACCATGACGCTGGCTAACAAGCTGCAGAGGTTCATGGCCGCCGAGCTTGTCAACAAATGGAACGACAGCTCTACCTTCGACTTCTTCCCGACATACGATCTAATATGCATGCACAGACCAATTCTGCCCTTATCGCTATCCATGTGTGGCCCGCGCTCGGGCGTCAGCTGAAAGGACGTACATCTCCAACTCTCTCCGTCGTGTCATTTGCCCTTCCAGGGAGTCCGTCTTCGCGCACCCTGCAGAGAACAGCTTCTAGAAGGTTGGCTCGCACGACCCGGGGCACGACTACTTTGAGGACGACCTGCACCGATCCGACAGGGCCCGCCATATCCCACGTGCAAGATGCAACTCTTCCTCCTCGACAGCACGTGCGGCGCCAGCTTGATCAACGGGACCGCATCTCCTTATTGAGCGGGTATAGACGCTCTCTATTTATGCTATATTGGTGCACAACAGGTAATGCACAGTCGAGATTGCTGGAGTGCAAGAGGACCATAGAACCCCCAAAAGGCATATGAAAGGCGAAGAAATTAGATTGGATCTCATCGATCGTACAGGAGGGCTTCAATTCTCGATCACAGCACGTCTCTCGGCCGAGAGAACATTTAGTGGACCGCTCACAGAAGCTTTTAATCAGCGTCCAAAGTCTTGTTGTGACCGTGTCACCTTCTCTTCATAATTTAATTGATCAATAAAGAGGCTGTGGACTGCCGCATTACAAACAACGGTGCTGGTTTTACGCAGAGTGCGTCTCATAACCCCTGGAGCAGTTTGAATAGGTTGCACAGTCACTTCCTCTTGACGTGTACCATGGCCTCGAAAGCGGTGCCGCTTCCAAAGGAGGAAGCGGACGAGCTCGCTCAGCTCTTCGCCGACCGCCTATCTTTCACCGGCGCTAAGGCAAAGGATCTGCTCAAGAAGCCGCCTCAAGCTAAGCTTCTGGCAAAATTGGTAGCAGGCTTTGAAATCGGAAGCAGTGAAGCGAAGAAGATCGACAGCAAAGCAGCCACACTCGTCGTAACCGCAGCGACAAATCCCACGGCGATCGAATATGAGAAGAGAGAATACATTGTCAAACGTATTCTGGATGGAAGCCTGAAGAGCAACGATCAAGTAAATGCGGCTTGCAAATTCCTCGAGGGAAACAATCTTTCGGTAGAAGACTCAGTTTTTGACCACGAGTGCGGTGTTGGTGAGTGCCACTGTTTCTCTCCACAAACCTTTCGAATCGTGCTTTTTGTGGGCGCAAGAGGATGTCACGCGGCCTCGCAGTCGTTGGAGGCGCTTTACCCTATGCATAGCGGATTAGAGTGGCATTACTTTGTTCTGCCTCCGCTCAATTAAAACAAGATACTAACTTTTATGGATGATTACGCTTTCAAGGCGTGGTGATCTCACGCGACCAGATCAAGGAGCATGTCGACTCATACATTTCTGCGAACAAGGAGAGCATCGATGCTGCGCTAGGCTGGGGCAAGCATCAACTCATCATGGCGTCACTACGGTCAGAGCCGGCACTCCGATGGGCAAACGCGCTCGACATCAAAAACGAAACAGACTCAACCTTGGAAACTCACTATGGCGACCGCAACGCCGCCATGGCGAAGCTTCGCACGGCAGAGAAGGAGGCAAAGGACAAGGCAAAAACAGCAGGGAAGGACGCAAAGGCCGCGTCCACGGCAAAGGCGAGCGACCCGCACAAGGGTGGTGTCGCCGCTCTTGCCGGCTCGGCTGATCGCAAGGACAATGTCCTGCGATCTGACGCCGAGCCGATACGGCCCGATGCCATGTTCACCGAGGGCTTCCTCTCTCGACTCCACAAGCCTGGCGAGAACCCACAATGCAAGCCTGAGCTCAAGGAACAGCACTTGAAGATGACAAGCGGACGAGTCGTTACTCGTTTCCCTCCCGAACCGAATGGCTTCTTGCACATTGGTGTGTTGATTTAGCGGTTCATAATTTTACATGAAAAGCTCATGAACGCTCTTCCATCATCCTTCAGGTCACACAAAAGCGATTGCAATCGACTTTGGCTATGCAAAACACCATGGAGGTCTGACATACCTTCGATTCGACGACACCAACCCGGAGGCAGAGGAGGAAAAGTACTTTGAGTCCATCCTCGAAGTGGTTCGATGGCTTGGATTCGAGCCTTTCAAGGTCACCTACTCAAGCGACTACTTTGATCGCCTCTACGAGCTGGCCGTGGAGCTGATCAAACGCGGCAAGGCTTACGTCGACCACTCAACACCAGAGGAGGTGAAAGAGGAGCGAGGCGGCGAGGCCAAAGGCCCACGGCATGAGTCTAGGTACAGAAATCAGCCGATCGAAGCGAGTCTGAAGGACTTTGAGGACATGAAGAACGGAAAGTACAGACCGGGCCAGTGCACGCTACGCATGAAGCAAGACATCTTGGGCAACGGGAATCCTCAAATGTGGGACCTGATCGCTTATCGCGTCCTGGATGCAGCGCATCATCGGACGGGAACCAAGTGGTGCATATACCCAACGTACGACTTTACGCACTGCTTGGTCGACAGCTTTGAGAACATCTCGCATTCTCTCTGCACGACTGAGTTCCAGCAGGCGAGGGAGAGCTACGAGTGGCTCTGTGACGCGCTCGAGGTCTACAAGCCGCGTCAGTACGAATTTGGCCGATTGAGCTTGGAAGGGACGATCACGAGCAAGCGGAAGCTGCTGAAGGTTATCCAATCGGGGCTGATCAAGGACTGGGACGACCCGCGCCTGTACACGATCATCGCTCTCCGACGAAGAGGCATCCCGCCGGGTGCACTGCTTGCTTTCGTCAATCAGCTTGGCGTATCCACCTCACCCGCGCTGACGACTATCGACCGCTTCGAGTGGACCATTCGTCAGCATCTGGAAGCAACGACGCCGCGATTGATGATGGTGCTCGACCCTGTCAAGGTCGTCATCGAGGATCTACCCGAGGACTACCTGCTGCAGATCAAGAAGCCGCTGCACCCCAAAGTAACAGAGATGGGTATGAACACGGTGCCGTTCACGCGTACCGTGTACATCGATGCCAGCGACTTCCGAGAGGTGGACTCAAAGGACTACTTCCGCCTCGCGCCGGGCAAGACGGTTGGGCTGCTGAACACGCCTGAGCCGATCACCGCTGTGTCGTACGAGAAGGACGCGTCGACGGGCAAGGTGACACTTGTGCGCTGCAAGACGGACAAGAGTGGCAAGAAGCCCAAAACGTGGATTCAGTGGGTCGGCGAGCACAAGCCAAGCGGCAGCCCTGTGGTCATCGATGAGGCACGCATCTTCCATCGTCTGTTTACTGTCAGCAACCCTGGTGCGGAGGATGACATTCTTTCCACGCTCGATCGCAACTCGCTGGAGGTGCACAAGGGCGCGATGATCGAGACGGGCTTCTGGACCGTCGCTGCGCGCGCATTCGCGGGTGCACAAGCAGAAGCGGAGGAGCGCTCGCGCTCGGCTGAGAAAATGCGCAGCCGCGAAGCGCAGAAGGAGGCAGGCGTGCTGTCCGACTTACCGGCGTCGAGCGGTGAAGGCGCGCCGAAGAGCTCGACGGGGCAGCTCGTCGGCAACGAGGTTGTGCGCTTCCAGGCGATGCGCATCGCGTACTTTACCGTCGACAGAGAGGCAGTACTGCCGGCGCTCGACTCGGCGGATAAGTTGCAGAGGCTGGCTCAAGAGGAAGAGGGCTCCGGCCGCAGTGTGGACGCCGGCAACAGGATCGTGCTGAATCGTATCATCAGTCTGAAGGAGGACAAGGCGGTCGCGGGCACAAAGTGACCAATGCGTGCCATGCGACCATGTCAGTACTCGAACAATATGTTGCATACATCTCAGTGTCAACAAGGCGTGCCTCGAGTTCTCATATGCCCTCCCTCGTAGCCAGTACATATGTATTACCTTTGATAACCTCTGACTGCTCTTTATGGCTAGGGAAGAGAAGTGGCTGCGAGGCATGAGCTGGAGCCAAGCACGAGTCAGCTGTGTGGGATGAGGAGATTTGGATCTTTTATGCTGTGGTGCGGACCGAATATGATAACCCTAATCTCGGGTTCGGGTGTGGGACCCGATTGATACATACAAGCATAGATAGAGTATAGATTTTAGCATGGATTTGCACGATGGGCGAATGGGACCGACCTGCGTAGGGAGATGACCGAAACACCTTGAGAGAGATTTGCGGGCGTCGGCCCCGGCAAGGCACTGTACGGCAGTCCCCCTCGTTCCAGTCTTCCCAGCGATCGGGTGGCGGGGGCAAGGATCAGGGCACCAGTACAGGCACGGCACTTGTCTCTTTCGCCTCGTTGCCACCCGCCAGCGGATGGTGGGCACGACGCTGTACGTTCCAACGAGAATGACGCCGCTCTGCTCACGCGCTCATCCTCACCCACTGCCCTCGTTGGCAGTGTGCTGGTTGAAGGGAAGACGCCGTGATACATGCGCTGCTGGCAGGCTCGAGCTGGTACTGGTGGTACTTGTAGGATGCAGGTTGCGAGCTGGCTTGGGCTGGTCGCCATTCTCCATCGGTTGTGGCCTTATGGTGCAAAGGCAGCGGCTGCCAGTCGAGAAGATGTGATGTGTGTTTGACTTTGCTTGTTGTCGCCCCAGGCCCGGCGTGTTCGGCGGTTGCCCCCCTCCCCCGTCAGCCGTCGATGGGAGTAAGAAGGTTCATTGTTCGACTGGAAATTGGTACGCCATCGTGTGGGAACTGTGCGTCTACGTTCGACAGTCGCGGGGGTCGTTCCAATCCAATTGTTTGCGTAGCAAGTTACGCTCTGGCCGCGAGCCTGCATCATGTGATGAACCCAAAAACAGATAGCAGCACTGGCAGCCAGCCAAAAGCTTCCAGAAGATGTCCGGTCGGCGTTATGCACGTCGCAGTCGCATACATCCCCAGGCCAAAAGTCACTCTTGTATATAAGAACTTGTGGGGAACACATCCCTCCCTTGCGTCGTTCCCTCCCCCTCAACATCCATTGATGTTCCCATACGTAACACATCTCTGCGTCTGTTTATATCCCCTTCCCTACCCGTCGATTTTTTGACTCTGTCGAAATGGCTCAAAGGTGAGTGCACCATACACAGTCCACTTCGTGGCGAGGCACGCGGGCTCAGTGTGGCGCCGACATTCCCAAGACGTTCACATCCCCGTCGCTCATCCCATGTGTTTTTCCCGTCTATCCTCGCTCTCCCGGCGGCTCTTGCTCCTTTCTTTCTCTTCCTGGTCCTAACTTATTTCATAGTCCCGTCACTCACTTCACCCTCAACAACGGGCTCAAGATCCCGTCTGTGGCGCTCGGCACCTGGCAGTCGCCCAAAGGTCAGGTCCGTGATGCTGTTTGCGAGGCGCTCAAGGCTGGCTACAGGCACATTGACTGGTAAGTGCAACGACGCGTCTCTTCTCGATTTAGCTCCCAATCTGTTCCTCCCACACGCCAGAGGGACAAGACGACCGCAGCGATTATAGTCGAGAGGATCCTCGCGTTCTGACACTGAGCATGCGCTATTTTGCTTTATTTCCCAAGTGCCTGGGGGTACCAGAATGAGGAAGAGGTTGGAGAGGGCATCAAGCTGAGCGGTGTTCCCCGTGAGGAGATCTGGATCACCAGCAAGGTGGGTGTGGTCATTATAGCTTCTCATTTGCAACATTTCAACCCTCTTTGACCTTAAAAGGTCGACGGAAAATGATCGCACTGTGGTTTTGACTGGCCTCTATGAAACGTATGCCGAAAAATATCAAATGGCTGATTGCGATCTTCTTTCCGGCAGCTCTTCGAGTTCCACCACGAGCACGTTCGCCCGGCCGTTGAAGAGTCTATCAAGAAGCTCGACTGCGGGTACCTCGACCTCTACCTCGTTCACTGGAACGTTGCGCTCGTTCCGGACGTGCCGGCAGATGGCGGCCTCCCGCGCGCGCCTAAGAAGGACCCCAAGACGGGAAAGCCGCAGGTGAATCGGGAGCTCTCGGACAACCCCTTGCCTACCTGGCGCGAGATGGAGAAGCTCGTCGACGAGGGCCTCGTCAAGAGCATCGGTATCTCCAACTTCAACATTCGCCGCACTCGCGAGCTCCTCAAGCAGGCCCGCATCAAGCCGGTCGCGAACCAGGTGCGTTTAACGAATTGGGTGTGGTCCGTCATCAACTGCTGAGGGATAACGACTAATATCCTCTCAATCTTCATCTTCCTGAATACAGGTCGAGCTCTCATTTGCATGTCCGCAGCCTGAGCTGCTCGGGTGGCTCAAGAAGCACGACATTCTCCCGCAGGCATACTCTCCTCTCGGCAGCACTGGCGCTTCGCAGGCCAACCTCGAAGTGGTCGAGAAGATCGCCAAGGCGCACGGTGTCGAGGGTGCCAATGTGCTGATCAGCTGGGCCGTCCAGCGTGGCAGCAACCCTCTGCCGAAGAGTGTGACGCCGAAGCGTATCGTCAACAACCTCAAGATCTTCCAGCTCTCCGAAGAGGAGTTCGCAGAGATGGAGAAGGCCGCCAAGAGCCAAAAGCACCACAAGGTCTGCGACCAGAGCGAGGACTTTGGCTACGACATCTTCGAGCAGAACCACCCGGAGAACAACGACATTATCCAGAGCAGGAAGGACTAAATGAACACTACAGTTCAGCATTCGCCAAGTCTGGCGCTGCTTGCGATCGTCCCGTCAGCATCCAAGGCAAAGTAGGTTTTGGGCACATTGGGTCGGTTTCGTTTTCTGCATACATGAGGTGCCTCTTCTCTGCTGCTAAGAGGTGTAAGCGGAAGACTCGTGGAGGTCCATTTTGTAGTTGAAGAACAAAATTGGCAATAGAATCTAGGCGAACCCCAGCCAAGCAGACCTGCTTTCCGTGTTCCGCTTTCTGAGATTTTTTGGCGTTCCGCGGCCATCTGTCTGTCACTCTTCTTGCAAGCAAATGAGGTTGCTAATGGTTTTGTCCCACGAGGCTTGCCAGAGGAGCTTTGGTGCCACGCGTTGAGCTCCCTTGCGGTTGGAAGCTGGAAGCTGTGGGCCTGTATCGTCGCTGTTCTGCGTTTTTTTCGGCCGTCACTGTGTATACAGGACTGAGGGCGAAATTTTTGACGCACAAGAGCCAGCAACCGCCCGGGTGCGAACTCTCAACATTGCAATCCAGAGCCTGGTCACAGCGCCGTGAGTTCACAGGCTCCTCCGTCCAGCTACAAGGACGGCATTGCTGATTCATCCTTGTTCTTGTAGCAATTCCTCAAGACGCCATGGCGGACGCCGTCGTCCTTTCACCAGAGCAGATTGCCGCACTGCTCGCACAGCAAGCGGGCCGCAGTGGCGGAGCGTCTTCCTCTTCGTCTGCGCCTGGTCCTTCTTCTGCAGGCCATCTGACGCAACAGCAGACATCAGCCTTGGTACCCGATACTTTTCGAAAGCCGCCTCGTTTCAAATCCGACCTCCGTCTCACGCAGTCGTTTGAGCCTTTCTACGCTGGTGGCAGCGGGACGGGCAACTGCACTGCTATCCTACCCGTCCCTTTGCCTGCCTCATCGTCGTCATCACCATCAAGCACAAGTACGGAGGAACGATTACTACTTTTAACGACGCTCGACGACCTCATCCTTGTGACTGATAGCTTCACGGGTCAAGTTATCGCACGGATCAATCATCATGGCATCCCTACGCAAGCGGATCCGCTCGGGCAGCCAGTTGAGGGAGACGGGGACGAACTCGCGGCTCTCACGCTCAGCAACGTTCGATGGAGTCCAGTCAGTGATGTATCTGGATCGACCGAAGATCAAGGTACTGCAGAAATCCCATCGCTTCGCGTTCAACAAACAAGTGCAACGATGGTCAGCGCGACGCGAGCGCTTTTCCTGAGATTCTACAGCGTCACTGTCACTGTCGCTGTGCCAACAGCGGCTCATGAGGGTGGAAATTCGCAGCCGGTCATCCGTGTCGAAGCACGCTTACAACGTTCCATCACACGCGCGCATGAGGCCGCTATCGTTGTTCTCTCAGCATCTTCATCGCTCAGCGCTGCACTCCGACGACGTGCACCCACCAGCGGCAGCAATGGCGAACAGCACTTGCAGATGCTCGCAACAGGGTCCTCGGATGGAACAGTCAAGGTGTGGGATGTTGCAGGCGGATACTGTACGCATGTGCTCAAAGGCCACGGCGGTGTGGTCAGCGCGCTTGCGTGGGATGTGTTTTTACCAGCAAGTGGCGTGTCAGATGCCGGAAAAGGAAAGCAAAAGGGGGAAGCCGGCCGAGGGCAGCGCCGGATAAACCTCTTTACCGGCTCGGTCGATGGACGCGTTCGATGGTGGAATCTTTTGGCGACCGCATCCGAATCATCGTCCACGCCTGGCACAAGCAAAGGCGGTATCCAGCAGAAACCGCGCCAAACGCTCGGAACACACGTCTCAGTCGTCCGCGGCCTGTCTGTCAGTGCAGACGGCAGATGCCTCGTAACTGGCGCTCGTGATCGGACTATGGGCATTTGGCGTCTTCAAGCAGCGGGCGCGAAACGGCGCGAGAGCGTACCAAAAGATTCGACGAAGTTGAAGAAGAGCAAAGCGGCGGAAGACGAGGAGATGGAATGGAAGCTTGTCGAGGCAGTCAATGCAAGCGAGTCTGTAGAGTGTCTTGGTTTCCTGCCAAGCGGCAGCAAGCTGCCAGCTCGTGCATTGCAGGCAGTAACGCAAGATCTCGACGTAGCTATGGATGGCGATGTCGAGGGCGGAAACTATCACGATACTAGAAGCGGCAAACAGCAAGAGCTGTTCTACAGCGCTGGCTCCAGCGGTAAACTGCGCATTTGGGACTTTAGTCGATCGCAGATCATCGCTGTTCAGCCAGAGGACGTCGGCGCTAGTCCAAATGCAAAGTTGGGGGGGGACGATGACGAAGACGAGGAAACAAGAGGCGTGCAGGAGGTACACCTGACGTGGTCATCAGGCGAAGAGAGTAGCGGGCAACCGGCTGGCACGCAGTTCGTCGTCGTCCATGCTGATCAGACATTCGCATTCCGTTCATGTCCTTTCACCTTCGGCGACAAGGCAAAGTTGCTGGCCCCGCTCAGCCTCACGAAGCAAATGGTGGGCTTCAATGACCAGGTGACTGATGTCGTGCTGCTATCCTCAGCGATTAAGCCCGAAGCAAATGGAATTAACAAGGCACCGGAAGTGGACACGCACCTTGCCATCGCCACCAACTCACACGCGGTTCACGTCTACACGATGCCGCCGGCAGCTTCGTCTTCAGATGCAGATGCGGCGAATTGCGCGCACTCAGTCAGCCTGCTGCGCGGGCATACAAATAACGTCCTTTGTCTCGATCGAAGCTGTGACGCGGGACTGATTGCCAGTGGTAGCAAAGACCGGACCTGTCGGCTTTGGGCGCCACTCCCAAGAGCTTATGCCTCTGTCGAGGTAGGCTGGAAGTGTGTTGGTGTGGCACAAGGACATGCCGAATCTGTTGGGGCGGTAGCCCTCGCGAGGCGACCAGCTGCACCCGCAGAAGGGCACACAGGCTCACCGCTTTCAGCATCGCCCTTCCTCGTCACCGCCAGCTCAGACCGCACTGTCAAAGTCTGGGATCTGACACCTCTCGCAACGTCCGCGTTAGAGAACGCCGAGCCGGCTCGCTTGCGATCGCTGACAACGCTCAAGATCCACGACAAAGACATCAACAGCGTTGACGTTGCGCCGAACAATGCGCTTCTCATATCTGGCTCGCAAGACCGCACTGCCAAAGTGTTCACGCTCACTTACAGCGCGCCATCGAAAGCGAATGGCGGGGCGGCGAGTGCGTCGCTCAAGCTGCTCAGCACGTGTAAAGGCCACAAGCGCGGTGTTTGGTGCGTCCGCTTCAGCCCAGTCGACAAGGCGTTCGCAACGGCTAGTGGGGACAAGACGATCAAGCTCTGGTCGCTGCAGGATTTTACTTGCGTGCGTACCTTTGAAGGCCACACCAACAGCGTGCTCCGGGTCGACTTCATCGTGGCGGGGATGCAGCTTCTGAGCACCGCGAGCGACGGCCTCGTCAAGCTGTGGAACGTGAAAGACGAGATCTGCGCATGGACAGGCGACGCACATGAAGAACAAGTGTGGAGTCTGGCTGTCACTAAGGACGACAAGCGCGTCATCACGGTCGGCGCCGACAGTATGATTCGCATTTGGGAAGACCGCACGTTGGAGGAACAGGTTGAAAAGCAGAAGAAGACGTCTGAAGAAGTTCAACAGTGAGTCCGTCTTCTGAATGATGTCAAGTGCATGGATCTTCGACTAATATGTTGTGTGTGCGCGCGCAGGGAACAACAGTTTTCCAACTTCCTCGTTGCGAAGGACTATCGCAATGCTATTCACCTCGCGCTCAACATGAACCATCCGAGACGGCTTTTGCATCTGTTCAGCACTGTGGTTTCGCAACGACCTGGAGGTGACGCAGCTGCCGCAGCCGGAGCTCTACTGGACTCTGCTCTTACAGGATCCGGTGCGCACATGCTGTCTGCAGACGCAATTCTGCGCAATGCTGGCGTGCTTCCTGCGCTCAACGGATCTTCAAATGGACATGCAGATGCGAACAAAGCCCAAGAGGACGCAGAGCGACTCAAAGACCGCCAAAGTATCACTGGCTTATATTCGGTCGACCGCATCATCGCGACCTTACCGCCATTGCAGCTAGTGCAGCTTTTGCACCACGTTCGTGACTGGAACACGTCAACTCGCACGTCCGACATTGCGCAGTCCATTCTCCACGCCATCCTGCGTTTCCACACCATGGAGAACATCATTGACGCGTTCGAATCGGTACAAGGAAAGGGTCTCGGTGGCACAACGCAATCGGGGAAAGCCGGGGTGAACATGTCTAGAGACAAGTTTTCGAAGATGGTCGATGCATCGACAATGTTCGAATCTCTGCTACTCTACACTGAGCGTCACTATTCGCGCGCGGACAGGCTCCTTATGGAAGCCGCGATGCTTGACTTTACGCTAAGTTCCATGACGGCAGTCATTGGTGAAGAAGACGAGGAAGTGTCAACGAACGAAGAGATGCAAACTTTGCAGAATGGAAAAGCCGTCAGCGACGCTTCCGAGAGCGATGAAGACTCGGACATGGACGACTGAGACAACATGTATTTCATCAGAATTTCATGCTCATTACAACACTATAAGAGGACTTCCAAGCTTGATCCGCTGTGTCGCGCACATGACGTAGCTTCACACGTCGGCTTCGAACCGACCTTTGCTGATTTTCGAGCAGAAGTAGGAATGCACGATAGCGGCGATGCTGGCGTATCCGAAAGATGCGCTTAAATGCGTCAAAGCCGAGACTGAAGACGCAAGGTTGCGGAAATGGTCAGCGACTTCGCACCGCTCGCTAAGACCAGTCGACTTACAAAGCCACTGTTTCCATGTTCAGGCGGCAGACAGCCTGGCTGTGAAGGCGTTTGCTGCGCTTAGCGCGCGCCAGTATAACCTTCGGAGCGAAATGAACTCCAGCTTTGACCAAGTTGAAGAGAAACTCGGCGCTCCAACCGGAGTTGGTCGATGACAATGAATGCAAGTACGCACGCAGCTTCATGGCCGCGACCAGGAAAGCCTGATAGATGTTCGTGGCTATTGACTGTGCGTCGTTGAGGGCAGTGTCATTGAAAATGATGTGCGCGCGACTTTTGAGCGACCTGCCGAGGAGGATCCGTCAATAATGGCGAAGCAAAAGGCAAGCTGCAGGACGAAGACTCACTGCATCAACTTCGCAAGCATCGCCTTTCCGGGCTGCTTACCTCTTTCGACGGTCAGGGTGTCGTGCATGTCTAAAGACCCGGAATGTCAGCGCCTCCCTACCCGCTGTCACTAATAGATAACACCAACCAATTTCCTTGTAGCGATCGAGATCACTGCGCACCGCCAGAGTTCTAGTGTTGACCAAGTAGCCACACCAAGGGAACCATTCGGAGAGGACGCGTGGCACGAAGCCGCCATTTTTGAAGGACAGCTGGAAATTAGTAAGCGTCTTCTCTTCCGACACGAAGCAGCCATAGTCTGGGTGCCCAGCGGACATGACTTCAACGAAGCGCTCGGCACGAGCACGGACGGTTGTAACGAAGAGGAAGTCGTCCGTGTAACGAAGGAGAAGGCTGCCAGGTTTGCGTACAAATCCCAGATGTTCCCTTTCTAGGTCTGCATAGAAAAATGAGCAGAGGAGCGTGGAGAGTGAGGAGCCTTGGGGTATGCCGATCTGTTGACGATAAAAGTCTCGACCAATCTTGACAAGGTTTCCGGTGATATGCTGCTCGAGCAGCTGAAGGACGCTCATGTGTTGTTCGTGCGATGAGATCACACCATCGATGAAGATCACATAACGCAGAGCTTCCGCCAACTCTTGTGCGAAATCTTCAAAGACGCGGAGTTGGTTGGCGGGGCTTGCATGCTTTTTGAAGTTGACCTTGACTTCGGCACCTTGCACGGCGGCTTGTGTGTATCGCTGAATATAGTAACCATCGTGCTTCAGCAACTGTCGTACGATGCTCAAAAGTCGCTCCTGGTCGATGGTGTCGAAGGCAGTGCGGACATCCATCTTGACGAAAAAAAGGTGTGGCATACGGCCTCTTTCGTCGAGAGACTTGCTTAGAATATTTGCGCGAAAGTCTTTGAGATGACGAAAGATCTCGTTCGGTCCGAGTACAGATGACGCGAATGCATCGGCTTGCGCTTTTTTCTCATATGTTAGGATGTTGAACGTGGCTTGCAAGACCTGATTAATGGAGTTGCCAAGCGGTGCGCTTCCACTGCGATCGCTTGCCTTCAACAGCATGCGCTGCTTCATGCTCTTCTGCTCACGTTCTTCCGACGTGGGCGTCTGCTTGGTGCTCCTTCGTCGCAGGTTTACGATTGCGCGCACGCCGCGCTCCTTCGGCAGGAGGCGAATGTGCGAGTAGCCAAGCTTGCGGCTCGACATGATCGCGAGCGCCTCCTTCTTTGGTACATGTGAGAAGAGGCTGTCCCTCACGCGGGCGAGAAGAGGGCCACTGAGCGAGAGCCAATCGTCTTGCCGAAAGTATAGAACACGGTTGCGGAATGCAGTGGCTTCGGTGGCGTAAAAGGTCGTCCGGAGGAGAGGTGTGAGGATCGAGTCGAAGAGATAGTATATCAGCTCGGCCAGAATTGACCGCCGCTGCAGGTCGTCCTCGCGCGTGGTCTTGGTGCGGCCCGCGGGTTGGAGCCAAGAGATATCGCTCAGCCGAATGCCTTGCAGCAATTGATGAAGTGTCACCGTTTCATAACGCCTGCCTGTCACATAAAGCTTGATGGCTGCAAACGATAATGCAAGAATGCAATCCCGTCACTCACTTTTATCCTCGGGCCTGAGATCGCCTTGAGGAGAACTCACATTTCTCCAGCACGCGCCGATTGTGCTTGGAACCAAGCATGGCATTCGGAATGATGTACCTGAACACCTGAATGGCGAACCGGGTGACCTGCGTGTGCATGACGACGAAGTGCTGAAAGACCGGCTTGGCCAGGTGTTCCATAGCGACAGCTTTCTTGACACTGTCTGTTTCTTCGTGGCCGCTTCGTCGCTGTTCGGCGCGCTTAACCTTGCGCCATTCATGCGAGGCATCCCCCTCCACTTCTGCCGCTACATCCAATTTGCTCGAGGTATCCACACCGTCGCCGTGTCCATTTCTGTCGGCGTTCCCGCATCCTCCACTGCGGTGTACATGCGTCCGATCAGGCCGATCGGCAACCTCAGCCAAGCTGCGTGCCAACAAGGTGCGCTCTTCCTGACTCATCCGCCTGGGCACCATGTTCTTCGCGCATCGGTTGAGCAGCGCGCGGTAGTTTAGGCGGTCATGCCTCTGCAACATGTGGTGAACGATGGGCAGCACCGGCTTGAGACGCCAGGGTGTCTTGAACGCTGCCGCTGGTCGCGTGCGTGCCTGTACTTGTGCGCGTGCGGGTACCCCTCCTGCTACCGTTGATGGTGGTCTTGACGAGGGGATAAATGCGGACATGCCTGCTGACTTAGGCCGCCGTCCTCGCCGTGCAACGTGGTATGCAATCTCCGCTTCGCGTGAGACATAGTCGACGAACCTTTGTGCAGTCACAAAGCCTGCACCTGCCGCGCTAGTCGGCCCCGAGCCTGCATTATCGCCGGCGCCAAGGCCTGGCCCGGCGGCGTTGCCATAACCTGATGCCGAGGTGGCGGAAGTGAAGACGTTGTGCAGGCCATACTGCCGTGGAAATATGTACTTGAGCACATGTCGTGCACGTCGCGCCGTCTGTGTCTGATGGGCGCGCCAGCGCCGGCGCGTGGTTCCAAGTCCGTCGGAAACAGCGTCACGACTGGACGCGGCTGAGGTCGTTCGTCCTAGACCACGCTGTCGGTGGCCGTTGCCACCAAAGATGCCACCACCGCCTTCAGGATGCGAGAATGCTTTCGAAGACGAGTTCAAACGTGGGAAGATGAACTTGGCCGCTGCTGCCGCGCCTATCCCCTTGCCGACACGAAGTCCACCTATGTTCTGCGAAGCGCCTACAGCTGTGTGCGGGTCTGAAGAGTAGCAGTGATTGACCATGCCAGCCTTGCGGCTGCGCTGAAAGACGTGGCTGGGGGGCAGACCGGTGCAAACCTTCTTCATGCGGTCCAGCGTAGGACGCGCATAGAAGGTGCGGGAGCGGACAAGCGCGATGCTCGTCAATGGCCGCATCCAGCAGGTTCCTGATTTGCTCTGAGGCGCTCGCGGGAGATTCTCATGAGCGCAAGCTTGAGAGACCCGTCCAGTGGCACTGATGCTCGCGCAATGCGTAGGGTGTTTGCACTTCAGCAGATTGTAAGATACCTTCGTGCCGGCGTGTGGAGGTGGGATGAGGGATGATATCCCCTGGGGCTCCTGCTGTTGATCCTGACCATGAAACGCTGGATGCCCAACCCATTGGCTTCGACCCCGCGTCTTGCCTCTCCTCGTCCTCTTCCTTCTTATTGCTGCCGTTGCTTCAGTTGAGTCGTTTCTAATGGACAGGAAACCATCGTGGCCGCGTAATTTGCGCTTCGCGCCACTTGCCCCGTTAGAAGCCCCTACAAGCGCCTCCTGGGCTTGGGCCTGCACTACATCCGGCAGGGGACGCCCGCAGAGCTGAAAGTAGCACTGATGTGGACCCTGCCTTGAGTCCCGCTTGCCTCCTCCTTCAGCCTTGGTTTCAGTTCCTCGCTGGGAGAGATGATCAGAATGAAGGCCCGCGTCAATACGCCTGAAGAGGGAGGTGGATGTAAATATGTGCACGAGCAGGGCCGAGTGCCGATATGCGCTACCTGTCGTTGTATCTGCCAGGGCGTGAAAGAGAGGCGATTCGAGGATGTGCGTGAGGGAAGTGTTGAGGGCATAGTTCGTGATTGCTCGTGCGCATGCGGCTGGATGCACATGCAACGACAAGGCTGATGCAGCCTCTGCCAGGGCAAAGGGGAGTGGCAGAGGTAACCGAAAGGAGCTTGATCGCTCATCGGCGGGTCGATATCCGAGCGTGAGGATGTTTGCAGGCGGATGCTTAGACGATGGGCTAGGCCGTTGGGCGAGGAGGATCTGCTGAGAGATGAAGATCAACTGAAGAGGAGAACGAGAAGGTATGTCAGCGAATCAATGGACAGAGCTCCTTGGCTTGTCGTTCCTGTGATAGTCACATCCTGAAGGCTGTGCAGCGACGCAGGAGTAAGCGCTGTGCTGCACTGGGACTCGTCGTCTGTGTCCTGCTGCGGAGGAGGAGACTCATGGACTCCGACTAGGTAAGCGTCCATCCACTCTGTCGCCTTGTCCCTTGCCTTTTCTAGCTGCTCGTCTCTTGTCAGCTTTCTGCCATCTACATCGCTCAATTTGGCAGCAGACGCGAGCTGCTCCGCGACAGCCGAGATGAGCTGGTTATACTGCCGAGGCGGAAAAAGCGATTGAAAGTAGGCGCTGAGCGTGAAGACGTGCGGGTATACGCGCGAGAGAACTGGGTGGTGATGGTAAGCACTGCAGTTGATGCCATCGTGAATGTGCTCCAGCGCAGGCATTTTCGTTAAGCTACGGCCTTATGTTCGCTCCTCGGCCCTTCGATGTGGCATGTGCCTGTCATCATGTCCCAACAGAGTGGACGCAAAGAACCGGGACGAAGCACTTTGGCCCGCGACGTCTAGGGACACTGTCCGCCGGCAGCATACACACTTTGGGTTCAGACAGGGGACTGGTTCATGTTGCACCATACACACTTCCACCTCAGAAGGCCCTTCGAAGTGCATGCATCCCAAGGGCTCGATCCCGTACTGATGCTGGTGTCCTTCTGTCAAGAGCATAAGTGTCGAGTGTTGGTTCACACAACGAGAGGCGGGCATGTCGGACGCGATCGAGACGCGTCGCGATATATCCACTCGCTAAAGTAGGGTTGTGTGTATCCCGGCGCTTCAATCCCCGATCATAACAGTGTTGCGCAGTGCTGAGCTCGTTCTCGCTCCTCTCAACGTTGTCCGTCCAGCCAGTTTATACCTATAGTTGACTTTTAGCGCACGGTGGCGATGGTGGGGGTGAACGGTCCTTTGCTTCGAGAAAAAACACAGAGGACGTAGAGGGTTGCCGGGGGAACATCTGCCAGTGGCGGGTCGGAGCCATGTCAACGTCAGCGCCTTCCGCGAACGCTAACCATGGAGCCGTGGAGACAGTGCGCCTGCCCATCTTACACGCCAACGATGTCTACCGGATCCGCCAGTCCGTCAAGTCGGACGGCAAGTCGCAGGAGTACTGTGCGTCTCAGTTCGCAGCGCTTATTCACAGGCTGAGGTCCGAGTGGCCTCAGCCACCCCAGCCACTGCCCGACTCACAAGCTTCGGCCGCCAAGGAAGACAGCGACGAGTGCCATGATGGCATCCCGCGTGCCGGCCTCACACTTTTCTCCGGCGACGTCTTCAATCCCTCTGTCGAGTCGAGCGTCACACGGGGGGAGCACATGCTCCCGCTTATGAATGCCTGTGGATGGGACACCGCCGTGTTGGGGAATCACGACTTTGACTTTGGCTTCCCTCACCTGACTCGTCTGATGAAAGAATGTACGTGGAAGTGGGTATTCAGCAATGTGGCCAACATTTCCGGGGATGCGAGTAGGGGCGAGGGGAAAGGCAGAGGAAGCGAAGAAGTCGATGGAGACGAGCCGAGGGCGACAGATGGACAGGTCGAAGGCACCCTGCCTTACTGGACTACCTATCTACATCTCCCCTGTACTTCACCTGCCTCCTCCAGCACGACAAACCGCCGTCTCAAAGTGGGCATAATCGGCCTCATCGAGCGTGACTGGATCGCCACCGTTCCATCCTTCCCTCCCGAATTTCGTTATCGCTCGATGGCCAAAACGGCACGCAGACTTTCCAGCCTGCTTCGCAATCGCAGAAAGTGCGACCTCGTCTTTGCGCTCACGCACGCTCGTCTGCCAAATGACATCGACCTCGCCAAAGAGGTTGGTGCTGTTCTTCCTCATACGCGTCGTCAAAACAATTCACATGGACACCTGGACCATATAGACCTCATCCTAGGCGGCCACGATCATGTCTACTACATCGGCAAGGCTTGCCAGATTCCTGCCGATTTCGCAGGCGAGCAGTTCGAGCGCGGACCCGGGACCGAACACGACGACGGCTGCTGCATCGTCAAGTCTGGCACCGACTTCCGTGACTTGTCAAGTATCACCCTCGAGGTGCAGCGGAACTCAGGCAGCGATGTCGGCTGGCACATATCGAGGATGCGTGTCGAGCGCCATCGACCCGCTGCCCATCCCCCTCTGTCTCCCAAGGGCACCCCGACCTCATATCCGCCCTTGCAGCCGCTAAAGCAAGAGCTAGACACGCTCATGCAGCGTATATCCCTGGCTACCGACCAACCGGTTGCGAACTCATTGACGGCCTGGGACTGTAGGAGCGAGTATATCCGGACCGAAGAGAATGCGTTTGGTGATTTGTGAGCCTCAGCTGGCCGCACAATTCACTCTGAGCATGTGGAGCTAACGCTTTATTTTGTATATGTTTTTGCAGCTGCGCGGACATTATCCTGCACGCGTACGATGATGCCCTGCGCGGGCAAGAGCAGCGAGGCGAATTGGCGCCTGCACGCACGAGCACTATGAGCTCTTCTGCGGGCACCGCTTCCTCCGCAGGGCCATCTCCGCGACGTGTGGACCTGGCGCTGCTGTGCGGCGGAGCCATCCGCGGCGACTCGATCTACGGACCCGGCCCGATTTCTCTGCGTGATATCCTGGAGATCCTGCCGTTCGACGACCCGATTATCGTCAAGGAGCTCAGCGGCGCCGACGTGCTGGGTGCACTCGAAAACGCGCTCGGCGCGTACCCGAAGCAAGAGGGCAGGTTTCCCATCCTGGCGGGCTTGTGCGTCAAATGGGATAGCACACGCCCGTCGGGCCAGCGAGTGCTCAGTGCTCGGCGCGTAGCGGATGGGCATCTGTTCGAGGTGCCGAGCCTCGCTGGAGACAGCACTGATGCTGGTACCGATGCAACAGGAGGCAGCGGCAGTGCCGAGAAACAACAAGGGCAGATGAAAGCGCGTCGCATCGAGATAGCGCGCTCGAGACATCAGGACGGGTACGAGTGTCTCGTGTACAGGCCTGCAATGGTGCTCGGCGAGGAGATCAAGAGAGATGAAACGTATCGTGTCGTGACGAGGGAATACATGGCCCAAGGTCATGATGGATTCGTGGCGCTTACACGCGGACGCTATCTGTGAGTCATCTCATTACATTGCGTGCAGCGAAAATCTTCCCGCGCTGCCCTCGGCTGAGTCTTCAACGTGTGTGATCTAACGGCAGCATTGATGACGAGAACGGCGTGCTCATGTCCACGCTCGTCAGGAAGTACCTGCTGGGCGCGTCCTTTGTGTGGCGCATGAAACAGTTGCGCGCACAGGCAGCCGCCAACGAGTCCAACAAGTCTGCGACTGCAGGAGGCGGTAATGCAATGAAGAGCAACCCAACGGAAGAGCACCTCAACACCCAGCAAGAAAGCTCACCGCCTGCTAGGGAGAGGAAGAGCCAACGGATACATGACGCTCTTCTTTCTGAGCGCACGCGCAGTGCATTGGATCGCGCCATGCTCATCGGCACAGGTCCTGAGCATGCACCTGACGCAAGGGGCGGAGATGCAAACCCCTGCGATGCGCCTATTCCAGCATCTGTAAAAAGAGAAGCGGTCGTGGCGTCGCCAAGTACTCCAAAGAGGCCTGCCGCCAAGCATCTGATGGACAGACTGGCCGAACTCAAACGCGTCGTCGATCAGAGTCCCAGTGGGATGCGGCATGCGATGCACATAGGAGATTCTGAGCGGCATGGTGATTTCGACAACAGTAGGTCCAAGGAAGCTCTTAGGGGAGATCCATTCATGTCACCACTTGCTGAGCACTACGTTTGTTCTCTCCACAGTCACACAAATATTTAGGGGCCGTAGCAGCGGTGCCGGGCGCACTAGCTTGGGTGGCGGTCACAAGGCGGATACGTGCATAGATGACGGAGCGTCTTCCTCATCCTCTCCGGTTCCTACCACATCTCCAACGATCTCGCAACCAGCCTCGACAGCCGGACCCGCGCCGCAAAGGGTGGAAGTGGCGGCAACGGACGTCAAAGGCACCGTAACGCTGACGGAGGCAGAAGCTGAGGCCTTGGCAACTAGCAATGATAATCTTGCTGTGATCGCCCCATTTGTGGACGGGCGGCTGGTTGATGTCGCCAGAGCTGGGAAAGAGAAGTGAGCCGGAGAGCCTGTCAGGGAAGCAGGGAAACGCGATGCAGCATTTGTATTAGTCGAGGTGGCATCGAAGCCAGTTGCATGTACATATTGTGCAATGATCGGGCGGAACGGTGCGCCATATTGCCTGGCGGTACGCAATTGTTGATTCAATCAATACTCTATCCTCGTCATTATATACGCAGGCATGACGATGGGTGGTACTCAAGCTTGGAGTGACTCAAACCATTGTCACGGAGACTTCGGCTGGTCACTCGTTTGGGCGGGCGAAAGAGCTGCGAGCCGTTCAGGTTCAACGCCCGAAGCACGCCCTGGCGGCTGCATGTCACCTCAGTCGCTGCAGGTCGAACGGACCGCTGTCACTGCGGGTCGGACCTAGCACTCTTCTGAGTGGATTGGACACTCAATGAAACAGCCCCATTCAACACCGGTTCTATTCCTTTGAAATGTCGGTCACGGAGCAACAGCTCGGCGAGCTCGAGCTTCTCTCGCAATCGCAGCTGAAGCTGAACCAGCTCACGGGAAGAATCACGGCCATCCTTTCCTCATTCGACGGCCGCCTGCGCGGCCTGGAGAGCAGCATCGTCCCATTGCATCGCAGCACTCAGCGCTTGCTCAGAGCGGAGGTCAATATCGACCGTACGCTCGCTGCACTTGAGCGGACGGAAACGCAGCAGGCTTCAATTGCGGACTTGGAACCGATTATCCGCACCGGGCCGTCTGCAGATGTGAGCATGACCGACGATTGACCACGAATGACCCAAACTGACATCATTTCTCGATCACTGCAGAATGTCCCGGCCTACCTCGAAGTCCTCGATGAGATCAAGATCACATACTCTTACGTCGAATCCACCGGCAACAATGCCAGTGGCCGGAGAATTCAAGAGCTGATGGCCGTTGGCGCGGACAGACTCTCTAACTTATTGAAAAGTTGGGTGGAAGCCGAGAGCGAACCTATCGATCCAAGAGAGCACTTACAAAGAGGTAAGGACAGAATCCCTTTCATCGCGTCGTTCGAGGAAACATGTTGCTAACGACGTATATCGTCGCCATATCAAGGCATGCAAATACCTGCCTTTTCGGACGTTCTGCTTAAGGCCATCATCCCGATCTTGAACTATTTGGCCGGCATGCGCTCCGGTGGGTATTACCTCACGGGTGCTTTGAACGCATACATCAGCGCTCGCTCCGCCTTTGTCGTCTCTTCTCTGTCAATGGTCCACACTGAGGTTCTGGACTTTGTCGAGACGAGGGCATCAGGCTCCGTTGCGCGCGAAGACGGCGAAGAAAACACATACATTCGCGGTATGGGAGGATTTCAAAGTCTTGTGGAGAGCACTTATGAACTCTGCAGTGTGAGCATCTTCCTAGCCTTCCAACACTTCAGTGGCTGAAGCTGAACACATCTACGGTCATACTTTTAGTTTGAGCTACAAAAGGCGGCTAATTTGCTGTCGTCGATGAATCCTCTTCCGCCGCCAGAGGTGTCACAGACGACTATCAACATTGCATCTCCGCCGCTCTCACAGCTAGTGTCCACCGCGAGCAACGTGTCGTCAACTCTGACCCGTGCGAATGCATCTAAAAAGCCGCAGAGGTCATTGGGAAGTCTGTCCTTTCATGTCGGTCTAGTGCTGGACTTCGTCTCTACACTCGCACACAGCCTTCCGACGTTCGAGAAGGCCTTCACAGGCCATATGACTGCTGATGCCCGGGCGAGAAAAACGGAAGGGTCCATCCGGGAGCTGCGAGGGGTGGAAAAAACGCAAAGGCAGCTTTGCGCCGGGTGCTTGCGGCAAGTCATTGATGGAATCAGCACCGTGTCCGCTAAGTACGATGAAACTGAGGGAACGGCAAGCACCACTGTGCATGATATTTCTTACGACAGCCTTCGCCTGCTCTTGCAAGTGTATGAATTCCGCAGTATTTCCGGACCAGTCCTGCGGGAGCTGGGAAGCGGAAATTTGATGCCGGGTACCAACGCACCGCCAATGCTGAATGTGGCGCTCAACGGAGTAGAGGAGGAGCAAGCCAACCACAACGTCCTTGTCAATTACTTGAATAACATTGTCGCTACCCTCCTGTCGGCGCTAGAACAGCGCAGCAAAAGCATTCGCCAACCCAGCACAAGCGCAATCTTCCTTCTCAAGTGAGCTTCAAATCTGAGAATAGTCGGCCTGGACACAAGGCTGAATTGTTTGGCCCTACCCTACAGCAATGTTGGATTCTTGCAGCGAGAGCTGGCAGCTGCACCGGTTTCGCAGAACAACAATGTTTCGATGCTCGAAGTATTGGGTCAAGATTGCGATGACATGCTTTCAGGGACTCTAAGATCTGCCCACACGGCCTATTTGGACGCGTGGGGGCCTTGCGTGCAGGCGCTGATGGAAGATGTACCACTTGCGGGTGGGACACAATCGTCCGGCGCTAAGAGCAAATTGGCGACCTCGCTCGGTGGTGGAAACGACAAGGCGATCGTCAAAGATCGACTGGCTAGATTCTACGAGTGCCTGGATGATATGGAACAGTTGCATCGCGCTTTCCCATTCTCAAAGGAGGATCTGGAAGTCCGCACCAAATTGCTTCGCGAGGTATCTCGGTGAGGGTTCAGCCTTGCCGCGCACACAGGCAACAGAGATGAAATCTTACTATCTCCCTTCCCGTATTTCAGGATGATTTGCCCGCTGTACAACAAGTTCATTGTCAAGCACCGCCAATCGGGCTTTTCGCGCGATCCATCCAAGCATATCAGGATGACCGAGAAGGAGATCGCGCTCAAACTCGACGACATTTTCAGGTGAAGACGGTAGAAGTCATCCGGCGAAGGCCTCCCCTGTATGCTCTTCGTTGAGGCCCGATCGCAAAACAATGTCAGCATCTTGTATTTGACACCTCATTTGTATTCTACTTGACATCAACTGACAACCTCCGTGTCAGACAAGGACCATGCATCTTGCATTTAGAGAAATTCGTGAAGACTGGGTCAACACTAGTTGCACCTGTAGAATCTCCCTGACCTAAAATTCGCCGCTGTTGATCATCCGATGGCTCGACTTTGTCCGTTGTCCTGCTCCCTTCGCCCACGTTAGGAAGACCATTGCTTTGGCAAGGACGAAGCAGTCAGCAGTCTGATTCAGCGGCAAGCCAGGCAATGCAAGTAATGTCTTCCTCCGCAAAAGAAGAGCCGAGGCGGGGGCAAACGCTGGCCGCGGCGTCTCCCCTCTGGAATCACCCATCCACCCCAGGATCTCCGTCCTCGTCTGCACCTCACTCACGTTCCGACCCCCCGCCTGTATGGGTTCCAGGGCCCTTCAGGCAGAAATCGTTCCAGAATGCTCTCGATACGGTTAACATTTCATTGCAAAAAAGCGCTGTCAACGGTAGCCCAATACTGGCCGCCGATGGGTCGCATGTGACCTCGACCATCTCTACTGTCGCAGAGGCAAAAGAGACACACGAGCACAATGCAGCGCCTCTCAAGCCCTCCCTCACAAACAGTGGAAGTTCCGCGTTACCATCAGGGAATGCAGTGGTAGAGTCAGCTTCGATGGTTGGTGTCTCGGCGCCCAATGAATCCGCACGTGGCTTCGCGGCAGCTGCTGGGAGAGCTTCATACCCCTGGCACCAATATGTCAAGCTTCCTCCGCATCATCTTCAACCAGATGGTACTCCGGACTATCTGCGAATGATTCTGTCGGCGGACATCTATTCACTTGTCAAGCAGACGCCATTATCGCCCGCTGTGAACATGTCCACGAAGCTGGGCTGCAACATTCTGATGAAGCGCGAAGATCTGCAGCCGGTTTTCAGCTTCAAACTTCGAGGCGCTTTCAACATGATGCGCCAGCTATCAGAAGAGCAAAAGTGGAAGGGCGTCATTGCGTGCAGTGCAGGCAACCACGCGCAAGGCGTTGCAATGTCTGGTGCGCATCTCAGCGTGCCATGCACGATCGTCATGCCCGTCGCGACTCCAACCATCAAGACGGCCAACGTTGCCCGACTCGGAGCAAAAGTTGTCCTGCACGGTAACGACTTCGATGAAGCGAAAGCCGAATGCTTTCGCCTCGCGGAGCAATATGGGCTAGCTATCATCCCGCCATTTGATGATCCACAGGTTATCGCCGGCCAGGGAACGGTTGGCGTCGAAGTTTGCAGACAGACTGATATGTCGAAAGTCGACGCTGTCTTCTGCTGCGTCGGAGGTGGCGGCCTGCTGGCTGGCGTCGCGGCATATGTGAAGCGCATCGCTCCACCTCATGTGAAGGTCATAGGCGTGGAAACTTACGATGCGGATGCGCTCACACGCAGCCTAGAGATCGGTACGAGGGTTACCTTGGATGAGGTCGGGCTCTTTGCAGATGGAACCGCGGTCAAGATCATTGGAGAGGAAACTTTCAGAGTGTGCGAGGACTTGGTGGATGGCATGGTCAGAGTGGATAACGATGCTATCTGTGCGGCTATCCGAGATGTTTTCGAGGGTGAGAACTTCGATCTGCAATTGCTTCCCGAAAGGCGCTGATGACGTTTTGCCATTGTACAGACACTCGCTCCATCCCAGAGCCGTCTGGGGCGCTTGCAGTCGCAGGAATGAAGGAGTACATCCGTTCGCACGGCTTACAAGGCTCTGGAAAGACGTTCATCTCTGTCGTTTCTGGCGCAAACATGAACTTCGGTCGCTTGCGCTTCGTGGCTGAGCGAGCTGAACTGGGCGAGCGCCGCGAGGCATTGCTACACGTGGAGATTCCAGAGAAGGCGGGGAGCTTCCTCGAATTACATTCACACATCAATCCACGCCCTCTGACCGAATTTAGCTATCGCTACCACAGCGACGAGGTCGCCCATGTCTTCCTCAGCTTTTTCCTCGACGGCAAAGCGCCCGCATCCAGTGTCCCTGCATCTGCGGGCCCGGTGAATCCTGCGGCAGCAACTCCACAACAAACAGCGGCTCTGCAGGATTTGGCATCTGGGAAAGTTTCAGCGGCTGTTGCAGCGACGGAAATGTCTTCACAAGCTGCTGAGGATGCGCAAGCAAATGCACCGGCAGGCAGCATGCCTCTTGATCCGCGCGAGATGGAATTGCAGAACATCATGGCAAACATTAGAGCGTCTGGTATGCGAGTGACGGATATCAGCGCCAATGAAATGGCGAAGACTCATGCGAGGTATCTTGTCGGCGGCCGTTGCAAGGTGCCAAACGAGCGACTCTTCCGATTTGGTGAGCGAAGCAGTATGGTCAGACGATCAAGTAGCAACCCTTGTTTCAGACAGCTGACGTGTGGGCTCGCCCCTTATGCTTGCGTGCATGGCAGAGTTCCCGGAACGGCCCGGTGCTTTGCGAAAGTTCCTTTTGGGCCTGCGTGTTGGATGGAACGTGTCGCTCTGGCATTATAGGAACCACGGCGCCGACATTGGCAGAGTGCTCGCTGGCCTGCAGGTTCCTTCGGAAGACCATGCAACCTTCCAACACTGGCTCGATCACGAGCTTGGCTACGTCTATGTTGAGGAGACGTCCAACCCTGTTTACCAGCGCTTCCTATGTGCGGAATAGATGATGCTTAATGTGTGCTTTCCTCCTCTATCGCTGAACGTTAAGCTCAACATTCCTTGTGCCATTCTACATCTTTCAACCCTGCACGTGAGCGTACCCTACGCGGCCCAGAACCATTCGCAAGATTGTTTGCAGCGCGCAAATGCGGCTGCACATTTGAAGAGATCGAGGATGGTGTTGCTGCTGCACAAGTGGCCGAGTGTAGATGATCAAGCTGAACGCCGTTCAGATGCCGCCCCTCGGCGCCTGCGTCGTCCTCCATGCTTACTCGTAAGCTGAGGGAGGCGCGTGCCTCCTCGGCACTGACGCGTCCCAAGCTACCGCCGTTCGATCGCAAATCTAGCCGGCGCGGCGGTGCCGCAGCTGCAGCTGCAGCAGCTCCTCCTGATGTTCCAGTTGCAAATGTCGTGTGGCCTATCAATCCTGCCGCCCGCCAGGGGGGTGCAGGCGCCTTGCCCGTGACCTGATCGTACATTGCCTCTAGTGCGCCTTCAACGCTGATCCGTCCACGCAGCGCGTCATTGAGCACCTTGCCAAATCCTCTTCCGGCGCCACCTGCCCCCTCGGCGTCGCCGCCACCGCTGTTGCCTTGGCCGGGTGGAGGCGGCGGCAAGCTGGCGCCGATCGGCCGCTGCCAGCCGCTGGCGGGTCCCGGGTTTGGGGGGAGGCCGGCGACGAGGTCGTTGAGCAGTCGGTGGTGCGGTTTCCTGCTGTTCTGCTTCGCATTGGCTTTTCCCGAGTACGCGTGCGCAACATTCGCGCCGGCAGGAGGCGCATCGTTCCATCCGGACGACGCGCGCTGCAACCCTTGCTCTGCAGGGGGTATGCTTGCCGGCGCTTCTGGTGTATTCGTTGTGCTCCCCAAACGCGAGTTGACCAGGTGCAACGGCCGTAGACCACCACCACCTCCTCCTCCTGCAATCGCTACGAATGCATTTGTGTGGAGCACGCTAAGTGAGCCGTTCGACGAACCATGCGCCGAGGACCCACGAGCGAGCGGCGCGGATGATGAAGACGACGATGATTTCTTCGACCCGCCGAGGGTCCATTTGTTGGGCTTCCACCGCTCCTCGGCCAAGCGGTCGCTGTACGATACGTCTGTGTCGCTGCGCCCATCCAGGTCGCCGCTTCCGCCGCCGCTGTGCACATCTGCTTCAGGCTCGGGAGAGTGCGAGACGGGTAGCAGAACGGCACTACTGCTGTTGGCAGCATTGCCTGTTTGGCTGCTTCCTCCCACTCTCGCTGCCGCCGCCGCTGCTGCTGCAGCGCTGCGTTCCTGCGAAATCTGCAGCAAATCATCGAGCCCGCTCTGGCCGTACCCGGTCGACCCTTTGGGACGATGTGAGCCTTCCCTTTCGTGCGTGCCGACTGCGCTCCCAGCAGCAGCAGCAACAGAGGAAAAGAACTTGAGTTCTTCATTGGGCACGCGCGAGACTTGCGGCGAAGCATGCTGAGCCCCGCCAGCGCCGTAGAACGAGCCGGCGCGTGGGCGCGATGACACCGAGGGCTGCAAGGCGTGGGAAGGCGACGCAGAGCCGCGCTGCTTGTTGTTAAACTCTGGGGACGACGAGGCGGCGCGATCGTGCTGCCGTCGATGATCCTCCTGCAAGGGCGGCGGATTGTTATTGCCGCTCGATCCATGTGCGGCTGCAGCCGCAGCCGCAGCTGCAGCTGCAACAGCGGACACGGCTTCCTGCCGGTCGATCTCGCGCACGAGCCCTCGCTCCTCGTTCCAGAAGCCGAGTGCGACACCGTGCCCGTGGCCCAAGGACCTGGCCGAAGACGATTCGGCGCCGTCGAGTCGCGAGCCTCCGCCACCAGCGTCGTTGCGCGGCGACGTGGTGTGATTCATCATCGAATGTTCCCCCTCCTGCCGCTGCGGCTGTTGCTGTTGCTGCGTGCGGCTGTGGGGCGAGCGGCTGCAAGCGTGTACGGGGAGGTAGAGCGTGCCGCGCATCTGTGGCTTGTCGCCTGCCCAGAGCTTATTGACGCGGCGCAGAAGCGCAGGCTCGATGCCGTACTGGAGCGAGATGCCTGCAAGCGTCTCGTCCGGGCGGACGCGGTGCAAATAGACGAGCGATGTTCCATCGTCATCTTCGACGTGCCCGTCGTTTGCAAAGCCGTTGGACGTGCCACCGACGTGCTCGAGCAAGGGCGAATGCGAGACTAATGACGGGGATGTTGATGGTCCGCCGCCTGCTATAATGGTAGAAGAATACGAAGAGGAAGGTACCTGGTCTCGTATTGAAGAAGAAGCTGGACCGTGCGATCGCAGAGGCGGAGCAAGATGTTGGAACGATGCATTCGGAGCTAATGTATTTGAGATGGACGGTTCGGCAATGCCGAACCATGCCTCGAGCCGATCCTGTGTACGTTTGGCATAGGCGTCGAAGTCGTTGATGATGGTGTTGATGCTCGTCGCTGCGTTGCTGCTGGTGCTTCCACCTCCTTTGACCTTGCCATTGTCGGCTTCCTCTGCTTCTGCAGCAGAAGCAGGTCGCTTACCCTGGGCTCGCTGTGAGAGCAGCTGCGACGAGCTGGTGCTGGCAGCTGGAGCCGCTTGTCGCCGACGCGTAAGGCCGCTGCCGCCAGCGGCGTCCATCCTGATCGACGGTCCTCTGCTGGATGCGCCGCTGCGGCCAACCGCTCAATGCAGGCACAAGCAAGGCTTGGAACAGACTAGCAACGAGCGACGTGCGCGGCCCGTCACACGAAATGGATTAAGATGTCGCCAGTGAGTTGTGTTATGTGTGATCGCTTTGATCGGTCACCCGGTAGCTGGATAGGCCGACGATGAGCCTGGCGATGGGGCACAGGGGGCCGCCCAACGCGCGAGTCTACTCTATCGCGTGCCCATGGCACCTCTTCCAACGCAGGGCCAAATGAAGCTCCACACTGTGTCCTGTGTGCCCTCTGGAGGCGGGCTGCCAGGTGCCAGGACGTGTATACGATTACAATACACATGAATGGACTGAGCCTCGACTGGATGACTCTGGACTCCTCTCTATGTTCATGAGGATGTGGATCCCGGTGGTCATTCGTTCCGCCCTCCAACAGGCTCGATGGTTGGCGAGAGGGTCATCGTCGGGTATGACAAGCCATTGTTGAAGGCCAGGCACACGTGCTCTTCGGCAGCGTCGGGGCAGGCATCCATGGACAGAGCGGTGGCTGGTGACGTTGTGAAGGAATGGCGCACCAAGAAGCCCTCCGGCGATGAATGGGTGCTGCTTTCGCGACTCAACGCTTGGCTGCCTGGAGCACATTCAATAGGATGAGAGACATTCATCCCACCCCCTCCGCTTCTTCTACTCCCCGCACGACGCCAAGTGTCCGCTTCTCCCTTTTCAGCACAAGGATGTAGTGTAATTTGTACTTGTACTAGCAATACAAGCTGGAGGGCTGCGTGCAAGTGAGAACGAGCACACGCTCAGGTGTCCCCGCTCGTGCACATTGCACCATGCACCAGCCACCACCCTTTACACGGTCTCAACGGAGCTGTACTCGCTGCTGACGGGTGGCTCGATAAAGATGGCGTGCGCAAGAACGATGACAGCACTGCTCCCGATGAGCCAAAAGATGAGCGCGAACGGCGAAGCAAACCAGAGCAGCGGGATGCCGATGCAGAAGAGCACCGTGTACAGCGACTTTTGAGTCACGACGTGCTCGCCGACCTGCATCGGCTCCGGCGCGAACCGGTTGATCAGCATGAACCCGCCGACGAGGAAGCCGACGGCCACAATCAGCGCCGGCGAGGTGATGCTGGGAATGCGCAATAGCGGAGGGTGAGGTAGATGATATGATTAGCTATCTAACAGGGGATGCGGGCTCTTTTTTGCGTGGCTCACATGCCATAGATGGCGAGGCAGATGATTAGCAGCAGATAGTTCCCTGAGAAATGCCGCGTGTTGTATGTGATGCGCTGTGGAAGAGCACGAACGGGATCGCGGAGAGGATAGGGTCAGCATTCGCATACCCGTCTAGAGTGACTCTGTGTGGCATTTCTGCTGCGGGAAGTGGCGGCGAATGTTCACCTGCGTTGCTTCGTTGAGATCTTGCGGCCTGCTGATGCGCTGGTGATCTAGAAACTCGCCCACCGGCCGTAACCCGGACAATCGTTCTTTCCGCAGTCCCTTGAAGAACTCTGGGACTGCGGTGGCCAAATTTCCATCATCGGTGGGCGGACAATGAGCAGAATGAAAGAGAAGGGCGAGGTAACGACTCTGTCAGCAGGAGATCAAAGGGCTGCTGCACATCGCTCCAGGATTCGCTACGCGGGGCAGGAAGAGGAGGAGTGACGAAGGAACGCACTGCGCATGGCAATATCTAGGACTTGCGCCATGATGGACGACAACGACAACGACGGCAGCGGCGGCCTGTGGTCGTTGCTGCAGACTCGGGGGGGCGATGGATGGACTGACGTGACTGGTCGCGGGCTTGGATCTCTCTTGTTGTGGGTCTGGAGCTGGCTGATATAGGAGGTGGCATAAGCAACCGTGTATGCCAGCAGATGGCGGTCGGCCGAGAGTCTAATATTCGACTAGTAGTTAGAGAATGACACAGACCGGCAGGCGCAGGGGTGCTACGATAAAGTAGGGTTGCTACCCTAACCAGCACATCACGTGATACATGCCACCGCTCGTCAGTCAAACCCATCCTTTAATACACCAACCATGAGCGGCAAGTGCGTAGACCATTCCACCCTTCTTCCTGAAACAAATACCATCACAGACATCGGAGCGTGTACTTGTAAAGTAGATGTACATATATAGTTTGATGGATCTCCTTTCTGCTTCCCCTACCTCGTCTTCTAATTCTACCTCGCCTCCGTCTGCCTCTGTCTTCCCGCGGCGAGCCGAGTAGCTGATGCTTTTTCTACAGCCCACGACGCGCGAGCGGCATAGAGCCGAGCCTGTGCGTTTACCCCAGAACTGTTTATAGGTTGTGCTGACATACCGTGACCGCAGAAGGCTGCAGTAGAGACTTTCTCAGTCCAAGCCCCCGCGACGCCACGCTTTTTCAACCTCCGACATGAAACAAATAAAGGTTGGGAGCTGCCGCGCTTCGAGCCCTGGGTCTCGTTGACGCATCGCTGCGTGCCAAGATCATCTTGTGCTCCCTCTTTCGCGGGATCATGACCCTCGCCTGCATGTGCTCGGATGTTTTCCCGCCCCCCGCTGTTGCTCATGGAACTGCTGTCGACCTGTTCACGCTCAAGCGAATCATCTTCTACTTCCCCCCGGTGGCGAATTCGTCTTCCGCATACGCGGCCAGCAAGCTGCCGTCTTCATGCGCCTCGCCGTCGAGCTGCACGCACGTCTGTCCATCGTCCCTTACGACCTCACGCTGCGCGCCAGCTCCGTGGTCAACTTCCCGCGCTTCGTCGCGATCTACGACCAGGTGTGTCGCGGCGCCAAGATGTTAAGGCATGAGGTTATCCTCCTGGGCGACAGATGAGTCAACCAGCGTCGTGATCGGTAGCTGCATTGTAACTTCGAGTCATGTTGGCCATCCAAGACCTTTCGGCTGGTCTTTTCCATCTTTTAGCGCAGACGGTGGGATCGCAGCATGCATGCTGCGCGCCATTGCAGAACTGCACACAGTCCTGATCCAATGTGCACCGTCTCAGGCGAAGCTATCAACGACAAATTCGAGCGATCCAACGGACCTGCTGCCCAACAACCTCGTCCTCATTGCTCCCGTCACAGAGTGCGCGATCTTCGCGAAACCCGATGCTCACCATTCCACGCTGCCGTAACTTTGTCACGGCGTTTGTCGGCACGCTGGAGTAGGCTGCGCATCTGTTGCAAGACCTCGAGGGCCTGCTACTCATCCCCACGCCGCAGGCGAGTGACGCAAATGCGAACGTACTGTTAGGCAGCGACGTGTCCAAGCATTCGTACCTGTCGCCCGTACAGACGAGAGGGACGCCCCGTTGAGTTTCCAGCTTCTCAAGCGTGCCGGCACGCGCATCGTACCCCTTGTGGAACGCACGACCTGCTGTACGCCAGCGACCTGCGCCACGTCGACGAACTCGAAAAGGCGGGTGTGCCCACGCGCTTTTTCGAGAGGGTCAGCGGCATACACGTCTACACCATCCTGGTCGAAACAGGCATGATAGAAGCGGAAGAGGGCTCGGATATAGTACAGCGTGCCGTCGGGGAGAACAGTTGCGATGCAGCAGCAGCGGCTAAATCGACCGAGACGAGCTCGTGAATGGGCTATGTCTGAACATGCAAATTGGGCAAGCAGTTCTGGGAGCTACTGATGTGGACCTTTGCTGGGGGGATGTAAGATAATACAAGTGGGATAGATCATCATGTAGCACCTTGATCATTGTCGCCCCGCGCCCCTTTGCGAGGTGCGCTGCGCCCAGTCGCTCACTTTAAGCTGCAGCGTTGGCTTCTCACCCTTGTACCTGCGCAGGACATCGACCATCTCGTCGACATCGAGCTTGACGCTGCTCGCCGCGGGATGGCTCCCTTCAAGCAGCGCGGCGCACTCTGCCTCACTCGGCAGCGCGAACGGATTGTACGCCGGCTCCCACCCGAGCGGGCCCTTGCCACGCAGAGCATGCTCGCGTGCACGTTTCGCCTCGCGCGAAGTGTCCGGTTTCGGTAGGCCGCTCAGCACCGGCATGGTCATGCGTAGCCCGGCGCGCTGCGCCACGTCCGCGCCGCCAAAGAACTGCGCGCGCATCCGCTGATCGTCCACCTGCGCCAGCGACGGAGGGTCCCATGCAGCGATGCCCTCACGGCGCTTGCCCGTCGTGGGGTCCTTGGTGAGCGTGAAGGTCACGCCCTCGTAGAAGTCGCGCCCGATGCTCAGGTCACAGAATGCTGTCGCGAGCCGCATGTCGAAGCGGAACGCCTCGTCGACGTCCAACCGCCGCGCTTCCTGGATAGCCAGATGCGTCACCTTGAGCGATCGCGGCGACTTGGTCTTGAGCGTCTCCAGCGTCTTGCCTGCCCAGTTGGCAATGTCCGCACTGACGCCGTTTCTCAGGCCCCTCGCCAGAGAGCTCAGCTCGCGCGCAGCCTGGCTCTCGTTTCCGCCGGCGCTCAGCTCGGTCAGCGCGGAGAAGATCGCCTCGGCGCTTGGCTGCCCAAATACGTAATCGAGTGCGATACGCTTCTCGCCGAGGAACGGCGTCGTGCGGAGGATCTCGCGCTGCTTTTCGCTCGCGTCTGCATTGAATGGATCTGTGGCGTACTCATCGAGCAGATTCGCGACGCGTTGGTTCGCGTCACCGCCCTGGCCCTGCGGTAGTTGTGCGAGCCGGTCGAGGACCGTCTGGATGTTACTCGACGAAACATAGTGCGAAGCGATGCCGATCAGATAAGCCTCTGGCCCTGAGATGCGCGCGCCAGTCAGCCCAAGGTACTGGCCGATCTTGCCGTCAAGTCGCGCCAGACAGCGCGTGACGCCGACATCGGGGAAGTAGCCGATACCTGTTTCTGGCATCGCGAAGAGTGTATTTTCGGTCGCCACACGGAAGGGCGCATGCAGCGACAGGCCCACTCCTCCTCCCACTGCAAGAGGCAGGCGCAAGGAGGTGACGATTAATCTGCATGGTTAGGCAAGCAGAAGAGTATGCTCGGAGCGTCGACTCACTTGTGATTCCATCCATAAAGCTGATGAATGCTTTCGGAGAAGCGGAGCTGCCGGCCTTTAGAGCGGCGGCGCTGCTCCTCTCGCCAAGCGTGGCAATCATGTGATCGAGCTCAAACTCCTCCTGGAAGAAGGTCAACGCATTCTGCCTCTGCGTTTCATCCTTCGAGTTAGCGGCGCCTACGACGGCAAGAACGTCTCCACCCGAACACAGGGCCCTCCCCTCACCCCGCAGCGCAATGACGGATGCGGAGGACGCTTCCTTGGCGAACGATTCGAGGTGCCAGCGGATCAGGCGGATCATCTCGATATTGAGCGCGTTCAGCGCTTTTGGTCTGTTGAGCACAATTGTCCGGAGGTTGCCATTGGCAGATGCGAGTACAAGCGGCTCGCCTGCGTCTGCTTCCTTCGCCTTTCCATGCTTGGATGATGCGGCTGCGGTGCTGGAAGCGGAGGACGCCATGGCGAGCGCAGGCCCCGAGTGCAGGTGGCGAGACACCTGCGAGACTCTAACAGAGGGCTCTCCAGCAGACAGGAAAGAGGATGAAGCTGGGGCCTGCAAGCGGCGTGGTGATGAGCTCGACATGGAGATACTAGACGGGCTTAGGAGGGCATGCGCCCCACGAGTGTGGAGGCAGCGGTGGCGGGTCAGGTTGGCTGATAGAGAATGAGCGACGGGAGATAGCGAGCGCATCTCTTCTTCCTGGAAGAGGCTCTAGCCTGATAGGATATGCGTCTTTGAATGCAGCTTGTAGGCTATGACATGTGCTCTCGATCGTCGCCTTCATAAGCGATCGCCCGTCATACAAGGCAACCATTGTTGCAACGACGAATCGAAGAGGCCATCGCCCTCTTCTTCTCCAGCGGCGCTGCCGGCGCAGAGCTGATGGCGGCGGCGTCACATTGCCGGTTGCCCCGTGCGCACGCATTGCAGATATCCCTTGCACAGAGAAACTTGCGAGTTAGGGTTGGAACTAGTGCCATCACTTTCGGCCGAAAGCTGAACAGTGGTAATTATTGCGCCGATGTAGCTGCTGCGGATTCCACTCACGGCACCACTCTGCCTCCCAAGACTCGCCTGCCGCCACACCGAAGTAGGCTGCCAGCCGCTGCGAGAGAAGCACCTCAGAAGGGTTATTGACGTCTTCAGCTGCATTCTTCTCGTTCGAGTTTCTTTTCCGTGAGTACTCAGCAATACGAGCCAGCGACCTTTGCAAGGACAGGTGAGGATTAGCAGCGTGCAGCACGGGGCAAACAGCAGCAGAAGATGGATTACTTGTGGCTTCAGGCGAGGGCAGGAGCGAGGCGCAAAGATACGCCCAGTGTTACTCGCTTCATTGGAAGCGTGGGCAAGACCGATATTGGAGTTCTAGGGGGCGAGACAAGATGTTTGAATGTGCTGGCAGAAGCGGTTCGAAGGAATCGCTAGTTCATGCGAGCGACGCTTGGGAGAGGACTGCCGAAGCTAATAGTCTAGCGTAACGCTTTAACCTCACTGGGGCTTGAGTGCTGGAAGATTTGACGGGCTAGCGATGTAGGACGCTGCTGGCTGCATACATGCGAGCCATTTATGTGCTAGGAATAAGCTCGGTCGCGGCAGGATCCATCATTGCGGATCGCAGGGGTGCATGCTCAAGGTCCCGGATGGCTCGGTTGGCTACGCCATACTGTGATCTCCTGGCTCGCTAGGCTAGGATAGTCCCGCTTCTACGCGGCAGCCTATGCTTTCAAGTGGAATGAGAGACGACAAGTGCTCCTGCTTTTCGTGCGCGCGTGCGACGGCTGTTTTATGACATGGAAGGAAGCGGTCTGCTAACATTACGCCCTTGCTTTCAGCACTCCCGATACTCAACAATCAGCAAAGATGGCGGACGCTGCTCCTCGTGGCCGTGGTGGATTTGGACGTGACCGTGGTGGACGTGGGCGCCGTGGCCCCCGTCGTGGTGGTCGCAGGGATGGCGAGAAGGAGGAGTGGGTTCCCGTCACCTCCGTCGGCCGTCTCGTCAAGGATGGCAAGATCAAGTCGATTGAGGAGATCTACCTGTTCTCGCTCCCCATCAAGGAGTACCAAGTCGTCGACCTGCTCCTGCCCAAGCTCAAGGATGAGGTCATGAAGATCATGCCTGTCCAGAAGCAGACCCGTGCCGGTCAGCGCACCCGTTTTAAGGCCTTCGTCGCCGTCGGTGACTTTGACGGCCACTTGGGACTTGGTGTCAAGTGCGCCAAGGAAGTCGCAACTGCCATCCGTGGCGCCATCATCCTCGCCAAGCTTTCCGTCATTCCTGTCCGCAGGGGCTACTGGGGTAACGCTCTTGGTGAGCCGCACACGGTGCCCATGAAGGTCTCCGGCAAGACCGCTTCGGTCATGTGCAGGCTTGTGCCCGCGCCGAGGGGTACCGGTATTGTCGCTGCTCCGGCGTCGAAGCGCATGCTCCAGCTCGCAGGTGTGGAGGATGTGTACACGCAGGCGTCAGGTCAAACAGTGAGTTGAAATGCTGGTGATTCAAGGCAATTACGGCGCTGACTCTTTCCCCCGTGCTACAGGCTACGATGGGTAACTTCATCAAAGCTTGCTTCGTTGCCATCAGCAAGACCTACGGCTTCCTTACCCCCAACCTCTGGCAGCACATTCCTCGTGAGTTCACTTCTTGCATCGTCTACGTGTGCCTGATCCCTTGGAACTGACAATCGCGCTCGTGTCCCCTCCTTTCCACCCCTCACAGCGCCTCCGACGCCTTTCGTCGAGCACTCGGCACACCTCGCCCGGGCTGCCAAGAAGGCGCTCTAAAATGGTGGACAGCAAGTTGCTGCGTCTACCTTTCTTGCCATCCCTCGCTTTCCCTACATGTATTTTGTAACGCCCCCCCCCATGATCACACCGATGGCAATGAAGTGCATTCGATCAAACATGATATTGAAATGCTGTTAGGTCGTGTAACGCTCTCTGTGGATTGTTATATGTTTCGTACACAACTTCGATCCTATTTTGGGGTTGCTTGGTGCATGCAGGAAGTCTGTCGTCGAGGGTTGCCCCATGTGCCCATTTCTTAAACGGGCAGGGCAGTGCGTAGTTCCGTTCCGCCGGAACCAAGTTAGTATCCGTGCGAGTTTCGCGGCTGGCGCTGTTCCGGGTTCCTCCTTCGACCACCGACCGCCAGCCAGCGAGCAAGTGTGCTCCTTCCAAATGTTGACGAACTCCCATGATCTTCACAGCACCACAGATCTTCTCCTTACTGTGCTGAGAGCAGATCTTCCACCAGGAGAGACCCCCATCTACTGCTGTCATCATCATGCTCTCTCGCTCCGTCCTCAGCGGTGCGTCCGCCGCCCGCCGCCACGTTCTGCAGCAGCAGGCGCGCTTCGCCTCATCCGGATCGGCAGGCAGCGCCGCGCCGTCGCTGCCCATCCCACCCAAGGTCGCCACACCGCAGTCGGTCAAGGGACCCGGTGGCAGCAGCGCCCGCATGGATGCTGTCGTCAACTTCTACAAGAGCCTTCCTAAGGGTCAGGCTTCCGTGCGAAGGGGCGGCGGAATCAAGGCGAGATACTTCGATGGAAAGAACGCCAGCGGCGCGCCCATCGTCGCGACCATGTTCGGCTTGTTCCTCCTTGGATGTGAGTAGCTTCAGCGAAGGCCAGCTGCGTCTGAGTACTCTGTGGAAGGATTCTGACTCTCTTTCCTGTTCCCAGACACCATTGACTACAACATGCACTTGAGTAAGTATGCGGCCCTCTTGATCAGAGGTGGAAGTAGGCAGGAGTTTCGGCGATGGAGCCGTCTGATCGGGATGCATTCCTGAAGACGAGCGAGCAATATCAGCCCAGATGGGTCTGCGAGATGTAGACTGGGCATGGGGCTGGGCGGTTTCCGTCATTGGGCCCCTTCATATGCCTGCCGTCCGAACATGCGCGGCCCAAGTTGGCCTCGCACTCACTCATGCAGAAGCAAAGGACTTGAACATTGACAACACCCCCATCATTTTACAGAGCACCACAAGAACGCTCACCACTAGATGTGCGACTTTTGGTATTCAGCGCGCGCTTCAATTAAGGTGAGCAACTCGACCGAGGAAGCCCCATGATTAAGGAAACGCGCTCACATCTGCTGAGGAACATTCCACAGGCTTGCTGCTCCTCGCAGCGGTTGAACACTCTCACGATACATTAAAGGTACTTCTGAATGGGCGGACCATCGTGATAGCAAGAAAGAGAGACCGGGCAGCTTGTATGCATACAGTAGCAAATCAATCCGAGCCTTTAAAGCAGAAACATCTAGCGACGGTCCGCAGCGGCCTGCATTCCGATGTGTACAGTCGGTCGCCGCCTGCAGCTAGTAGGACCCCGCATCCCTTACTTGTCGCTCGTCGGCTCGTGTGCATCTCATGTGCTTGTTTCGCGACTGCCTTAGATGCGACCTTGAGAGCATGTTTCGTATCTCCCATCCATATGTAGCTGGCTCTGGCCGTTCCGCGACCTTCAGGGTCAGCGAAAGCGTGCGATGTTGGCTTGGCAGCTTGCGAACACAATATGCTTACAAGTGTAGCATCGACGTTCAACCTTAAACACTGACTCCACTGAGCACCCGCCATCGGATTCCTCATCTCGCCCAGCGAGGATTGGGCGTGCTTTGCCATGTTCGTGCACGAGCTGCCGACTACCGGTGCGATCTCGTTCGCCGACTTTGTGCTCACATCAGGATACTCGATCGAGGTTGCTCACACGACCGAGCATCGCGCCAAGCTCCGCAATGTACTCAAAGAGCATCGTAAGAGTGCTGGAGACGACAATGACCTGGAACAAGGGGACTGGCTGAAAGTCGTTCAGGTGGGCCTTTCCCTCCTGTCGTGCACTTGATTGGAATGTCATTCAGTCGGACTGATGTTACCCACTCCCGATCTGCACTTGCAGGCTGTCGATGAGTACCTACCATACTTGCTGGCGATGTTCAATTGCGTGCAAGTGGACGAAGTTATTTTCAAGCTCGAACCTGGTGAGCAAGCATCGCTTATCTCACCTTGACGCAATGTTGTGATTGAGGATCACTACCCTTGTACCTGGCGCAGAGTTCTCATGGCGCACGACGCTCAGCTCGCATATATTCAGGTCGTCGCCACGAATTTCACTTCGTGGACTCCACTACGAAGTATGCGCCGTGCTGCTCTTATACGGAACTGCCTTGTCCAATTTCGCCGCCGCGATCGTGGCCTCGCTTGGAAACTACGAGCTTGAACGGACGCTGCAGGACGCAGAGCGCAAGCAGCGCGATGACAAGCTCAAGCGCGCCGCAGACACGTTCTGCCAAGCTGCTGGCATCTTCGAATATCTTTCGCAAGTAATGATTCCGCGATGGGAGGAGCGAGCGAGCTGCCTTGATGGTCGGCCGCCGGACTTAACCAGAGAAGTAACCATGGCTTTATCAAAGTTAGTTGTGCAGTGGGTTCCATGCGGCTCTTTGGAGCCATGCTAACGGTGGAACCCTCTCAGAATGGCGCTCGCAGATGCTCAACTGCTATCAATACGAAAGCTCTTGTCAGCGGCAGTCTCTGAGGCGAATGACTTCAACACGCCTGGACCACCGCTGCCGAAAGGTCATCCCTCAGCTTCACTGCTTGCCAAGCTGTATCTGAACGCGGCGAGTCTGTATGAGACCGCCTCCTCGCTAGCGACAACAATCAGCAAGAAGGGCGCGGTCGCTGCGAACTCGAACCTTGCGGTCGACGCATATGAGGACGTGCAAGCCAAAGCCTCAAAGAAGCCGGGAAAGTTGCTTGCAAAATTCAAGGATGCAATCACGGTGGATCACGGGGACGAAGTCGGCTCAGGGCTGTTGACCTATCTATCGGCCTCTGCGTCCGTCTCCAGGGCGCTGGCTTATAAGTGGCTAGGCATCGATGCCGGAGAGAATGGCGAGAGATATGGAGAGGGTATCACTTTCCTCAGGGTTGCCGAAGAAAACATCTCCATCAAGAAGGACCGCCTGAACTTCAGCAGCAGCAGGAGTAAAAGCTCCAGGGCGGAGCTAAAGACCATCCAAGAGCAGGAGCTCAAGAACGTCCAACACTGGCTGAGGGCGTACACCAAAATGAATGACACAGTGCGGTCTCTTGCTAATTTGCAGCTCGATCTGATCATATTGACTGATCCTTTGGCCCCACAGGTTGCCTTTAAGCCAGTGCCTCCCGCTTCAGAGCTGCAGGTCAAGATTCCGGCAGGACGAGCAGTGCTCAGCGTCAAGACGTTCGAACTACCTCCGGTCAAGTTTGGCCCAGGCTCGGAGAATTACACCCATCGTTCCATTGATGCTGCACATGGTTTGGAAGGTAGTCTAGCTGCTATGGACCTGCAGAACCAAGCTAAGCCAGCTGCGGCTAAATATGCCGGTGCCAATGCATACTATTGAGCGTGAACTTGTCGAAATCATGTGTAGGATACAAAGTTGTTGGTTCTAAAGCGACCGTGGTGGTGTAAATACAGAGAGAGTGTGCGTGGAAAGTCCATTCCTGAGCCTCAGCTCTTGAAGTAGAACTCTATATGACTCTGGTCCCCCTTACGAGCAGCGGAATCTGACGGTGAGAGATCGTTGAAGCCAGAAAGACAGGCATCAATGTGCTGGTTCAGCCGTTGATTCATCACTTCCTCTATTGTAGCCGGCGCAAAAGAGATGCGCCTTTGGCACACAGGGCAGTCTTGGAACAGCTGGTGAGCATCCTGTCGAAGTTCACTCTTCTCATCCAAGCCGTCCCTTGACACCAGGCCCTTGTCACAATGGGTAGCTTCTCCTTGCGAAAATTGGACGTTGCCCACTTGCACCTCTCTCAGAGAGGCTTCTAAAGCGAGCCTGATTTGTCGCTCCTCTCCCTCCTCTGTCGAAGCAACATCGCCTTTTCCTAAATTAACCTCATCGCTTGTCCCCCCCGCGTTCAGGTTCCAGCCAATATCAGACTTCGATGCGGCGATAGATCTCCCAGCAGACATAAGCATCTTTTTCAGTGGCCCTCCATCTTGCAACAGTTGCAGATCGCGCAGATTCGTCAAACGTACACCGATCAGGCGCAGTTTGAGCCCACCGGACCGCTTCTGCTCGGCGTCGAATTGTTGCTTGGCGATACTATACAGGTCGTCTGCTGACTTGTAGTGCCTGACAGTGTGGTATGTGAAGGCTCTGCTGAAGCGCTGATACGTGGCGTGCTTGGCCACTAGAGTCACCGTTCTCCCGTCGAAGTCAAGCCGCTCGAGATCCTTCTCGACCTGATCGCAACATTTGCGCAAATGTGTGAGCATCTCGGTTTCATTTGCGGTAGGCATGAATGTCGTTTCCCGTCCGACTGATTTGCGCTCGTGCCGCTGTGCCGGCTGTACAACATGAGAGCCCAGCCCGAGATGCGCCTGCAGGAGCCAATCGATCTTGCCATCAAAGGTCAGGTAAAGCATGACGCGATGTGTCCAGATGTCGCCGCATGTTCTGATCCCGAGAGATTCAAGGATTTTCTCACTGACGCGTCCTATTCCTGGAACCTTTCGCACCGGGAGATCGCGCATGAATGTGATGACTGTGTTGCGATCAGGTTGAACGCGATACTGGCCGTTGGGCTTGTTGAAATCAGAGCAGATCTTCGCCACCATGGTATTGGGTGCGATCCCAATGGAAACGGTCAGCCCAGTTTTATCTTGCACCTCGCCTCTGATCTGCTCAACAACCTGTTCGACGGTCGTCTCGTGCTGTTCGACATATCCAGTCACATCCATGTACGCCTCATCCAGGCTCGCTTGCGCGAGGTTCTCATCGTAGTTGAGCAGAACATCCATGATCTGTCTCGAGGCTGCAACGTAGTCACCCATGTTATTCTTGACGACTATCAGGTGAGGGCAAAGCGCCCGAGCCACGAAGGTTGCCATCCCGCTTCTCACTCCAAACTTTCTTGCTTCGTAGCTCGCTGTGACTAGGATGCCTTCGCCGCCCACTGCGTACTCCTTCCCTTTCAGTGCGGGATCTCTCTTGAGCTCAACAGACGCATAGAAAGCATCCATATCGCAGTGCAGGCTGGAGCAGATGGGCGTCAGTACACTAGGGGCCGCGGTGAAAGGATCGAAACCGGTTCTCACATGGCGTGCGAAAGATCGCGAGTAGACTCCAACCGTGCCACCGCCGACTCGATCTCCTTCTCGATATTCTTCCAGGCCATGCTTCCCTCTCGAATGCCACGGAGCCTGGTATCGCGCTTTTCGGTCATGCGTCGCACCTGCTCCGTGACTTGCGCATCTTTCTTCTTCTCGTGATCTGAGGTCCAGTCGGGACAGGAACATCAGTCGTACGGACAGTGTTGTGAACACGCTTTAGCCCACGCCATACCAAAGAATTTGCCTCCTTTGGTGGTCTCGTATATAATTCGATTAATTTCATATTGATCAAATGCAAGTCCAGCCTTTGCGCTCGAGGCTAGGCGCAGCGGAAGATTGATGCATCAGTAACATCTCCAATCTTGAGAGTCCAACTCGGGGTGTACTCACGTCCGGCTATTCGCCTGCGGAGGCTAGCCTCGGCGGCATCATCCATCGCCTCGCTCGCCCGCTTTTTCCCCGCAGCCTTGCTGGAAGACTCGATCTTGGACGGGCTCGTCAACGGTGATCCGTTTCGCGCAGCGATGCCGGCGCTCGGGCTGCGTCCGAAATTGAAGTCATCGTCCCTGTCCCTCAGGAAATTCATATTGGCGCACACTCGAGCATGTGGCAGACATTGTCCTCATGCCTCAATCTGGACTCGAGCATGGCATCGCGTATGCATCGTTCCCTGTGCTTATACGATGCCTTTGTTGTCGGGAGTACCAGGGGTCACGCCAGAAACGCGTTGTAACACGATTGGCAATTAGGTTAATCGCGCGCTTGGATCCTCATGTGACTTTGATGCCAATGCATAAAGCTGCGCAGAGCGCAACCGTTGATACCAAATGCATGACCCAAGGCTCTTCGCGTCTTGGGTCTTGACAAAACTCTTTGGACGTTGCCTTTCTACACCGTACACATCTGCTCGTCTCGTGGTTGGGAGCAGTGGACAAGGAGCTTTGGGCAGATGCCACCGTTCCCTCTTTCATCAATGGCTTCCTTAGGGTGATGGCTAACGGCGGGCCTCCTGCCATCCAACCCCGTACACCTTCATCCAATCGATCGTCCAGCATCACATCCTCAGGTTAAACGCCATGTCTCTCACAGACTCATATGAGTTTGCACGAGCCTCGATACCCCATCATGAGCTCGAGGCTCAGGGCATCGCGCGCGCGATTAGAGCTGATACACGAGATTGGCAGCGGCACACAGCAGCAACTGACTCCGAGACATGGGAGGCCATTTCCCCGGTCGAGCCTGACCCAAGGATAGAGGATCGCTCGCAAACGGCAGACGGAATCACGGCAGCTCTGCCAATACATCCACAGACCTCTGCTCCGAGCTCACCGGAGAAAGCGGTTGCGGCGGCGATCCCCCAACGGCAGTCGTCCAGGAGCGTGGCTGCGGATGCTGACGAAGGTTTGACGGTCGGCGAACATTTGGACCACCAGAGCGTACCTAGCTCTTCTCAGCAAGAGCAGCAATCTGCAAGGTACGCTCCTCATCAGTCCTTTGGATCTCCCACGTCGTCGCCTAGTCGGCGACAGCGTGAGGTTGACACACTGTCCAGCGACCTTAGCTTGCACTCCGGCGACAGCGCTGGCTCCGGCTCGCCGTCGCGTCAGCTACGGCGTCAGCAAATTCAAGAGCAGCCATCAGTCATGGCTCCTCCAAGTGCCTGGAGCCAACCGGGTAGTAGACTACGAGGTGCAGGGGCCACACGAAATGGTGGAGAAGGCAGTACACGAACCAGATCGTCTTCACTCAGCTTGAATGCCTCGCAGGGTCCTCAATCCTCACCGATATTTGACTTTGTCGTCACAACGTCAGGTCAGATTCTCAACGCTGACTTTGCTGGCGCAGAGACTTTGCAACGGGTCAAGTCAGCGACCTGGAGAGGTTACAGCAGCAGAGCATTCGACAAACATTGGGAACCTTCAGGTTCCAGAATGCCAGCCAGTCTCATTTTTCAGAAGACGCAGCCAGTGGACGATTGCCCGTCCAGTAGTGCAAGTGACTTAGCATCTTCGTCCAAAATGCAAGACGGTCCCAGCAGCGCCAATGGCTCATCGTCCGGTCCCTCCTTCAGCAGCATGAATACCGAACAGAAAGGGCCTGGGGGGGTGCGCCGAAGACTCTTCAGTCGTGCCTCAAAGCCTGGAAGCAAAGGTGCAGAGCTGGGCGCAAGCTCCAACACCAGCTACCAGCGCCCAGGTGGCGGGTTTGTGCGAAGAGTCAGCAGCAAATCATTTTTCCGGAAAGACATTGGCTCCGCCAAGGATACAGACAAGCACGCCCAAATCGAAAATACAGCGATGCAGAGCACCGACACTTTGTCTGGTTCCAGCATCATGAGCGACGCTCAACAGGAACGCAGCGAGTCCAGAGCCAGCAATGCGTCGTCGAAATCGACCAACAACCCATTCTCTGCTTGGGCTCACCGGAGACGCACCAAGAGTTCTTCACCGGCTTTGTCTCTAAGCCCATATGGCGACGCAGAGAGCATCCACGACGCAGACGCGTCGCTTTCACCAAGCAGTGCCTTTACGGAGCTTCCACGCCAGAGCATAGACTCGCAGGCGTCATCGCGGGCGAGCGTTTCGATCTTTGGTCGCAAGCGCGGACAGAGCTTTGTTTCTGTTTCTTCCTCTGGCGTCGCAGAGGCAAGTGCGAGGAATGGGGAAGCACTGCCGAAGCGGCTATCTGGATGGATCATGAACGTGATGAATCGGGAAGAGGCGATGCCCCGGGACAGATCTACGTCGGCTAGTCCTACAGGAGACCAGCCCGAGACGGAGGTGGAACCATTCGCAGGGCTCAGTGCTACGCTTAGCAATACGATTCCCTCCGCAGCGCTACGAGCCAGTTCGAACAGCATATTCAATCCTCCAGACTTCGCAACAAAGCATAATACCGGTCTCCTTTCGTCCCTTGCGAGCCCTGCCGCCCGGCCTTTCAGATTCTTTATGGAAAGCACCAGCGACTTGCTCGGCAGAGCAGACAACACGGGTGGCTGCTGGCTACTGGGCGTCTGGCATGGGAAGGGCTCGTCGCTTGAAGTGGAGGATGACAGCGCAGAACAGGACGCGACAACGCCATCCATCACTCTTTCCTCTGCGACTCCCAAAGGCAACAAGACCAGCAGGCTGCACAGAGGCACCCGCAATGATAGGACTCCTTCGCCAGACCTGACGGGACCCACCAGGGACGGCTTTGATAGCCCCTCACTACCTAAAAGTCCGCCACTTGTTAGCGTCTCCGCTCTCAGTGCGCGCAACTCAGATTCTTTGTGGCAGCAAGACTTCCAGAGCGACTTCCAATCTCGCATCTGGTGCACCTACCGTAGTCACTTCGTCGCGATTACCCGAGACGGGGCCATTTCAGACGAGGCTGCTGCTGCCGCTGCGGAGCAGACAGCCGCACTTGAGGCCGAACAGCTTTCGCTGCATGGGTCCGTTCCAGAGATGGTTGTCTCCACCTGCAGTGGTAACGGATCCCGTCAAGCGAGTAGTCCTTTTAGCAATGGCCTGAGCCAATCTATCCCTTCCACATCGTTGCCACTCGGGGCAGCTGCTGGTATTGGCGAGCGCATGGGCATACCTGGTCTTTGGCATAGGGCAACTGCCGTTGCGCAGGCCGCCGGACTTGCTGGCAGATCTGGTCTCACAACGGATGCAGGCTGGGGCTGTATGCTCCGCACAGGGCAGAGCTTGCTCGCAAATGCTCTTGTCCATGTCACCTTTGGGCGAAATTGGAGGAGACCACAATCTGCCGCTGATTTGGACGAGGACGCTGAGCGAAGACGAGAATACGCGCGCTACATCCGAATCTTGACTTGGTTCATGGACGACCCGAGCCCAGCTTGTCCCTTCTCCGTTCATCGAATGGCAAGGGAAGGGAAGTCTCTTGGAAAAGAGGTCGGCGAGTGGTTCGGACCAAGTACGGCGGCGGGTGCAATCAAGCGCCTGGTGGACGAGTGCGCTGAAGCAAAACTCGGGGTCGTTGTGGCGACGGATGGAGAAATTTATCTCAGTCACATCAAGGCGGCATCTCGGATACGAGGCAAAAAGAACACATGGGAGAGGCCTGTGCTGATTCTGATTGGCGTCCGCCTTGGTCTGTCTGGAGTCAACCCAACTTACTATGAGTCGATCAAAGTAAGTCGATGGCACCCGCACCCGCGATCGTCATGATCGAGACATTGCTCACCTAGATGCCCTTCGCTGCAGACTACGTTTGCATTTCCACACACTGCAGGTATTGCAGGCGGTCGGCCCTCTTCATCCTACTACTTTGTCGGCGTGCAGGACTCGTCTCTTCTCTACCTCGACCCTCATCATGTGCGACCATCGGTGCCTTTTCGCTTCCCCCCACCGTCCCTCTCGGGCGCTGAGCTGGATAAATGGCTGTGCCGAGCATACAGCGAAGCACAAATTGGCACATTCCACTGCGATCGGGTGCGGCGGATGCCCTTGCGCTCTCTCGACCCATCCATGCTCCTCGGCTTTATCTGCACTGATGAGCAGTCTCTGGAGGACTTTTGCAGCCGCGTCAAGGCGCTGCCGAAGACGCTGTTTTCGATCGCGGAGAACCCGCCGAAATGGGCGCAGCAGGTGGATGATCTGGAGCTTGCCATGGAGAGTTTCTCGGACGACAGCTTTGATGCAGACGTAGAAGAAGAGCACGGTCAGGACAGCTTGCTGCTTGAGAAGGATGACCAGAACCAGGAGGCCAGAGTAGTCATCGGGCAGAATGGAAAGGGAGAAGAACAGAAGGAACGCGCCGGTACTGCTGCACACGAGCGCATTTCGAGCTGGACTCATGAAGCTGCCACTCGCCAGCCTTTTCCACAAGCCCTTAAGAAAGACATCAGCAGCGAGGGCAACAGCAACAGCGACAGCAGCTTGGGGCTCGGCGTCCGCTTCCCAACCATGTCGGAGCGGGAACGCGGCAGCGACGAAGACAGAGGAGAGGAACTTGACGGCGTAGAAAGCCGAAGCACCCGCCTTCGGCCGACCACTGACCGCATCACTTCGAGTGCATCCGGCACTTCCGACCTCACTGAGCGCGAGCGCTCGGACAGCGCTGCACAGCGGATCCCGCTCAAGTACCTTGTGCACGCCCAGTCGCACAGCCCATCTTTCAGGCGGTCGCGCGTGCAATCGCGACCCTCCGCATTTACATCAACATCAGTATCAGTATCAGTGCCAGCAGCAGAAGCTGGAGCTGAGGGGGCAGCCAAAGTAGACGAAAGCGGCATCGACGAAAGCTTCTCCACGCTGGACTTTTCCGATGCTGATGATAGCAGCGGCAGCACGACGGGCGTGGATCGATGGGAGCAAATACCCCGAACGAGTCACCGTCGAGCTCCCGAACCTCGACCAGACGATTGTCAAACAGAATCAGAAGTACTTGGTCGTACTCCATCATTGTACTCGCATACATTATACCCGCAGCAGCAGCGGCAGCAGCAGCGCGACGCTGCGCCATTGCCACCGTCAACACCAGAAGGGAACGACGAGGAGCACCATGAGGTGGAGAAAAACGACACTCAGTTTGTCCACCGCACTGCACATGCGCTCTAAACGTCATCAGACAATGCTTTGACAATTTGCATATCGTGTCCGCTGCTCCGTAAAAGCGTACCGAGTATTCCTTCTGCGCCTGCCTTCCTTCTACTCCTCCCTGCGGCGCTCATTTACGACGGCCAGCCGCACCGACAGCGCACCAGTACACCCAGTCTTCCATCTTTCCTACCCGCATGCACAGTCGTCCATGTTACATGTTTGAATTGGCCCTCATCAGAACCCATCCACTGTTGGTCCCCGGACGTGTTGTATCATATCAAGTCTTACTAGATGACGATGGTGAGCAGACAGAAGAACGCGGTGCTCACTTGATATCATCCAAAGTAGGGTTCTGTCCGAACCCTCGTGTGTGTGTTGGGGAAATTCTCTCCCTTTTCTTTCCCCCCCAAGTGCCGCGCGTGTGGCTCCTCTCCCCGCAGAGAGAGCCAGCAGAGGAGAGGAGAGAGAGACTGCTGGCGCGGTGTGCACACCGAGCTAGCTAGCTGCTTTGCCCTCTTTGCTCCCTGAATATAACAGCGACTCCCATCATAGGGATCAGGGCATATAAATGTACATGCACTCTCCCTCGTCAACCCCGATCGTAATCTGGTTGCTTGCTAGCTAACACCAGAGCTCACTCATAGCGAGAGAAAGAAAGTGAGAAAGAGGAAAGCAGCCCCGAGCACACGAGCGCCAGGGGACACCCCCAAACAGCAGCAAAGACCAGACCTACGCCGTCGCTCAGGCGCACCCAATACCTTTTCAAGAGTGCATCATTTCTTTTGGCACCATGTCGAGCAACGTCGAGATTGGAAAGTGAGTCAAGCATGCCATCGAGACGTGTGCGGTTGGCACGGTGCAGACGCGGGGCGGGGAAAGCAGGGGGAAAAGGGATAGCAGTGTGTATGCGCAGCAGAACGCAATGCAGAAGAAGGCTTCCCTTCTTAAGTGCTTAGCTTGGAGTGGGTGGCATGGAACTCTCAAACGGAGATTCTCGCTTCTATCCACGTAGCCACACGAGCAAGGTGCTAGCGTAGGCAAACTGGCGTTCCGAGGCATGTTTATATTCGTGTCTTGGGACTTCCAGTGAGCGAGCTACCTACCCGGACGGGGATGTGCAACCCGTCTGCTACAACGCCTCTCACGCAAGCTTAATGCAGGCTGGCATGCCATATTGCTGAGCGCTCCCAGTACCAGGTGGAAATTCTGGACCTCGTATTTTCGAGGGTCAATTCGCTGACTTGAACTCGGCGCACGCTCTTTTGCCGTCCGAGCAGGTCCCGGAACGCGGACCTCACCGCACCGACACCTCAAAACACTCCACTCAACACCGCCCCCCTCACCAGGGAAACCCTGTCCAGGCCAACTGTCGGTACCATCAGCGAAGACAAGGAGGCTGATGACCATGCTGGTGAGTCATATGAAGTAGTGAAACGACTACATCGTTATTATGAAAGCGGGCACAGTTGAACGTAATGCTAATGAGAAAGTTTATCGTGCAATGCTGTTCCAGGCGCTGCCGCCTCGGTTCTGGCTGCGAACCCAGCCTTGGCTGGGTTGATCCAGAGCAAGCTCAACACGCTCGTTGGCCGCTCCTCTGGCTACGTCGAGTTGCTGCCAGACTACGTCAAGCGTCGCGTCGAGGGCCTCAAGGGCCTGCAGGTCGAGCACCAAAAGATCGAGGCTGACTTCCAGAAGGAGATTCTCCAGCTCGAGAAGAAGTATGCTGCACGATACGCTCCGCTGTACGAGAAGCGTGCCAGCATCATCGCAGGCAAGCAGGAGCCCACCACCGAGGAGGTCAAGGCTGGCGAGGCGTCCGAAGCTGACGACGAGGAGGCCGAGGACGAGGACGAGGAGGAAGGCGTAGAGGGACAGGAAGCACCAAAGAAGTCACTCGTCGACGTGCCCGCTCCGGCAGATGGCCAGAAGGGTATCCCCGAGTTCTGGTTGACAGCGCTGCGCAACCACGTCGCGCTGAACGAGCTAATCACTGACCGGGACGAGGAGGCACTCAAAGCGCTGGACGACATCAAGATGATCCACCTTCCTGACGGCCAGTCCGGATTCAAGCTCGAGTTCCACTTTGACCCTTCGCGTAACGACTTCTTCTCCGACGAGGTGCTCACCAAGACGTACTTCTACCAGGATGAGGTGGGATACTCGGGCGACCTCGTCTACGACCACGCTGACGGTTGCACGATTCACTGGAAAGAGGACAAGGACCTGACGCACAAGATCGAGACTAAGAAGCAGCGCAACAAGAACACCAACCAGACGCGCACCGTCAAGCGCTCCGTTCCCGTCGAGTCGTTCTTCAACTTCTTCTCTCCGCCCAAGCCACCCTCGGCACACGATGGCGGCGAGCTCGACGTCGAGGACGAGGCGGAGATTGACGAGCTCGAGGAGCGCCTCGAGCTCGACTACCAGATCGGCGAGGACCTCAAGGACCGCATCATTCCCCACGCCATCGACTTCTTCACCGGTAAGGCGCTCCAGTACGAGGACATGGAGGGCCTTGATGACGACTTTGAGGATGAGGATGAGGACGAGGATGACGATGTGAGTCTCCTGTTCCCCATTTTCTCTTTCCCTTTTACTTTAACATCTGACTGACCAATCTGATTCACTTTGACAGGATGACGAAGACCAGGACCACACCACACGCCGTCTCGGCGCCAGTGCAGGCTCGCAGATGGCTGGCTCGGCTGACGCCGAGCAATGCCGGCAACAATAAGCGCGTGCGTGCGTGCACCCGCCCCCATCCTCATGACGCTTGTGCTGGAGTTGGGCCCCTCCTACGATACCTGGCCTCCCCCCTTTCCTCCGAATGCACCAAGGAACTTGGCTTGTCGTCATCACAACCGAACCAACATTTCGCGCCGCGCATGTGTTGTTTCAGCTTCCATGTATCACCCATCTTCTCCGCGTCTTCCAGTATCAACCTATCAGCGAGCGCGATTGCATGCGTGCACCCGCAGGAACGCTGCTGCAGCGCACCCACGGCAGAGCAGCAAAGGATAGCAGGGGGCCCTGGGCCCAGAACTTCTTTCAGTAAAGTCAACGCGCAAGGGAGAGGGGCAGATGAACGCCTTCAGATTGTTGGTTTTTTTTCTTTGTTCCCCATGTCGTTCTGCATCAAGAAAATCCAATATAGAGATCGTGACGAGCATGCGGTTCGTTGTGGTGCTGGATCTGCGCCCCTCTCTTAGCTATTCCATCATGCTCTGAACGATGCATGCCCTTGCTGCTCATGGGAAAAGAGAAAAGAGAGTTCGAGTTGAAGTTGAAATACAGCTGCTTTTTCTCTCATCGACCTTGGTATACATCCTTCCGTTTGCGTATCGACCTTGCTCGACCTCACGCAGGCGTCTTCAACAATCGCTTCAAGACCTTTCCAGAATTACTGTGTGTGCATCAGAGCAAGCGAGGTCAGCGTCAGCAAGCTTGGCGCAACGTATCGAGTACATGGGCCGTGAGGGCTTACCTCTTGGGAAGCGCATCGACCCATGTGATGCCCTTGATCCTCTTGTAGCCTGCAACATGGCCGTTGATCGCCTTTGTGATGGCCTCACTCCGCTCCTTCTCCGGCACCTCTGCCGCGTCTTTGCTCGCGACGAGGAATGCCCACGGAATCTCTGTGCCTTGATCGTCCGTGGCGCCGACGACGGCCGCATCAGCCACGCTGGGCTGCTTGAACAGCAGGTCCTCCAGCTCCCTCGGCGAGACTTGGAAGCCGTTCACCTTGATTATGTCCTTTGTGCGGCCTGTCAGCGTGATGTGCCCCTGTTCGCTGACCTTTGCCATGTCGCCCGTACGCAGCCAGCAGTCCGGATCGTCGCGATTGGAAGTGAATGCTGCCCGGTTGCCCTCATCATTGTGCACATAGCCAGCCATCATTTGCGGGCCCTGGAGCAGCAGCTCGCCTTCTTGGTCAGGTCCTACGTCTGGTATTGCGCAGGACAGTCAAGTCTGTCAGCATGGCTGTTCTTCATCAACCCGCGTCATGGACAGCGCGGCATCCTCACCTTGACCATCCGGTCCCAAGATGCGCGCCTTGGTGTTCGGAGCAAGGAAGCCGACTGAACCAGGTGCCTCTGCCGCATCCTTGACGTTCTGAAGACAAACGATCGGGCTCATCTCGCTCATGCCTATACCCCGCAAAATGACAAAGGCTGTCAGTATGAGTATGTTGTGTGTGCAGGGATACTGAATGCGCGCATCCAATCCAAGGCCTCACCGTATCCGTCTGTCACATCGATGTTGAGACGCTGTTTGACTTGTCTTGCGAGCTCATGAGGCAGACTCGCGGCACCAGACGCAACGCGCCTAAGCGACGTCAGATTGTACTTGTCTACTTCTGGGCTCTTGGCGAGTGCGAGCACTGGTTGGCCATATGTCAGAAGGAGGATGGATGCGTCAGTCAGGCACGGTACATGCTGAAGCCCCGGGATCCGCTCACAGACTGGTGGGACGACGAATACAAACGTCACCTTCTTGTCTTGCGCAACTTGAAGGAAGAGGTCCAGCTTGAATCTTGCAAGCACGACGCGTGGCGTGCCTGTGTACAGCGCGACGAGCTGTGCAAGAAGCCCGTAAGCGTGGGACGTAGGGAGAATATCGATGTGGAATTGGCTCGCGGGTGGGCTGGAAGGGGAGGAGGAGGACATGTGTTGCTCGAATTGGTCGTCCATCAGTACGCGGAACTGGAGAACGTTGGCGACAAGGTTGCGGTGCGTGAGCGCGAGCGCCTTGGGCAAGCCGCTGGTGCCCGAGCTGAAGCAGTACGTCGCCGGGTCCTTGTACGGGTTGATGTCGACTTGGCCCAGGAGCTTCTCCTTGCGCGCCCAAGCGCTCTTTGGCGGCGTGAGCAGGGTGTCAGCCCAGCTTGCGTGGTGTGATTCGTCAAAGGCGAAGATCTGAGGCTGCACAATCTCCTCGAGCGGCTCTTCGCTGGGGTCCATCTTGGAGCTTGCCAGCTTGGCAGCTTCTGAGGCAGAGTCGAACGTCTCATCCGCGGCGATGATGATGCAGGCCTTTGTCATGCGTAGCTGATGCGCCAGCTCACGCGGCGTGCACGAGGGGTTGCACAGCGCGGCGATGCCGCCTGCCATCTGGACGCCGAGCACGGCGGCGCAGTAGTCGTGCTGGTTGGTGCTGAAAAAGGCAACGACGTAGCCTTTTTGCCATTTTGGCTGCACGACCGCGGCGCCGTGGTGGTATGCGGAGGAGAGGAGCGATACTGCGACGCGCTCGGCGATGGATCGGATTTGCAAGTGCGACAGCGGAGCTGCCGTAGCAAAGTCGAGAGGCACCCGTTCGTCTCCTTCTGAGGAGGGACCGCGCACGGAGCTCAATGAACGATTGGAAAGCGACTTGGAGACTCGTTCCTTTGCGATCGCTGTGAGCTTGCCAATTACCGTCGTCGAGGAGGCACCGTCTTGTTGCTGCTGTTGCTCACCATCTTTGCCGTTGCGCGTGGCCAAGACCCGCGGCGCGATGGGAGACGGGTGGAAGATAGGCTGGGAGAGGCGATCAGATGCGGCTTTGGAGAAGGAGGGTATCAAGAGGAGTTGAGGGAGCGTGCAGTCGGGTACATCGATGTCCTTGTGCGGCGAGGTGGTGATGACGTGCGGCATGGTTGTGTGGGTTTCCGCGCTGGGATACACTTCACCGTGAGACCATGAAGGTGTGCTCGTCGTCGGTCACGGCTCTATTCTTTGGAGGGCGTATCACTCGGGGAGGAGGGGGATGGTGGTTGCAACAGGGTCTCATTCAGTGCTCAGACCAACCAACCTCAGCTGGCCATTCTATGGCGGAGAAGTGGAGAAGGGTGGATTGAGGCTGGAGGCCGTCCATTCTATTTGCCCAACATAGAGTGCGTCCGACTCTCGTCTCTAGCAATTCGCCAACGACGCCCTCGAACGGAGGTTCGAGGTACAATCCAGTGTTTGCCACATGCGCGCCAGCTGAATGTACCCTCACTACTAACTGCGCTGGCTGAGGACACGAGGTACATGACCATGACCATGTACGGGATACATACATGTCTATCCACCATACCGACGGACACATCCGCAGCGGCCATTCCTCTCATTTTTCACTCGGCCCGGCCACCGAAGGCCGAAGAGGCGGAAGGGCCCGGGTTATGCCAGGCAAATTCACCCGGGGAGCTCCGCTTTTCCATGGAAATTCATGGGGATCTGGATGATGACGTCGGCAGCAGAAAAGATTGTTGGATGGATTGGGAGCCAAGACGCACGTGAAAGAAGCGCTCCTCTGACATCCGCCTGTCGCAAAGTGTTCTAATAGAATAAGTAGGTAGGGAGGGAGCGCTGCGTTCCACTCTGAGTAATAAGGAATGCTACTCTTCGACAGACAGACAGCCCTTTGGATCCTCAGGTGGCGCAGACCGCCCGTCAGTCCCCAGCGTCCCATACTCTTCCTGCTCGGCCCCGTCTCGCTCCTCGTGAATCTAGGGCTGCTTCATCGTGCATTGCCAGTGAAGCTGCCAGACGCGCCGGTAGCCGGATCGGATTTCAACCTTCCATTATCCACACAAACTTTCACTGCTTCCCCCCTTTCACCCCTTGCCTGCCGCCGGGTCGCAGTTTTCATAGACAACATTGTCCCTGCGGGCTGCAGCTACTGACTATGCCGCTCGCTCACGGTCGAGGGACAGCCGCCGAGCAAGGCGCAGCCCTCCGGGCGAGCATCATCGTTGAGCAAAGCCGTTCATCAGACAGCGCCAGCCAAGAGCGCCGCTCCTCTGTGGCTTGCAGCAGGCAGGACACTTCATCCTACGAGCAGCTTGCGTCTTGCTCCAACCCTGATATCAGCGTTCCTTCGATGCCCGTGGAGGAGCGATTCTGCGACGCAGATCACGGCGAGCCGGCAGACACCACCGGTGTCAAGAAAGAGAGCCGCCCAGCCGAAATGGAGGGCAAGAGACCATCTCAGAAAACTTTCCTTGCATCTGTGGGCGCAAGTGAAGGCGCTGGGAGCAATGAGAAGTCGCATGCACGTCCTGCCGGTAACCTAAGACGTAAGACACCCTTTGCGATGAAACGCGTCGAAACTCTCACGGGTATCGACAATCTTACTCTCCTTCTGGTAAGCGTCACACCTGTCATCAGGATCCTGATACACAGCGCCAATGACGCCACATCCTGGCTATTTGCATGGAAATCCCCCCTCCTTGCAGGAAGATGAGGCGTACCATCCAGCCTGCTTTAGCATCTACATGTTCGAAACTGACATTGACCGACAGACCGTGGAGGCTTTTCTTGAAAAGCTGGTCGAGCTGTTCCCAAAATACAGATACAAAGTCGAGCTGGATCCTTCGAAAGCAGCAAAGCTAGACAAACAGGCTCGCAAACGACTGGCAGCTGCAAATGGGCATGTCGATGTGGAAAATGCGGAAGCCGAGAAGGCCCGCAGGGATCGCAGCGAGCATCCCGACCCGGGACGCAAGACGCGCTATGCAAAAGGTCTCAAGGCTGGCGCACCCTTCACCCCGGCCAAGTGGCGCATCCTCGATGACTTTGACATCCGCGAGAATCTGGAGGAGCAGACGTGCACCGCGCCGAACAATTCCGAGAACGCCCTCTTCGACATTGCCGGTCGCTTTCTGGAGCGTCATTTCAACTATCAGAAGCCCCTGTGGGAGGCTCTTCTTGTGCACGGCTTGGAAACGGAAGACGGGTCCAAGGCTGGGCTCATGATCAAGATTCATCACGTCCTCTCGGACGGGCAGGGCCTGATCCAGAGCTACGGTGTTGCCTTGGCCGCCATCGAGCATGGCTTGTCTAGCGAGGACGTCCAACACAGATTCGAGTTGTCCCCAGAGGTCAAAAAGCCAGGGCAGCGTGGGGTCAAGCCGACGGTGAGGGGCACAGTGAAGCACTCTGCCAAGACGATCCGCGGGCTCTACCTGCGTTCTCGCAAATCATTTCTGTACGCCCCTTCTTCGCAAGAGGGCCGCGTTTACGGGCGGCGGTACGCACACTCGCGCGGAATCGACATGAACGACATCAAGCTGATCCGCGAGGCGTTCTCGACGGACAAGGAGAAGCTGACGCTGAACGATGTCGCGTGCGCCGTGCTGTCCAAGAGCATCGCGATCGCCGCGCGTCGCGTCGCGCCGGACGGCAAGGTGCGCGACAAGCGCATCGCGATCTTTGTCCCGATCTCGGTGCGGCCCAAGGGCAACTATGAGCTGGCCAACATGACGACGGGCGCCATCGCGTGGTTCGCGCTGGATGAGAACATGCCGCTCGAGGGTCGCCTGGCACAGGTCAACCGCGAGATGACGAGGATCAAAAAATCGCATCTGCCCAAGATCTGGTACAAGACGCTCGACTTTGTCTGCAAGCGCAGGCTGTGGTACGTCCCACATTATCCCATCGGCAAGGAGTTCTTCGAGAAGGCGTACCGCGAGGTGAGTAGCAGCAGCATCATCATCCTTTGGACGTCTTTCTTTGTGTGGTTGTGACCTGACTGCTGACTTGCGTGGGCACGCAGTACTCGGTGGCCACCAACGTGCCGGGTCCGCCCAAGCCGGTCAAGTTTGGTTCGCACGTGGCGAACCGGTATTTTGTTCTGCCGCCTTCCTCGCCGGGCAAGGGCACGCTGGCGATCGGCCTGATCAGCTACGCCGGCAGCCTATCGGTCTCGGTCTCGTGCGACGACGTGCCCGAGTTTGCGACACTTGCCAAGGGCATCTGCGCCTCCTTCCAGGATGGCGCAGCAGACCTCATCGCCGCTGCCAAGGAGCGGCTCGCGGCGCGAAAGGAGAAGGCCGCATAGATTTCCCTTTTACGCTGCTATAATGGAAGAGATACCATGTCCGAGCAAGATGGGACCAGCCAAAGGACAGAGCTTTTTGCTGCCTCTTTTTGTTATTCATGCTGCTCAGCCGCGCATCTGTATTGCCATTGGCTACACGTGGTATATGTGGCCCCCGCGCTTTCGCCCCCTTCTTCGCTTGTAATGCATACCCACGAGCAGCCATGCTGCTATATGTACATGTAATGGACCGTCCTTACCAAACACCAAGTCTCGGATCACCAGCTCGCGTCGTATTGCTCCGAGTCCATATTGCCTGGCAGTGGAACCGCAGACGAGATGGATTTACGGAATATAGTCGTGTGATTCCACGTGTAAACCCACACACAAGTCGGTGGTCTGCCGCCGCCAGTGCGATATTTTTTCTTCCAGTGAGAGTGAGCGAGCGAGAGAGCAACAAAGCCGTGCACAAGGACGCATGAGAGCTTTTGACGAGGTCGAGAAGACTCGCGACGACTGCATCCAAGAGGGTTGTTTCTGACACCACCACGAGCTCAGCTTGACGGCATAAGTGCATACACGCTCACCTGCTGGACGCATACAGCAGCCGAAGCAAAGCAGACACACCACCCATCTGCCCGCGCCCGCCCATCGGAAAGGAGATCCAACCATGTCTTTCTTCCGCAAGGTTGACTCGGACTCGGAGTCGGAGTCGTCCGAGGAGGAAGAACTGCTTTCATCTGAAGACGAAGGTCAGGACGCCAAGCCCAGTGCGCCCAAGAAGGGCAGTGCTTTCCTCAGATCCGATGGATCCTCTGACGAAGATTCTGACGACGACTCCGACTCGGACGATGACGATGACGACGACTCGGACATGGACTCGGACGTTGAGGGCGGCCAGAAGAAGGCGCCCGTGAACAAGTTCCTGCGCGGCGCAGTATCCGATGGCAGCGATAGCGAGGAGGAGGTCAAGAAGATTATCAAGAGTGCCAAGGACAAGAGGGCTGACGAGGTTCAGGCGGTGATTCACTCGATCCAGAACGCGCAGCGGATCGATGACTGGGTCGCCATCTCCAAGGGTGAGTAAGGCCGTGTCCATTTCTTGCCGTATTTGGTCATCGTATCAAGTATTTCTGATCGTTCTGAATCCCTGTATCACACACCTGATTTGTCATCGTGCAGAATTTGACAGCTTAAACAGGCTCTGCGAGCGGCAAAAGAACGTCGGAGAAGCCATCCCATCCAGCTACATCAAGGCACTCGTCGAGCTCGAGGACTTCCTCACTGCATCCATTGCCAAGGAAAAGCAGGCCGCCAAAAAGATGAAGGCTCCTTCGGCCAAAGCGATGAACGGCATGAAGCAAAAGCTTCGCAAGACGATCAAGGAAAACGAGGAGAGCGTTGCTTCGTACCGCAAGGTGAACAACTAACTTGGATTCGTGCTGCGTTGTGACCATTCGCTTGAATATTGTGTGCTCACGTGCCTTTTCATTACGCTCTGCAAAGGACCCCGAGGCATTCGAAGCCGCTACCGCACAAGCTCCGGCGGAAGCGCCCAGTGCTTCGAGGGAGCGTGCGGCAGCCGGAGATGCACCAGCGGGCGAAGCTGCTGATGCGTCCGAGGAGTTCCAGACCGTTGGTCGTGGCGGGCGGGCGATCGCCATTAGCAGCGAGGCCCTCTTCAAAACCATGGCGACCATCATGGAGGCACGTGGGCGTAAGAGCACCGACCGGGCAGGCCAGATCGACACGTTGAACAAGCTCAGCGAGGTCGCCGTCTCTACCTACCAAAAAATCCGCGTCATCCTCGCCCTTCTCGCCGTTCGCTTCGACTACAATGCCTCTGTGCAGGCCTATCTCCCCGCCGATCAATGGGAGGCAGCGCGCAAGGACATCGACGCCCTGCTTGCCATCGTCGCAGAGGATGCTTCTTACGTCATTCAGGAGGACACGGAAGAGTACGACGACCAGATCGACCGGCTTCCCAACCAGGATGGCGAGGGCGAGATTGTCAAGGTTCGCGGCAGCATCACCACCTTCCTCGACCGTCTTGATGATGAATTCACCAAGAGCTTGCAGAACATCGACCCGCACACACCAGAGTATGTCGAACGACTCTCGGACGAGAAGTGGCTCTACTCGACGATCATCCGCGCCCAGCACTACTTTGAGCAGCGTAGCTTGGACGACGCCCTCGACCGTGCGGTCGTGCGCCGACTCGAGCACATCTACTCGAAGCAAGAGGTCATCACACATGCCCTTGAGGCAGCTTGCAGCGACGCCTATGCGACCACCAAGTCGCGTTTCTGCCCCGAGCCCGCGCAGATCGCGCAAAAGGGTGGCGCTACCAAGCTGGTTCATGCCCTCTGCGTCCGGCTTTACCGCAGTCGTGGTGCAGCTGCGGAGCGCGCCAGGACCCGCGCCATGCTCTGCCAGATCTACCACCACGCGCTGCACGCGTACTACCAGCTCGCCCGCGACATGTTCCTCATGAGTCATCTGCAAGAGGCTATTGCTATGGCCGATGCCGCCACGCAGATTCTCTACAACCGTGTCGTTGTCCAGCTCGGGATATGCGCCTTCCGTGTTGGCCTCATCCGCGAGTCGCAGACGGCCCTGCAGGACATCTTTGGCTCTGGCCGCGTCAAGGAGCTCCTCGCGCAGGGTCTGCAGCGTTCCGGCCAGTACAATACCATCACGCCCGAGCAGGAGAAGATCGAAAAGCAAAGGCAGCTGCCGTTCCACATGCACATCAACCTCGAGCTGCTTGAGTGCATCTACCTCGTCGGCAGCATGCTGCTCGAGATCCCCAACATGGCCTTCGCAGGCAACGACCCAGAGCTCCGCAAGCGCGTCATCTCGCGGCCCTTCCGCCGCATGCTTGACTACACGGACCGGCAGATCTTTAGCGGCCCGCCTGAGAACACGCGCGACCACGTCATGCAGGCCAGCAAGGCACTCCAGAACGGCGACTGGCAATCCAGCGTTGAGCTGATCAACGACATCAGCATCTGGAAGCTCATGCCGAATGCGGACAAGGTCAAGAAGATGCTCGCCAAGCGGATCCAGACCGAGGGACTTCGCACGTACCTCTTCACATACGCAAGCTACTACGACACTGTCTCCTTCGACCACCTCTCCGCCACCTTTGACCTCACCGAGAGTGAGGTCCGCGCGATCGTCAGCAAGATGATCTGGAGTGAGGAGCTACCCGCGAGCCTGGACCCGTTCAAGAAGGTCATCGTCTTGCACCGTGCCGAGCTCAGCAAGGTGCAGCAGCTGGCCCAGGCGCTAGCCGACAAGGTCTCCTACACGCTCGAGCAGAACGAGAAGACGCTCGCCGCAGAGACAGCCAAGGGCGCCGGAGATGGCAAGGACCGGGCCGCTGGGGATCGCGAGCGCAACGACGGCGGTGGTCCGAGGAGGGAGGGCCGGCGGACCGGCGGCGGCGGTGGAAGAGGGCGAGGGAGAGGCAGATCTCAATTTACCCATAGCTTCATCGGGCAAAAGGTCTAGATTTTGCAGTATAGCCTCGCAAAATGACCATCTCGCATCATCCATGCACATCCACCCAGCACGCTCCGTTCATGTCCTGCAAGCTTACAAACTTGACATTTAATTGGACTTGCGTACGTACATGTGCTGTGATGAAAGGATGTATATCGTACAATGTGAGGCGGTGCTGGTGTTGATGTTCGGCTGGGGTCCTGGATTGGGCTCATACAGCTTGTAATTTGGAGCGAGTGGGATGCACGTAAGTCAATCGGACCACTCCTCGGAATGATGGTCGTCGGACCACTCGGGATTTTCGAAAGGATGATCGTCGTAATCCTCTTTTTCGACTACCTCACGCTCAACCCGACTGATCAGGGAATCGATCTCGACGAAGTGCAGCTCATTCACCGCGAACTTGCGGTGTTTGCGGCTCGCAATGTGCTGCGGAGCGATCGACACGTAAGCAACAAAGATTGCACCACTTCTGGATCTCCCACTCACTTCGTCAAAGTCGTCGTATTTGACCCTGCAGTTTTCGCAATAGCCTGGCTTCTTGTCCTCTCTCTCGCGCTGAACTGCATCATTCGTGCTGACCGATCTGCGCATGCCGGCCAGAGGATTCGCGCCTTTGTTGGCTGCACGCATTGCCAACAGCTGTCTCACGGGTCCTAATCGCTCCTTTGGGTACATGGCTCCTAGTTTGTGGCCAGATGGAGTCATGGTCATGGTCCTGCGACTGAGCTGAGCCACACGCGGGTCCATCGCGGCTTGGCCTCCCGCTCCCGCGTGCTCGTTCAGAGCCGATGTGGTGGAGCCCCAATTGGAAGTGATAGCCACGCTGTTGCCTGAAGCAAGAGGATAGTCTCGTTGCATCTCCGTCGTCAAAGGATTCAAGTCAGCTGGAGGAGGGAACAAAGGCTTGCGTAGTTGGCTGAGGGACACCGAGCGTCGAAGTGTCTGATGCGCATTTTGTGAGGGCCCTTGCTGACGTCTGCGAAAAGCTTCGCAGCGCGTGAATGGGCACCTGCCTTCGCCATCGTTGTACAGCACTGGCCAGCTCGGGTCGTGATGGGGCCCGGTCTTCTTATGCTCTTCAATTGCAATCGGACGATGCTCACCCGTGGCGTCTTCCACGAGCAGGTAATAGCAGCCCTTAGAGAAGTAATAATGATCTTGCCTCTGCGCAAGCAAGTCTCGTTCAAGCGTTCCGTGAAGCTTTTCTTGATGCAGCATATGGGAAAGGTCATGACGGACTTCTGGAGGCTGATAGAGCTGCACTTTATCCTCGAGCGTGTCAAGGATTGTGAGGAATTCTGTAAAAGCATTAGCGTGTCCATCAGCAGCCGTGGTGAGAATGATGAGACCGCAGTCGGCAGTCGCGCTTACTCTGCTTGACCCAAATCCTGATGTTCAAGCGTGCGGCCTTTGTGAGTACATCATTGGATTGTTGGCGAGCATTTTCGTCGAATGGGTTGCGGTCGGAATGAATAGGAACCCTGAAGCAAAATCTGAGTCAGTAAAAGCGTGCTTTTAGTGGGCAGCTTTGGGCTGCTCACTGATTAAGAGGAAGTGAATTGCGTGCGGCGACTGGAAGATTCATGTTCTCCTTGGCCCTCAAAGCAGTATCGCCTGCGCGACTGCTTCCCTTGCCTGCTGCCTCGCGCTTGCTGAAGGAAGATCTTCCGGAGACTAGATGCGTGCAACTCTTCGAGAAGAAAGGCTCCACATGCTGCCAAAGGCATTGGAACAGTTTGTGATTAACATCTGCGGTTGACGTTTGTGTAAGAAGTGCACATTGACTCACACCTCCCAAGGCTTCCACGCGTGCGGCAAGCTCTTCTTTTTCAGCATCATTGAAATCGTCCAAATAGAAGATGAAGGTGGGGAAAGCCTTGCGGTACTTGTTCCTATATGCAGCCATCTCAACGGCGCGTTGTTTCTCACGCGCCATGCGCTCAGCCTCTGATATCCTTGGATACTTATCAATACGGGTGGTGGTTTCAGTTACCGATCTGTTCGTCTTTGCGATGACTTTCTTTCCATGCTGCTGATCCTTTCCCATCAATAAGGTTGTTGCACCTGGCGCTTCCTGCTTAGGCAAAGGATGCTGGTCGCGCACGGTGAAGCCAGAGATGCTCATGGCGAGGTTCTCCCCCGTTCCTGTGCTAGGCGCGTCTGCTGCCACGTCCATGCTACTCTCCGTCTTGGAGGAGCGGCTTCGCTTGCTGGGGCTAGGAGCAGTGTTGCGGAAGTGGACCTGCTCAAGAGGTACTGCCCGCTTCTTTGGAGTGACGGCCATCGGCGCTGCGCCTCGCTGGGGAGGCCCGACGAATTCAACCTTGGATGCCATGCTCGCTCAATACTGAAGCTTCGAGGCAGGGTTGCAAGTGAGCACGCTCGCCTTGCCTGTCTCTGGCGTCTAGCTGATCCTGCCGCAATACATTTGCCAGGCTCTCCCTTTCCTGCGCCTTCACGTTGGGGTTCCAGTGGGAGATGGCAAGCTTGAGGAGCCACAGAGCGTGAGCTGATGCTGTTCCTCACGCGGCTGGGGTTTCTTCAAGCTGCGAGCTGGCGGGTCCGAGACTCAGGCTCTCAGTGTGCCTGTATCCTGTACCGCATTGGGGATCCTAGGAGGCGTCCCTTGGCTCTATGGCAGTTGCCTGATGCTGTCGCAAGGAGTCCCAAAGACAGAGAAGAACAGCTCCTGCGAATCACCCACCAGTCATGAGCCAGCCACACACCATCTGCAGGAGAGAGAGAGTCACCCCAGGCCGAGAGGAAACTCGAGTGTTGTTGCATTTCCCTTAGTGAATATGTCTCCGCCACACGCGTCGCGTCGCGCTTCTCGCCAGTCAGTCAAGGGGCCATTCTAACCCTAACTAATAATTAACTACATGTTTCTCGCATTTGCATCGCCGTGGAACCGTGATCATGAACTTGTTCCTGGGTGACTGCACGCCATTGTTCTTGCAACGACGTCCGCTGACCGTAGGTCGGATCGCTCCTCTCTAGAGACGCAAGTAGGTGGCGATCATTGCATTTTCGGCAGGGTGATAAAGTCCCAGTACCGCCCGATTTTTGGCCCCTTCACGGTCACAAGGCGACAGTGTAGCCAGGGCTGAAAGGGAAGAGTACTGGGCGAATAGGATTGCTGTGTTTTGGGCTGTATGTGGTGCGGCTTCAACTCAAATGAGTCATTCCAAAAGCATTCGAGCTGTCCTTGGAGAGGATAGCTCGCCGCTATGGCTCGTCCTGGCATACGAATCCGAAGCCGACGGTAAAGTAACGCCTGACAAACAAAAGGCCTCAGGGATTAAGGGCAAGGAGGCTGCATCTGGCACTTCTTCCGTGAACATCACCGTGATCGGACTGAGATCTGACGAAGCCAGGAATTACTGCGGACGCCAAGTGAGTGCCAGTGCTTGATCACCGTAACAAGGGGGAGTATTGAACTGACATTCCATATAACCCCCTGCGGCGAGCTCTCCGCAGGAAGGCACCATTGAGGATATCCGTGAGCTCTGGACCCCAGAACGCATGCAAGTTGTTGAGAGCCAAGATGGCAATATTTCGGTCCGTTTCCTTCGCAGTGGATTCTTCACGGTATCCTCGTCTTGCTGACAGTCTCTAATACATCATAGCTTCAATTGAGCCATGTACATCGGCGCATCATTACCCTTTCACCCGTGCAAGAAGGCGATGCGCTCAAGCACATCAAATGTGCTGCAATCATGGTAAGTCTGCCGTCTACGCTTTTGAAATATCCGTTGACTAACTTGGCTCAAACGTGCTCATTCCTATGCCTCTCAATTAGGAAGGGATTCATCCGGACTTGCAAATGCTCCTTCAAAGCCAATCGACCCATATGTATGACAAGTACACCAAAGAGTTGCAAAAGTACCGTGCAGTAAGTTGAGAAGTGCTGATATCAGCCTGGAGATGTGCTCACTCAATTTACGGCATACACGTACAGCTCGTTAGCACAAACGTCTCAAAGCCTAAAGCGAAAGCTGCACAGATCTCCACCTTGAATCCGAGCAGAATGAAGTGGGTGCGAACATATATTTGTGAATAATTCAATGCACGGAAGCAAGATACTGACGTAAGATACATCTTGTGGTGAGTGCAGACGCGTTCGAAGAGACGACGAGTGCGAATTTGTGGGAGATGACGATGACTGAGGGCGGCATACCGCATGCTGGCAACCTCGCTAGAAGATGGCCGCGGCATAAGGGCAGTCCTCCAGCTTGTGGTCACTGCAAGGCAAGCACGTCAGCACGGCCCATGGCGCTTGCACGTGTCGAGTACTTACGTCTCTCCGCAGTCATCACAAGGAGTGGCTTCGTTCTCGTCCCCAAGCTGCCCATGCACAAGAAAATTCTGGGTCGATGTGGCCACCTCCTCGCCGAGGCTGCTTGGTGGCCGTTGGACGGCTTGTGCAGAGGATACTGATTCTGGCAGATCCTCTGACCTCAGCTCCTCCACCTGAACAGATAATATTTAGAAGGAAAGTATCATTAGCGCGAGTACAGCAGCTTTGGCTCCGTTCTGCTCTGCATACCTTTTGACGCTCGTCTTCGAAAGCAGCTTGCAGCGAAGCCATTGCATTTTCCATTTCGATAAATTTGGTGCGACTCTCGGCTTCAGCCGCGCGCTGCTGTGCGAGTTCGTCCTTTGCTTTTATAAGCGCGTTCTTGTACTGTTGCTCCGAGGCTGCGAGCTTCGCTAATTTCGCGCGGAAGTATTTCTCTTGCTCTTCCTTCGCATTTAAAGCGTCTGCCAGGTTCTCCTCCAGTCGTATTACCCTGCTTGCGATGACTTCATTGTTACCATCCATCGGAGTGGATTGTCCATCAGGAACCGCCACTTCCTCTGCAGGTGGAGGCGAAGTCGCCAAGGCTGTAACTCGATCGAGACTTCCCGAGCATGCAGCGCACACGGATGAGGTATCAACACTGTTCGGGACGTTCAGATTCGAATCCATTCCTTCCGATTCAAAATTGAGCGACCTGGAGAGTGGCTATGAGGGTCAGCCGATGTCATTCACCGTATCAATCTGTTGTCGCTCACTTCTGGCGTTTTGGAGCAGCTGCTCGGCGCGATGCCGCCGATTGCAATGCCCAATTGCTCTGCACTGCCATTGCGAAAGAGGTTGTGTGAAGGAGCGCCATTCCCCTCCAATCATCTGCACTGATCTGTATTTCTTCGAGGCGCCGGAGGACTGCTTCCATTTCCTTGGAGCGCTCCGCATTTGCTCTGATCTGCGTGTGGATGTTGTTTTCGGGCGAGCCGTCTGGCCCGATGTTGACCCCTTGGTGAACGTTGTGCACTTGGCTTAAAGGACCAGCGTACGCGGCGCGCGATACCGAAGCGAGGTCTGGTAGGACTTGCTTTTTGGCAAGGCGCTCGCGTTCCAGCTGACATCCTTTAGAGGGGCTTCGTGGCGGCAGCATATTCTCATCGGCTGCCCCAGCCCGTAATAAAATGCTGCTTCTGGATGGCAAATTTCCCACGCTAGCGCGTGCCCGAAGTGGGGTGCGCACATTGCCTACTCCGGAAGTTGCGGCCAACGAAGTGGGAGGCATGTTGCCGGCCGCCAGCGATTTGGATGAGTATGGGCGACCAGATAGCCTCAAAGGTGTCGCGAATGCGTGCGTTTGCGAGCTGGGCCTTGGAAGAGGCTTTAAGGAGGGTGTGCGCGGGCGACTCGATTCTGGCATTCTGGCATCGATTGAAACGTGATTTGCTCTGGCCGCAGTGTTCACGCCAATGGGGCGATATGAGCTCCGAGACACAGAATGTCTAGACAGGCGAGGTATGGATGGACGAGATCGCAGGCCTGAGGAAGGTGTGGCTGAGCGGGACCCGAGTTCGCGTCGTTCATCCATCGCTGAAGTCCGCGACAGTGAAGACGCAGGCCGCGGGCCGTCATCCTGGGTCGGGAACTCCATCAGCATCGCCGAGGAAAGCTTACTGATCGGAATGAACAACCCAGAGGTCGGGCTTCTGGTTGTGAAATATTGCCGCCTGCCGGTGGAAGACCAAGGTCAAAATGGAGAGAGGGCCGACACTTGAGAGTTGGACTCGCGCGACACTAAGGAATAGGGGGAGCACGCTTACCCAAAGACAGTTCCGTTGTTTTTTCCATGCTTCACGTCTGTTTCCACGAGTTCGATCCCAGCGAATAATCCATCTTTACCATTTATGGATCCCATGTACCTGAGGTGACCGCGCACCGTGATATTGGGTCGAATGCCGGCGTCGACGAGATCCCCAATTTGTGGAGAGTAGGGGCTCATGACTCTTGGTGAAAGACCGTCGGGCAACTGGAATGAGGAGGGTGCAACAGAGAATCAAAAAGCGGGGGATACTCGAGAGCGACTGATTGTTCTGTGGGCCTCGATGTTCCAGAATGTGATGGTTATGATCGTGGTTTAGCTCTACCTATGCGAGTCACAAGTCAGCCTTCACAGGATATGTGTTCTGGATGAAGTCAGTGTATACATAGCAAATGAGTGTTGCTATCTCATCGTCATCCCCAGCAATACGGCGTGCCCTCATCGAGCGTGTGCAACGCGTCGCGTAATATCTATTTATTAAAACACGTAGGATCTAACATGAATTGGAGGCAATAAAGAGATGAATACTCGGCCGAGAGAGCCATCACAAGAGCAGTGATTCTGATCGATTACATGCGACTGCTCGTGATACGTCTTGCATTTTCATTCGATCAACCAACGCATACATTCGTGGTCCTTTCTACAGCAAGTTGTTGGTTTAATGCAATCATATATATGTGTGTAATGGCGCGCGGCAGGGATTTCGCACTCTGTCCTTCATCGGTAGGGAATTAGATCTCTGCGGTAGCTGCTCCCAAATACGCAGAAGCGAAGACGAGCCGGCGGGTGCGACAATACCTCGTTCATCTCTAAATCTGCGTCGAGCTTGCACCATCTGGGATAGACGAGCGACCTGCCCTCAACATGTCCGACACACCGTGAGTGACGCACTTCGCTACATACTTCCTGTAGTCTCGCAGTCCAAGCATGCTGACGTTTTCCCTTCTCGACTCTCAAATCGAACAAAGGGATACGATGTCGGCGGAAGCGCAAGTCCGACATTGGAAAGGCAGAGCAAATGATCTCGAGGATATGCTACGAGAGGCTGAAACCACGCTTCAAGACTGGATGGACTCTTCCAAGGCCCTGGAAGCAGAAATGGAGAGAGAGCTTGCCGCTAGTACACGAGCACAGAGCGATCTTCAAACGCGCAACGAAGTCCTGGCATCGGAAGTGGAAACGTGGCGGGTGCGTTCGGTGTCCTGATTGATAAAGAGCCCCTTTTTGACGCTCTCGCGGCTGCTTTATTTTGATTCGCCGACAGAACAAGTTTCAAACTGCGATCTCCGAAAGCAATCGAGAGCTTGCAGAGTTACGGAAAGAATTGAAGATGACGACAGACACGCACAACGCGTATAAAGCCAAGCTGCGAGATATGGAACTGGACAACGACGAGCTCGAAAATGCGGAGAGGTAACTGTACTGTTTGCAGACGCGTTCCTGCTAGTATCACTGAGACCGCTTTCACCTGCAGGATGATATCCGAGTCTCTCGCCGACATGGAAATCCGGTACAACCGAGCTGTAGAAAAGACAGCGCTATTGGAGGAGGAGGTTGTGGCCAAGGAGCAGCTGCAGGAGGAGAACCAGCGATTAAAGGATGAAATCAGGGGTATGTGGATTGCTCGATCACCCTCTATCGTCGATGCAGCTTCGAGAACCAGAAGCTGACAGCTGTTCGTTTGCGAAGATTTGGTGGAAGAGCTTGCCGTTGTGCGGGAAAGCCGATCTGCGTCTGTTGCAAGCAAGGCACCGTCCAGGGTAGCATCTGCTCTGGATGAGCTGACTCTAGAAGACCTGGATACCAAGCGACCGGACTCCCACAGTCAAGACCAGCAAAGGAGCGAGAGTCGCTCCGGACGAGAATCAAGGCATTCTGAGCTTCGTGCGTCTGCCATCAGCCGCAGGCGCAGCAGGCTTGATCCGTCTATTCGAGCACCACGACAGTCCCAACGGCTCCTGGGAGCTGGCGCTAATTCCATCCAGCAGTCCACACGAGCGGAAGCGAGACCCAGTGTTGCAAATGCCGCCGGCGCTCGTTCACGACTAGCAGACACTTCATTTACTCTAAGAGCAAGCAAGACATTGGTGCTCCCTGCTCTGAGTCAAATGTCATCTCGAGGGGGGTCATCACAGATGCTTAACGAGATGCAATCAAGACTTACCGCTCTCCAGAGCCGACTGAGCTCGATTCGAGACCCTAACCATCCGGATCGAAGTGCCATCCCAAGACCATCATCTCGCCTCGGCTCCAGCGTAGGGCCGGCTGGGCCCGATTCACCTGCGGCATTTCGCCCACGCGCTTCCATCGATGCAAATTCTTCTTTCAGCGGTATTCCAATCCCCGCAACGTCGCTATCAAGATCGGCAGCACGAAGGCCACGAGCAACCACAAGTACGAACGGTGACGCTCTAGAGAATTTCCAAGAGTCATCCGTCGGACCATCGAGGTCCGGGTCCAGAAATTCGACCACTCTTTCCAGCAGAGTCCAGCCACCGTCTATGTCGATGGAGGATTGGAAGACGTCACGAATACGTATCGAGGGGAGAGGCAAGTCATGAGCAATTTGCCAAGCACCTGTACAACGGGCAACCTCTTATGTTTATTCAAAGCGGTAGCGCAAACAGGTGGTGTAAACCCTTGGCGGCTACCACAGTAGTCCTGAAATTGCGTTTGCCAGCAGAGGTTTCTTGCCTCGCGAAATTGCGAAGTTCTCCTTGTGTCTCATTCTCAGACTGCCGTGACTGCTGCCTGAAGCCAAATGGCGGCACAAAATCCCTCTCTCAAACTCTCATTGATAAAATGTGTAAAGGTCGTCACCAGCCTTGCGTGCTCATTCCCTCTTCTGTGACAGGGACGCGAGCCCTACGTCATGGGTTTCTGGCGCTTGTAAATTGTCCCAATAAGGCAGAGTGGACATTCGTAATGGACTGTTTCCCAGGACGTTAGGCTCCCAGCCGGCCGGGTGACAGCCATCAACCGCCACGGGCATGCTCTTTTCTTTTACCGACTTGACGGTAGGCGGTGGGAAACGCTAGCTCGAGAGAGGATTGGCACGTTTGGTTTGAAGGAGGGATCCAGATGAGACTGGTCGATCGAATCGTATGCGGGTCCTCGAAGGTGGAGCTCATGACCCTGCTGCTGCTGCTGAGGTTTCTGTCTCTCTCCTTCAAGAACTTCACCATCCAGACCACTTAGTGAGATTCGGTTGAGATGCTGGGGTTACTCAGCCTTCACAGAGCGGAGTGCGACGGTTTGAAGTAGGCGCGACCGCCAAGAGACGGTCGGATTGGCGATCTTGAAGAGACATTCGCTAGTGGAGCACCCTACGCCGTCAGCCTCTCGCTTCGTCCAAGTCTAAGTTAGGCCCGTCCATTCTTGCAGGATTGCCGGCGCGTCTGTTCTTTGGCATCAAACTCTCTAGCTTTGCGTGCGTGCAGGGTCTGCTTCAGGCGCTGCAGGATTCTTCTTTTTATCGGGGCCTCCTGCTTACCGTATCCGGGGATGGTCCGGATACCACGAATCAGCCTCACATGTCATGGTTGTGCAGCCTGTGCAATCCGAACGACGGGAGAGGCGCGAAGGGATGCTTTTTGAACAGATTTGTGAAGTGCGTTGGGTAAATGATACCCCTCACGGGGAGAATGATCTAGAGGCAGAGCTGATTCAAGATACAGGAATCAAGGTTTCTGATGGGGAAAGTCCAAAAGGAGAGACGAAGTGATGTAGATATGACTCGGCAAGGTAGTGCTGCCGCCAGACCTTCAACCTGGGGCGAATTTTGAAACTTCAAAAATAGTTGGATTAACGACCTCTGCGTCATATGGCCTGCAGTACTGTCGGCATATGAGTATCATAGTTCTCGAAGCTAGGCCGGATGAACGATTCAAGTATGGTAGGCAACGGGGAGTACCTTCCCAAGCAGGACCTTAAACCTCTCCATTTCTTAATCCAGCGCATTCCCGCTTCTGTAATATACACTACTAACAGAACCAAGTGAGCTATCAATTGAGGACGACGTTCAAGTTCCTATCGACTTCCTTTCTGCGTGCCTGGCACGTGCATCGTCTTCACCACTAGCATTGACCATTCCACGTGCCTTATATAGTCAGTCAGACCGATATACATACCCTTTGACCGTCATTGAAAGCGATATTCAATCGCCAGGAGCAGGCGCAGAGACGTCAAACGCGCTACAGTCGCGGAACCCTTGCCGTAACTGGTCCCAGGTCGTTGAAAATAGTCTTTAGCGCCTATGCGAACCTTGTAGGGCACGGCTTGTAAGTTCTCCTTGAGTTTCAACTTGTATATACTGCTAGGACCGATTACCACCATGCCGGGAGGCACATTCATCAGCTCGAATACCTTTATCTGCGCTGGAGTTCCCTCCTTCTCCATCGCTGTAGCAACTACGGACAGTCATCTTGCTCCTGTAACCCTGTCGGTGTTGGCTCGAGAGGAATACTACCCGCGCTGCTGCCTGACTAGTGGGCACTCGTGACTGCCTGGGTTCCGATGACGGCTAAAGTGTATGCATATTGATCGAATTGGCCATACAAGGCATGTGGATTGGTCGATACTGGCGGTGGAGACGATACAAGTGCCAGGTACGCAGAAAGAAGGTGGGTGGAATCTCGAGAATCGTGGCTATCCGAAAATGCAGAGCCAATTGTGAGAGAATATTTAAGTCGATATACAGATGGTTCGCCTGGTGCGTGAATAGATGCTTCAAAGGAACCTGCATCCAATTCAGGGGAATGTGGCTTTACTTTAACTGAAATCTGGTTCGAAAGCCTGGACCGCATGGTGGAGCTTTAAGCGTCATCAAAGGTGTCCTCTTCAATCATCAGTGCGTCTACATCGAATACCGCTAGCAGAGTATCACCGTCTACCTGTATGGGTACCATTGTCAGCTGAGAGGCGCTGCTGGTACCCGCAGAAGAGGACTTGGTATGAGCTTCTTGGCCGCCCTCTGACGCTGAAGCAACTCTTTTTTTCTGATTTCTCCTGTAAGCTGGTAGACGAAGAGCGGCAACTTTCCGTTGACAGAATAAATATTCGACGGCGATGTAATTTCTTCTTCGTCTAAGAACCGTAACCATACTGACGTGCGGCATGTTCTGGACGAAGGCGCTGTATCTTAGTCTCCAAGCGCTGCTTCGAAGTGTGCATGCTCAATAAAGTTAATATCGCCAGCCATGACGGTGCGCTGAAGACTTGGTATGTAGCCTTTTGTGGCTTCTTGCCTGTCATGAACTGCTGCGTGCTCTTAAGTCGACTTTACGGATGGCACGCAGTTTCGGATGATTGCTTGCGTACGGCTGTCGGCGTACTCTTTCGTGTGGCGCCACAGAGGCTCACATAACACCGACAGCCAATCACATACAAACTTGATAGGTTTGGAGGCTGGCCCATCCAGAATTCAAGACCTCCGTATTCCATTCGCACTTGCTTGATGATTCAAACACTGTGTACCCGTATTGACAGCACCGGTCCTTCATAGCTCTGAAAGCCTTACATCAACAAGCAGACCGCGTGCAATACTCTCAAACTCGAGATTGATACATTCCACAGCACCATTGTCGCTAGACACAGTACCTGCCCCAGCTGAAACCTCCGTCCATTCTCCACCACCCACACCCTCATCTCATTCGTCTCAAGCTTGGCCTTGGTCAAGGCGCACCTTGATTGGCCAGCGGCCTCGCATGTTCTGCTTCAACGCCACTCAAGGCTCAAAGCATCGGGCTACGGGATCTCATGTCACTATGGGAACAGCGCTAACATGCCAGAGTCTTGGACATTGATAATGTGTATATAGGTGCCATTCCGATTCAGGTCAAGAGCACCAATGGGATTGGTGCTGAACATCTCCAAGGGTGTTTCAACCCTTTGCCGGGAAAGTTGTGGCCTTTATTGCCAAGCAAGTTTCATTATGACCAGGAAGAACATGTTGGATCATTGAGAGGAATATTGCGATGCTGATTGGCTTTGGCAGTGAGATGGAGGGTATCGATTGGTGCGAGAGCAGCGATACAGCGGACGTGATGGGCAAAGTGCAGCGAATCGCAGCGAAGGGGCACCACCTATGGAACACCATCGTAGGTTGTGAAAGGTTTCAGCGCAAAGCGAAGCTACAGTGGCTGTGCATGGAAACTGGCATTTCGAAGAGATATGGAGATGGACACAGCGCCAGGATTCGGTGATATTGAAGAAATGGCTCACATTAATCAAGATATGATGCTTGACAATTTGTTTTCCTATATGCTACACGGAATCTGGGTGCTGCGTGCGATTACTTACATATCTACAAGATGCTGTCTTTCACAAGCAGTCACCGTAGCTTGTTCCTTGCTCTCGAACCCTCCATAGCGCCCGATGGAGCTCTATGGGATGTACTGCTTCGACATGCTTTGTCATGCTTCGCACCGTTGGCTCGCGTATCCGCGCTGTCGCTGCTCCTGTGTCAGCACCCAGAGTTTGTGCAGCGTAGAGAACATCAAAAGGTCAGAGCACCTTGCCTTAATTGTAATGAGCCATCCCTTCAATAGATTATGAGACTAAACCCTACGCCTGGCTTCTACACTCTATAGACTTAACGCATAAGACCAAGATGCCAGATATTGCGACCTAGATGGGAACCCACGCTCCACTTCGAGAAGCTACATGGCAGCAACTATGACACGTGAGCTTTCAAAGCCCGGGTGCTAATGAATGAGACTGGCCTGTAGGACTGTGACCGACAGTGTCAGTAAGGCCCCTGAGGGGCAAAAGTAGTATCGCTAAATATGAGCGCAGGCATAAGGGGGACTCGGCGATGCTGGCGCTTGTCAAGGACCACAAGATCACTAGCTGGATCCGCAAGGTGATGACAGATCAAGTGCTCTGAGAGATGTTGGAAGCCAAGTACAGCTCAAGGACGGAATTGCTCTTTTCTTTCTCAGGAGAGATATTTGGACCATCAAGAAGGGCTCTACAGAGAGCATGCGGAAGTAGCTCGACCACGTTGCAACAAAGTACGACAAGATCCAATTACCAGGAGTCGAAATGTTGAAGACCAACTATTGCCTCGCCATCCACGTCGGACTCGACTCACGCTAAAACAAAATTGCCCAGGTTTTCGAGCATCTCGGCAATCAGTTGACAATGGAACATACCGATGCAAAACTACTCCAGGAGGAGCTTTGCCAGTCATGCCTAGCAAGCATTCCACGTGCATTTGCAAGAAGGCCACCTTCAAAAACAATGTCGATCGAAAGAGATACAATGAGCCCACTACTACTCGGCCGAGCGACCACTCACCGACTCGAACGTCCCTATGATGGTATTCAACATATATAACGGTGCCCTGCAGCGCCGAGCGTTGGCCACAACACTATCCTTGACACAGGATCTTAGCTCCACCTCGTCCTTCAATGCACTTATCTCACCAATGGCGGCACGATGAGAACAGTAACCAGGGGTGAGTATGAGCTGATCTGTGGCAAGACCGACAAGGGCAACGTCGTTGATATCTATCTCAAGAATGCACTTGAGGTCCAATATATGTAGCGGGGCCTCATCATCGTCAGCGGAATCAAACTCACAGAGGCGGGCGGCTGCATCTTGCTTAAGAAATTGGGGGCCACGGCTACTTTGGGTAGTTGAAATGGCACGGTAACCATAAGGCCAGGTTTGGATAATAGCATCCTGGCTCTCCCTGTCACGCCGGGAACTACCACCGCCATGCAGAACACGCCAGTCTATACAGGTCGTGCAATGTGGACGGTGAGCATGGTACCCATGCCTCGACCATGCAGGGTGTGACTCGCACGACACGATCTGCAAGGCGAACAGCGTATCTGTCACCGAAGCTAACTGCACCACATGTGAGAAGCATGTGCGCTCGGAAAAGAGGCCACTCCCCATACGGCGTTGCAAGGGAAGAACGCACAGCAGGTGATGTGTTTGGCCAGATGCGCTGACATCGCTGGACCTATACCCGTGGAGAGTGTAGGTGGCACACTCTATGTCCTGATCTTTGCAGATGAAAGGTCCAGCAAGGTCCAGGCTCACATACGGGCATACCGCAAGAATATTGCTGCTATCATCGGCAACTGGGTCCACCAAGTAGGGAGGGAGACACGCAAGGAGATCAAGATCCTTCACTCGAATAATGATGGCGCGTATACAAGCATGCGAGTGCAGCACCTTCTCCAACGACACGGTACACGGCGCGAAAGTCCAGCTTCATGAACGGCTTGACAGAACGAGCGCGGCGAACGCCACAATCTGACTCTCCTCAACATGGTCTGAGTACGGATCCGCGAGTCAACGCTGGAAAGGGCATTCTGTGGCGAGTTGCGACGCAGGAGCAGCGCAGCAGCTCGAATGTGTGAGCCAACGGGGCGAAGCATGATGAGGCACGTCGAAGCAGCACATCTCACAGAGCTCCATCGAGCGCTATGGAGGGTTCGAGAGCAAGGAACAAGCTACGGTGACTGCTTGTGAAAGACAGCATCTTGTAGATATGTAAGGAACCGCACGCAGCACCTGGGTTCCGTGTAGCATAGAGAGTACCAAGAGCTTAAAGCATGTCATCTTGGCCGTATGAGCTATCCTTTCAGAATGGAGAACCGGGCTGGCGTCCTCACCAAGGCCCTTGCCATGGGCATAGGCTCGTCAGCTGTCATCCGTCATTAGCATCGTCGGCCTCCAAGCCCCCCAAGCCGCAAGACGGAAGATCAAATGGCGTACGAACGATCCTGGAGATTTCAACTAATCTCTATGGGTTGCAGGTGCATGTTGAAGGAATGAAATAGCCACATGGGACCCCGATGGCCATTTGCATAGATGGCAGAATTGGTTCCTTTCATCGTACGATTCAACTCTTTCAGTATTCTTCTATGTACTCCATCTACTCCTACTACCCTTGGGTATTAATGATTCAGTGTACCACAGTACTCGAATCTTGCGCAAGTCTGCGACATTTCAAGGCTTGGCTATGAGCTTCACGCTGCGGAGTCGGTCGACGATGGAACTTAATGGATTTTACAACATGGGTTTTCATGGAGGCTTGATGAACGCGGTCCATTGGGCATGTAGTACCGTTGGCAGCTTGGCGAATCGAAGGCGAATTCAAGAGTGTTGAAATACATGCTGTGGTTGTGATACTTCAAGTACGGTAGGCCAATGATGACGGGGTACTTGGACGATTGGGTGAGTAAGAATGGTTCTTTGAACCGGTGTTCTTTTCAGTCGAGCACCTGAGTGGTGGACGTGATGGTAAGACTTGAGCTGATGAGTCTTCCATTGCTCACGGTGCACCGTAAAGGCCTCTCCAATGTCTGGGTCGCTAGTGATTGCTCGGCAGCAAAGCAAGGTCAATATACTGCGCGCTTGCGCCGGTGTCAACGAGAGCTGACGTGACGATTCTTCTTCCTAAAGTGGTGGTCAATGATTCTTGAACCGCAAATGACAAGGTACCAAGACTGGTCGCCCTACTGTCCTCAACAGCGGTGGCTGATATCGTGACTATTTCGAGTGACTTCAAGTCTTGCGGTACTTCTTGGGCTTTGAAGTGCAGTTGCTGAGTTTGTGCATATATCCACAGTAGAAGCAAAGACCGTCCTTCTTCCTTCTCACCTTCTCGGCGGCTGAGAGGTGTTCGCACTCTTGGAGTGCTGGAAATAGAGACGGAGTCGAGGTCCATGGGCACCATCTGGGAGCTGCTACTGAAGGAGCTTGACTGGTGCTGTGCGTTGGATGAAGCATTATCGGACTGGATCGAACGAGGGGGTAGACCAAGGGTCTGGTAACCTTGTTTGCGTTGTAATTCTTGAAAAGCTGATCGTCGATGCTTGTTGCCAGGTTGACGAGGCCAATGAAGTCCTTGGGAGAGTTCTATCCTTGGGCGGCGAGGTGCGTCTTCACTTCGGGCTTGAAGACACGCACGAACGCAAAGATCTTTTCGGTCGACTGATGGTAGTTCTTGTCAAAGCGGTCTGCGAGAGTACTAAACGTGGTAGCCTAGTCCCTGGCGGAACTGATGTTCTTGAGAGTGGCGAGCTTGTCTTCAGCCGTCTTGCGAGGTATGGGATCACCAAAGAGTGCGAGGAACTCCTTGCTGAACACATTCCAACTCTTGAGGAAGTGTTGGCTAAGGGTGCTGATGCTGAGCGGAAGGTCGTCCCTGAAGTAGAGGGGCTAAATCGCAGCGTTGCTGTCAAGCCAGGCAAGGGCGAAGTTGACCCTCTGTTTGTCATTGAGTTCGGCGTCGACGGCTCTAAAGTAAGCTTCGCATTGGTTGAGGAAGAACCCAGCCCTCTCATAAAAGCGCTGCTTGTCATTCAAGCATCTGGGTGGACTAGGCTTGAGGTGTCTAAAGAAGTGGTCAGAAAAATTGGAGGCTAGGGCCTGCGTGATAGCCGCAACGAGACTAGCAGTGTCGAAATGAGCCTGCAGTATCAGTGCTGCTTGCATGATATCGTTGACCTGAGCGATGAACCAACGGCTGGGTGTTGGAGCGGGTGACTGAGCTGAGTCTGCCATAGTTGTGACAGCTGGAGACTTGGTAACTTGGTAAGCTTGGTGATTCGGTAAGCTTGTTAACTTGGTAGCTGGCCGGAGTTCTGTTGAAGTCTCAATCGCTTTTCAATGGTGATGATGCGCAATTGCGGTCGAAGGAGCCGGTGCAACTTTTAAGAAAGCTGAGCATGCAGAGCCGAGAAGGGATGCGAAAGCGCAGGCCCTGGATATGAGCCGAGAATCCGGCATTGAAGGCGAGTGAGGGAGCAACGCCACGCCCTCGAGTAACTGAGGTAAAGTTGTGAGGTGCATGGCAGTAGGAACAAGAATGCACCCGATCAGGGAGTGCTAGCTTGGTTGCTTTCAGAGAGTGACAGGGGCAGGTTGCAAAGATTCGTGTTTTGAGACTTGCAGACTGCAGAGTGCAGAGTGCTTGGGAAGAATAGAACGCAAGCTGGTGGATGGCTGACATTCCCCTGCAGCGCAGCACAGATGTTAGCCATTCATATGAGGCAATGCATATTGCCGCGCCGAGCGTGGCGATATTGAGTTCTGCCGCTCCAGCTGTTGGTTGCAATATGCTTGTAGCTAACTCCACCTAGTCTGAGCACAACACCACTGATATCTTTGCATTCCTGAGGTCGAATCGGTCGGTCACGCCATCTAGATGATGTTGGACGTCACGAATGAAGGTCACAATCATCGAGCGACCATTTCTTTTGGTCAGGCACTACAGCGGATCATGACCTTGCAATCGCATGTGCTCATCTTTGCACTCCTGCTTAAGCTGATTATAGAATTAGAGAGCGATTGAACGGTACGACGTCTTGTCGGCTGTGAGTTTGGCACAGTATGTCGCATTGAATTCTCTACGGAGGATTCTCGCCTATTTTAATTTTGCTCCCTTGAACTTGCAATCCCTGCATTGAGCTTGGTTCAATCCTTCTCCAGAGACGCAAGATGCCTTGTGATCCACACGGCATCGTTCTCCAGTCCGCAGGCACGTCTGCTTTACCCTCCATGCCCTGTGGACATACTCGCTCCTTGCCAGAAGTTGCATGCGAGAGTGCCAGCCTGTCGTCCTGTGTGCGCCGATGAGACACTCTCGCAGGGTTGCTTTGCTCGTACCGTAGCTCGCATCCAAGAGCCTAGCCTTCGGAGACTGCTCTGGGATCAACATCAATCTCCAGCGGGTGCTCTGACTCTGTGGACAAAATCGAAGTGACGCCGCTGTCTTACTGGTTCATCTGCGCAGCCAGTTTGCTCTTTTGCCTTTGAACCTGAAAAGGCATTTTTTGTCTCGCGTTCCAACTGCATTTGCGAAGGAGAGCATTTCAGTCCATCAGTGATGCCAGTGAATTGCTGGCTTTCAGCGACATCGGACAAATGTACGGCAGTCCACATATGAGTAAGCCCTCAAGTCAGAATGCCAATGCAAAGCACACGTGGGTGCACATCGCGAGAACCAGCAGAGCGCGTCAGATTGGTATCTGCCTTCGTATTGCCGAGCAGACTTTCCCTACCCGAAGAGGTCTTGTGCTCAATGATTTCAAACGTTGTCAGTTTGTGGCGCGCAGCAGGTAGCGCCAGATAGCTAGTTCAGCAACTCTTCTAGCAAGAAACACGAATTGGAGGAGCCCCTTGTGTATAGAACCTGGTGCGGTTGCATCCTAGAGCAGAATGCTTTACGCATGAGGCCGCCGCAGTTGGGCTCCGGTTGCATGCCGATTTTTCGTATTTCAACAACCCATCTGGAGCAAAGCTTCCAGCAAGTACAAACGAGTCGAAATGAACTGTGTGCGTGAGCACCACAAATGAATGTTGTCGGCCAGTGGCCCGATCGGAAAGCAATCGCAGCCTGCTTCATGGCCAATCGCCGTCGTTGCTCCATATGCATTGAGCAGGAGAGATTGACGCGCCGGGACACGGGTGCATTTTGCACAGCCGACGGATGGGGATGGAACACGGTCTGATGTCCGTCGATTAAGAGGCAGAGTGTGCTATGTTGATGAGAGAAAAGATATGGAGAGAGCGGAACGCTGAGCGGCGTACGCGCGCTGGGAGAGTCTAGAATCGAGAGACTGAACGAGAGCACCACGAGTTTGTGAGCGGCCCAGGCTGGGTCCATGACGTGTCGCCACTTGCTCCATACCCACGCCAATTCTCAACATCATTCATTGCTCAATCAAGCCTGTCAGGCTTCTGCCATCTAAACGGCCTGGCTTATCCTCTCGCGTCTGCCTCTGAATTGCAGGAACCAGTTCAGCAGACGACCCATTACTTGTGTCTCTGGCTCAGTGACATCGCCACCTCCGCTTCCACACATCGACACATCACCACGTTGGTCGCCCATAACGCCAACGACTTTCCGTGCAAGACAAGATGGCCGCAGCAGCAGTATTGCAGCAGACTGGTGGGGCGACGACGACGATGACCCAGGTGATGCATCAGAATCGAAGTGCATCAACTTCGGCGGCGGCCGGAATCCAGTCCTTCTACCACTCAAAGATCCAGGCATATGAGCTGCTCATTAACGACAAGACGCAGAATCTGAGGCGACTGGAAGCCCAGCGAAATGCTTTGAATGCGCGTGTGCGGCTGTTACGCGAAGAGCTTCAGCTCTTACAAGAGCCTGGAAGCTACGTAGGAGAGGTCGTCAAAGTCATGGGCAAGAAGAAGGTTCTGGTAAAGGTGCAGCCAGAGGGCAAATATGGTGAGCAAACGACACTCTGGAATACTTGCGTGATTGCCAAGGACTGGGCTGATGTGGGACAACCCATGCTCTACGAACCTAGTGGTGGACTTTGCCTCCGATATTGATGTTGCATCACTCACTGTGTCGCTCCGAGTGGCTCTTCGTTCGGACTCGTACACGTTGCACAAGATCTTGCCCAATAAGATTGATCCTCTGGTTTCTTTGATGATGGTCGAAAAGGTACCGGATAGCACCTACGAGATGGTCGGAGGTCTTGACCGCCAGATCAAGGAGATCAAGGAGGTCATCGAACTTCCAGTCAAGCATCCCGAACTCTTCGAGAGCTTAGGCATCGCTCAGCCTAAGGGCGTGCTCCTCTACGGGCCACCGGGAACCGGAAAGACGCTGCTTGCAAGGGCTGTAGCGCATCACACTGACTGCAGATTCATTCGGGTCAGTGGAAGCGAATTGGTACAAAAATACATTGGAGAAGGTAGCAGGTGAGTGATTTGTTTTGCTTGCGTACCAATCACACATGAGCTGATCAAATGCTGCTCCGCATGCAGGATGGTGCGTGAGCTTTTTGTCATGGCGCGTGAGCATGCGCCATCTATCATCTTCATGGATGAAATCGACAGTATCGGCTCAAGTCGTGGGGAGAGCGGTAGTGGGGGTGGTGACAGCGAGGTGCAGCGAACAATGTTGGAGCTTTTGAACCAGCTGGACGGATTTGAAGGAACGAAAAACATCAAGGTACGTGTCCTTGATACCAATCTTGCTGCATAATTCGCTGCGAACGAGGCTCAAATCTTTGTCGCCAACTCAGGTCATCATGGCCACCAACCGCATTGACATCCTCGATTCAGCACTGCTCCGGCCCGGGAGAATTGACCGAAAGATCGAATTCCCACCTCCAGGACCCGAAGCAAGAGTCTCGATCCTGCGCATTCATTCCCGCAAAGTGAGTCTGATGGAGCAGTTAGCATATTTCGGGAGCGATGTTGATGATTTGCCTTCGCTTTCGTCGATGCAGATGTCACTTCAACGTGGTATTAATCTCAGAGCGCTCGCGGAGAAGATGGGTCAGTGCTCCGGTGCTGAGCTCAAGGGTATCGTCATGGAAGCGGGCATGTACGCTCTCCGAGAGCGTCGGCAGCACGTTTCACAGGAAGACTTTGAGCTCGCTGTCGCAAAGGTGCTGAAGCGTGCGAGCGAGACAAACGCGTCGATCAACAAATTGTACACTTAAGCATAGCACTCATACATCCCCATTACCTCGCCTTTTCCGTGCGTTTCGCGTGCCCCAGTCGGGAAGAGGCTATAACTGACGCATCGAAGTGACAAAGCGTAGAGTTGTTACTCGTTAATATGTACGTGTAGCAGAGTTTTCCGATTGGCCGTCTCGCGGTAGTTCCGCATCACCTGACCGTACGGCGTGGAACACGGTCCGGCAACTGGACTTGTCTCACGGTGTTTATGGAGCAGCAGCGAGCGCTGCAGATCAGCCTTAACAATTTTGGCTGCCAGAGGTAGCGCATCAAGGCCACGCACGAATGGGGCAGGGGCTCATAGAACTACATTATTTCTCTATGCAAACGACTCAATTAACACAGTTTCATTTGAGGCCATGCATCACTCGTGAGCTGCAAAGCCCGCGCGACCTGAATCCTAGAAGCTAATGATTGCTCGATTGCTATGCTGAAACCCACGGCCATGAGTCGAGCAAGTCAGATATCATGAGCGTCCATGTTGGTGAATATGGCTGAAGACAGATCTGCTGCGCAACCGATGCTTAGCTTGGCTTCATTTACACGGATGTTGGGGCTGCGTTGCGATGGTCGAAATTTTGTTCTGCACGCTGTGTCCCATTCAAGTTGGGACTTTCACGCAAATCAAGCTGTGGATCCCAGCGAGCACAGGGATGCGGCATTCAAGCCGTCAGAGCGTTCATAAATACAATGCAGAGGATGATATTGATCCCCAGGCTTTACATTAGCTGCCTTGCACTCTTTCGTGGGCAACTTTACTCATTGATGACGTAGATTACAGCCTTTGGGCTGGTCCTTGTAAAGCACTAAAAGAACTCGGTCCTCTTAAGGGATCACCAAGCTCGAGAGTATCAGGCATTTCGAAAGAAATGGGGTCCAGGTGCAAGCGTCGGCACCAAATTTGCATGCTCCAGTGTCGGGGTTGAAAGGCTCCTTGCAAAGTCAAGGACCGCATCAAAATGGGTATGCCTTTATCCTCACGAATCTGTTCCGGCACGATGGCACGGACAAGCTGGCGGTCCCTTGATGCAGCTTTCGTAAGATGTGTCGCATTGCAAACTTGGCATGTCACGTACGTAAGGTCCTCTTTCCAGGCTGGAGCATGAAAACGGAGCGTCGGTCCGAAGACATCACCACAGCATTATCCTTGTTGGGTAGGACAATGAGAAGTCTGAGTGGCTACATAGTGCTCTTCCTGGCACATCCTCACGCATCGCATGACCGGCATGTCAAGAGGTTCTCCATCAAAATGTGCCCTTTCTTGAAGATGGTGACCCTTGCAAAAGTCCTGCACCATCTATACTCATGAGCTAACACTCTGAGAGTGTGGCCTTCGTTTGTTGCCAGTTGGGCGTTGAGCCCGAGTTGTGCCTAGGTCATGGTCGCCTTGACTGGTCCAGTGCCAGCTGGCTGATGTGTGGCCCAGTGGGCGGGGTGGTGGTAGTTCGTTACGTCCTCTTTTAGTTCCGACCTTAAATCTGCTTGCCGCAGCAGCTTCGCAGCAATCTCGGACAAGTGCCAGCTGAGGCGCGCCTGGAACACCGTTATGACTCTTCTTGTAACCATCTTTTGTCGTCTACTGGAAAGGTTCTTGGTACCACAGAGTCTCTAAGCACACTCAGCACATTGCTTAGCATTCGTCAAGATGGTTAACGTGCCAAAGACTCGCCGCACCTACTGCAAGGGGAAGACATGCAAGAAGCACACGTAAGTATTCATCAGGGCTTGGCCCTAGTATTCGATGCCGAATGCACATCCGAATATGGGGCTGCGTGTCCGGCACATCCATAGCCGAATTGGAGATCTGGGAGCACTACGCGGAGGGCGGTCGCGGGAGCTGCGGGAATGGGAACATGGGCTCGCAGGATGCGAGATTCGAGGTACATTCACTCTAAGTGAAAGTAAGGGTGTCAAGATTGGAACGGGCCACGCGAAATGGATCATGTGCGGCGAGCACAATCTCTGCGTACAGAACTCAAAGGCCAGGAGGAGTGTGTTGGAAAACCCGGAAAAATAATGTGCAGCTGCTGTCGTTGAACTACAGATGCACCTGGGACGCCGGATGCCAGATGCCAGGACCAGCCTCATGATTACTCAGGATGGGGAAGGCTGACTCCTTCCTACTCTCGCCTGCGCGGCTCATAGCCCGCACAAGGTGACCCAGTACAAGACTGGTAAGGCCTCGCTCGCAGCTCAGGGTAAGCGAAGGTATGACCGCAAGCAAAAGGTGAGATCGTCCGGTCCATTTCGCGACGTTCAGCGACATTCATTCGGGGAACTGACACTACTCGAACGCAATGCAGGGTTACGGTGGTCAAACCAAGCCGGTCTTCCACAAGAAAGCAAAGAGTGAGTGTTTCTCGTTTGCATTGCTTTTCCCGATTGCTGCTGACATGGTGTTTCGTTCGCACAGCCACCAAGAAGGTCGTCCTGCGTTTGGAGTGCACGGCTTGCAAGTACAGGTCGCACGCAGCTCTGAAGCGATGCAAACAGTGCGTACTTGACAAAGCTCTTCACCCTTTTGCTTCTAAAGCTGATACCTTGTTCCACTCTACAGCTTCGAGCTTGGTGGTGACAAGAAGCAGAAGGGTGCTGCCCTTAGTTTCTAAGCGTCCACCATGGTTAACTTGTAAATGCAACTCTGGTCACATTACTGCACTGATTTTTGCTCGAGCGCCCACATGAATGAGGGAATTGGCATGCGCTTTAACGCAGAACAGGCCCAGGAAGGAAATGAAACGCGGGAAGGATGGTGTTGGATCAAGCAGAACAAGTGTGGATGAATGCGACCGCATCGGGGGCGTCTCATATGCTACAGTTTAAGGTTCGAAATCTGTTGCGAAGTGCCTGAAGGTTGTGGCGCTGGACGTGCATTCGGGTATGCCAAAGCCCGTGGCTTCAAGTTGGAAGGCTGCGCGTTGCGCCAAGAGCCGCCTGGATTGCCTGGCCCATCGGGCAAAAGATACATGACGGGGGGGTGTTTTGGCAGCTGCTGGAGGCGCTCTTGTTCGCGCCGTTTTTTGTCGCTTTCCTTACGGGGTTCGTACTTCGGTAAAGAAGAAGGGTCAGCTGGGTAGGGCTCGGACCAGAGCCAATTGTGATGGAGAGCTTGCGCCGCATTCAAGCGATCGGCAGGATTGAGAACCAGAAGCTTGTCGACAAGATCTGCTGCCCCTTCAGGTCTGATGTCGTACGAAGAGCGTTAGCGTCAGCGATCGAACAGACGAAGGTGACCCTCTGTGCAAAGGTTCCTAACATGTGCACCGGTCCTTCGGTGGTAAGCCACCTCTTCAACTTTCTTGGTTGGGAGCCGAAATCTCTTCTCCCATCTGGGCCACTCTCATCTACGCGGCCTTGTGCATCTGCGTTTCTGACGCCTGCAAGCTTGAACCAGCCAGGCAGCGTCCGCTCGTTTGGCGACCCGCACACTTCGGCGATCAGCTCCAATTGATGCACCTCTGATGCTCCCATAAAGAACGGCTTCTTATAGAACATCTCAGCCAAGATGCACCTGCAGCGCACAAGAGCCCATCAGTCAGGCTGACTGCCGGCGATAAGCTCGAAAGTGGACGCACCCTAGACCCCACATGTCGACCTCCGGTCCGTATTGCCTCAGTCCCGCGAGTAGCTCTGGTGGACGATACCACCTTGTAACGACAGTGCCAGTGTAGTCCATTTTTTGGGGTTGGCCATCCGCCCCCTGCATCAGGTCACAGTTGTGGATTGAGCGAGCTAGCCCGAAATCGGCAATCTGCAGCTGTCCTTCGTTGCTGATGAGGAGGTTTGCAGATTTCATATCTCTGTGCAAGACGCCGTTCTGGATTATTCGCTTGCGCAACTCAGCAAAGACCGCAGCGCCGATGGCTTGCATCGAGGCATTGCTCACCGAATGCATGTAACATGTTCCTTCAAGAAGCTGCTTCATATAGAGCTTGATCTGCGGGATGGAGAGACTATACGCATCAAGCAGCCCGGCGAGATCGTGATCCATGTACGGCTCCACCATGTAGATGTCTCCTGTCGCGCTCTGACCAGAGTCAGGGGGTGCAAAGACCATGTCGATAACGGGGACGATCGCTGGATGCCGCAAGTGTTTCAGCAGCTTGACCTCCCTGATGGTCGTCAAAGCCAAGCCATCCCGCGAGTCGTGCACGGTGATCTTCTTGAGAGCGACTGCCTGACCCGTGACGCGATGTTTTGCCATGAGTACAACACCAAATGTTCCCTCTCCCAGCGTGGTCGAGATCTCGTACGAGTCGAGAGAGCTGCAGCCCTCAAACCTGCGCCTCTCGAAGGGGACCAGCTCGTGCTTGGCCGCTTCCCGCGTGCCCCTGATCGTACTGCTCGACCGAATGGCGCCGCGATACATCGATGAAGTGACACGTTCGGATAATCTGTCTGATAATGCAATGGGCAGACCCGGCCACACATCTGACTCCAGCCCCAGGTCTTGCTTGTGGTGTCCGTTAGTAATTGCCATTTCATCGCGGCCAGTCGCCTCGGCGGTCGGAGCAGCTGATGCCTGGGGCTTTGGAGGGGAATTGATCCTTCGCAAGAGTATCGGAGGCGGCGTCTTCGTCGTTGTCGTCGTCATTGTGGACTGCGCAGGGGCATTGTGATTGTAGCGCATCCGCTTTGCATCGCGTGGTACCTCGTTTACTCTTTCTGAGGCTTTACGGACGCGCGTGACGCCGGTCGAGCCATTCTCCATCACATCAGCTGTGACAGAAATCTCCCCTTCTTCTGGAGAGCTTTCGCGTGTGGCCGACATGACCTTATGATGCGATCACGGGTTGCACGCACCAGAAAAGACGATCGCTTTGCTCCGAGCGCATTGGTAGCTGCGCGCGCCCCTCTTCTCGACCGCGTTTCACCCAACGCAGACGGCGCTCGCCGGGCCGGGATTATGAGCACTTGCCGTCTGCCACCGAGGCCATGCTTCAGGGTGCAGCGGATACCTGTTCTTAGAAGAGGATCTCCAAGGAAAGATGTCTTCTGATTTGCTTGCCTCTGCTACGGTCTCTGATCACTAGTGATCAGTCACAGACTGAACTGCCGAACACTCCAACCTGATGCTTTTTGACACTCCCCATTCCGCCCAACATCAACCCTCAGATGGATGAAACCTTTGCCACCAGCTTTGGAATTATTTCAGGTCCCAGCAACAATGTTACACTGCATCTTTTCCATTCACCTAACATACTGGCCCGGTCGACTTTGTTGAATGTGCGCTTCACCTGTGTCCCATCTGCAAATATGAGCTTAGTTCGTACATTCCAGCAGCTGGCCCTGGCTCAAAGGGCCACCGGTTTGCGGCCCATGCGCCTGCGGACGGCCACTCCGACTACATGGGCGTGCGCCGCCTGCAATCAGCGCGCCTTCACTTCTACACCTGCTCGCCAGGTCACTCTGCAGCAATGTCTTCGAGGGGCACGGAAGGCGCACAGGCCGCGCGTTAATCGCGTTCCGGCGCTGGAGGGAAGACCGTTCGTCAAAGGTGTTTGTTCCAAGGTTCGTGTGATTCCTCCAACCTCGGTTGATTACCCGCCCGCTGTGAGCCCGTCGTGTCTTACCAGGCTGACACTCTTTCTGCTGGCCACGAACAGATCTTTACCACCAAGCCAAAGAAACCGAATTCGGCGATTCGTAAAGTTGCAAGAGTCAAGCTGTCCAACGGACGCACTGTCACAGCATACATTCCTGGCGAGGGTCACAACCTGCAAGAGCATAGTGTCGTCCTAATGAGAGGAGGCAGAGTACAAGACGTACCAGGTGTGAGGTGAGCCTGGATGCTTGCACCTATCGTTTATGTTTTGAAGCACTCAGCGTCTTCAATCTGGCTGCTCGTCAGGTACCACCTCGTGCGAGGCGCGCTCGACTTCGGCGGCGTCGCGAACAGGACCACGTCGCGATCAAAGTACGGAAGTAAGTCACAATTCCGGTCGACCACTTTATTCGCCAGCAATTCTTGCTCACATCTTCTCATTTTATTCGCAGCCAAAAAGCCCAAATCCGGGCCATAGCTGGTCAAGTTCACCCTTGATATGTGATTGGCTCAATGTGGCAAATCTTCACGAGAGGTAGACCTGCATTTTGGTCACGTCAACGAGTGTTCTTGCTGCCAAAATAATACATCATAGGTCACGACAGGGACGTGTAAGGTGTGATCCCTTTGTTGCGTAACTTGTATTCCCGCGGCCCGTCATCTTTGCACAGGCGCTCAATCTCCCAAGAGATTGCCTTGACCCACAGGTCACGTTCCATTTGACTCCTCGCTCGTAAGACAATATGGCTGATGGTTCCATCATTTAGGGAAGGGAGTGCTGCGATGTCGGGCGGAGCTGCGCTGCCCGTCGAAGAGCTGACTCTGAGGCCGACTTGGCCCTTTGATGTTTTGTAAGGGATAGGGTCGGGTGTCGCATTTACGCATTGAGGGCGGTAGCGGATGACAAATGTGCAATCCTCTTCATCGTCAACACTTTGGAGCCCATCCTGGTAGACGCGCGGTAGACGATGACGGTCACCACCGCCTCCGCCAACGCCTAGACTCTGAGCTGCCTGGTTGCCCTCTGGTAAAAAGTCTTCCGTCAGCTTGCCACTGTAGACGTACGCATCTCTGAGGTGAAGGACAGTTTCTTGACGTTTGTGGAAGATGCCTGCATTCTGCCTCGCTCTGGCGCTTTTTGTAGACTGCATCAGCTTAAAGCTGAGCAGGCGCCCTTGTATGAGGATGAAGTAGCGGCCATTGAATGCTTCGTGCGTGCGCATCTTGCGGAACAGCCGACCGCACCTGACGATCGGTCGGCAATTCATGATCGGACACCAGCTCCAAATGGAGGGCAAGCGCCTGTCGAGCTCGCCCGAGTCGCGCGAATGCGTCCCAGGCTGTTTGGTCGAGGCTGTAGCGATCGCCATGAGGTCCTTCGCATCGGATCTCTCCCTGGCTTTCCAGTACCGTACCAGTTGGTTGATTCGCACGACCCACTCTTCTGCCACTGCAGTCGAGAAGGCTTCGAATCGGATGTATCGTCCATTCGACATGGTGACTTCAATCTGCCGCCTGGCCCGGGTCTCAGCACGATCAGAGCACGCAGCCAGCCCCTCTTCTCCACCAATGTCCTCGCTCGCGTGGATCGAGACATCCTGCCAGCTGGAATCACGGGAATGATCGAATACATCTGCCTTCTCCGATTGCGGCGTCTCTTCGGGTTCTGTCGTCACCACACGCTCGCACTTGAGAATGTCCCGCAAATCAACATAGCCGTCAGCAGTGACGATTTGCTCAAATTGTCGGCACCGTTCGTACGCCCGATACGCCTGCACTTGCTTGGCCATCCCATCATCAGAATGATCGCGAAGCGCATCCAGAACGAGTTCCAGTGCTGCATCAAGCTCTCTCTGAGCTGCCGCACGCACTGCCTTGCGTTTCGTTTTGCGCTTCGCTTTCAACATTTCCTCCACGCCTTTCGTAGCCACTGAATGGCTTTGCGTGGTGAGCATTGCGATGATCTCCTTGTCGGGCGCAAATGCCTTGCTGCTGGAAGAGAAAAAGATGTGCCCATCATGGGTGCTCACGTATACGCGTGTCAGCGATCCTGATACCGCTTTGACGCGCCATAAATAGCCTTCCGCTGCCGGCGGTTCCTCCAGAATATCGCCGACTGGTCCTTTGATGATGCCAAGATGATGCTGCGCTGGCCTGAGCTCCAGGACGGGCGTGGACAATCGCTGAGCAAGAGCGGCAACCGCGCTATGGTCAGCAATGGCTACCGTTTGCCATGGCGTCAAGCAGGGCTCACAGTATGAAGCAATACTCCACTGACCACAGCGGCGTCGCTGGATATTGTGGTGTCATGCCGAGCATTGAATCGATGCACCCATTCTAGTCGGCGACCGATGCGCCAAGCCACTTCAAAGGGAGCGTTCGCCGCGATGCTTTGCTGGGCCAGTACGAGCCAGCGTGGGTTCCCTTGCAGCAGACGTGCGATTATCTCGGTGATGTTACGAGTGGTGATCAACTTGTATCCCTCCCCTTGGAGGTCATTCTCATCACCCGTGAGGAGGAGAGACTGCTTCACCTCCTCTGTCGCCTCGTCTGGCACGGGAATGCGGACGCGGATGTTCAAGTCGGGAACATGGACGTCAACCACCTCGGGCACATTACCACCGAGCTCCCTGTGCAACTCCCACATCCAGTCACGAGCCGTGCTGGTGAATCGCGCCTGCGGAAGCGGGACCTTACAATGTTAGCTCTCCGTTTGGCAGCCAACGAGACCAACGCATTCACATTGAAAATGAGTATGTTTGTGCCGCTCTTGCGCAGATGCAGCGACCTCTTCCGTTCTTCCCTGCGTCTCTCGTTGTTGCAAGTATAAGTGAGGCAGAAGATCCCATCGATCGGAGAATAGAGCGACTGGAACGTGTGACCCTTGCGCAGACCGAGAACAAGTCGGAGTTTTAGCTGCTTGGCGCGGCCGCTTAGCTTGTAGAGCAGGGACTGAAAGAGCCGACTCATCAGCAATCAATATGGAGAGCATGGGCTCTCTCGACGTTACACGTACTGTATCCTCCCACAGTTCCAACCGGCCCATCCTTAGCACCACCATGTACTCCGACCAGTCATCCTCATAAGTTGAGTACCTTCTCGCGATCAGTTCATCGTAGTCCGGAGGCAGGTCTTCTGCGGCAGTCCACTCAATCTTGACGAGCATTCTATCGCGCTTGAGCACAGACCTGTGGGTGATCAGCTCTTCGGACTGTGTCGCGGCTGTTGCTCTGAGCTGGCTCAGCCGGGCCTGCTCATTGTCGATTTGCTGCACTGCAGCCTCGCTTCGTTGCAGCACCTCCTCCGGCGCTGCCCTCTCCTCTACATCCGCGAACAACGCTTCTGCCATTGGGCTGGACTTGCCAATGATGGGTTTGGTTAGCTGGCGGAAGAAGGTGGTCGCTTCTGAGCTAGGGGAGTTGCGCGCGAACTGGACCGACTTTTTCGTTCGTAGCGTGCGTCGCTCCCCTGCTTCGGTGGTGGTCACTGATGCCTGTTCCTGTTCAGGCTGCACTAATACACTACTATCGACAGTCGGCGTTGCCACCTTTACTTGCTCGGCCCCATCTGGTAGCCCGTTGGAAGCGTCGGAGCCAGGTGGGGTGGACGCTGTCCCTGTGACGTTCATGTCCTTCGGGGATGAGACGAGCACCTGCAGCTTCACCGAATCTTGCCTCTGGTCTTGCGTGGCAATGGGTGGTGGTCTCGCAGAAGGGTTCTTTGATGTTGTCTGCGCCTGCGCCTTTGCCGTCCTCGCTTTCTCGATCGCACTCGCCGATGCAAGTGCATCCGCCGCTGCATGGCGCACCGGCTTACGATCGCTGATCCTTCCGCTGTGCGCATTCATCATCGCTGCAATGTCCGCCCAGCCTTTGCGGCTCTCAATGTCGAAGGCTGGAGCGTGATTGACGCCATGGGCCTGGGTGAGTGTGAGGCAAGAAGATGACAGCGCTGAATCTATCGTAGCTTTGGGACTTGTCATGACTTTGGGGCGCATGTGGATGCTATTGGTAGATGTGGAGGCTTCGTCAAAGGCGCGTGAACGACGCTTACCGCTGGTGTCAATTACAGTTCTGCTCGCAACAGCCTGAGAGCCTCGAGTAATTGTGGCAGACGGGACCAGGGTACCTTCGCGACTGTGTGTTGCCAAGTTTGCTTCTCTGGTCATCTGCGCCAGAGCTGCCGATGGTCTACGCAAGTCTTGGGGTTCCGAGAAGCTGCCTTTGCGCCTCCGCTTGTCAATCGCAGCTTGACCCACTTTCTCTTCCTCTACGATGCTCATGCACCGAGCGCGCTCCTGCTGTGTGCGCTGCTCGGCCTTTTCTTTATGCGAAGCCTCGATGCGGGCAAGTAGCACCTCTTCGACAGCAAAGCCAGTCTCGAAGCTGGAGCCGACCCAGCGCGTGCCACCAGAGCTAGTGCCAACTTGAAAGGGATCAGGCTTGGCAGAACGGTGAAGTCCATAATGGTAGTGACGAGGGCCGCCGCCTTTCCTATCCCGCCCAGCAACGAACTGCTGCTGATCCGGTCCCTCTTTCTCGGCCTGCTGCTGCTGTTGCTTCCGCAGCTGCATCGCAGCCGCCGCCCTAGCAGCGCTGACGACCTGCTCGTCCCTCGCGCGCCGCTCTTTGTCCGCCTTAGGGAGCAAACCCCGGAACAAGCGAGCTCGGACGCCACCAACAGCACCAAAACTACCCTCTGTGGCGCGTGTACCGTGCGTGCCGAGTGAGCCGATGGTGCTCACGTGACTCATGCGCGAGGCGTCTCTACGGTGTGGATACCATGAAAACCCGTTCGCAGGACCATTCGGAATAGTGTGGGAGCGCTGCTCACTTGGTCGCCGCCTCGAAAGTTCAGAGCGATTACTGAAGGCGGACGCTTGGCGTGAATGACCAGCTGCCTGTGGCGGTTGCGATATCTGTTGCTTTTGCGACTGATCACTCTTGGACGCAGGACTGATTGTTGGTGGATCAACGGAAGAAGCGGAGGAAGAATAGCCAGCGACGGGACGAAGGAGCGATGTCCGCCTCTCTGGTGTTGACTGCATCTGCATCGTTTGCATGCGCAGGGCGCCGCTGCTGCTGCCACTGACGCTGCCTGCACCACTTCCTGCGCTGGCGTCGGGATTGCCTTGCTCACTCCAGAAGAAAAGGTCGTTGGGTCTACCCCTTCGTGCGACAGGCCGAAGCGTCTCAAAGCTAGCAGACGACGCAGCCCGTTGTGCGCCACATGTGTTGACGCGCTCTCGGTCTCTGAACCGCTTGCTGAGTGGCGAGGTTGTGAGAATGGGCTTGCGTTGGAGTGGTTGCTGATGCTGCTGCAGCTGGTCAAGACATCCAGCGCGTCCCACTGATCCGGGCTGCTCGAACGACAAAAGGCGGGTTCTTGTCGGCTTGGTCGGGGTGCTCATCGGCGAGTTCTGTTCTGCATTGACATTGATAGTCGTATCAACAATGCTCACACAGGATCGCTTGCGGTCCCGCTGCAGCATTCCTCCAGCAGCAGCAGCGCTGAGGAAGGTCGATGAATTGTCACCGCCGCTGCTGTCATGGTTGAGGTTGCTGCAGCTATGGTTAGCATTCGGATCTGCGGAAAATTCTGCTGCATTCAACTCGAACCACGACATGCCATGCCGATCGCGACGAGAGCTAGAGAGGTTGGAACTCATTCGCGGCAGCGCCAACGTCTGTGTGAGTGGCGATGGTGGTCCAAGAGAGGATGAATTCTGCTCCCCGTTATAACCATCTGCCTCTCCTTCCTCTTGCGTAGCCTGCGCAAATTTGCCATGGCGATCGGCATCGGCGCCGTTCAGAATCGTACTGCCAGGAATGGGTGAGAGGGCGCTGCTGCCTGAATATCCGCAGGTACGGGCGGAAGCCGTTGCGCCACTGCCACGCCGATCACATAGCTCGCTGCCTAGATCGTTGCTTTGCGCCTCGATGACGGTCGCATCAGACCGGGCGCTGATATAAGACTGGGCAGTCGCAAAGCTAGCCTGCGATTCATTCCGCCGTACGCTTCCTGATTTGCGTGCAGATGTCGCGAGCGGTGGCCGCGTGGGGATTGAAGAAGCGTTCGAAATGTCTGCGGTGGATACTGCTACAGGTGGTGACAGAGGACTTGTAGGTTCGAATTCGAATGTTGGTTGCGGCTGCCTGTGTCCGTGCTCTGTCGGTAATGATCGTCCCCTTTCGTGCATCATTTGGGAAGCTCGATTGGTGTCGGCACCGTCCACTTCGCCTTTCTGGCTAAATATGTTTTGCTGAAAGAGCTGATCCGAGGCTCGAGACGATGAATCAACTAGTGCAGCAGCTGGCATGGTGCGAGTATGCTTCACCGAATGAGATGCTGTGAGACCATCTGCCTGTTCGAGAGTCTGTTGCCTTTTCTTTCCCAACGCTTGCCAATCAGAATCTCCTCCAGCTGGAGTCTCCGTTTCATCTCCGGCTCTGGCTTCAGCCTCAGCCTTCACCTGTGATTGTGTGGTAGCGAAGATCACTGCTGCGGCGGCTGTTGTCGAGGAGATGGGCAGTGGACCGATGAACACTCGTCTGAATTTGTGTGGACCTCGGAAGTGCTCCTGGGTAGTGTGTCGGTGTGACTGATACATTTCGAGCAAGCGCCGTGTAATATGGTCCGCGTCAAGGGCTTGATCGGCACTGATGTTGGTGTCGGCATGTTGGTAAGAGGGATCCGTCGGTGGTTGTGGGTGCACCGCCGAACTGGTTGGCAGCGTAGCAGAACCTGCAGATCTTATTCCCGCCGTTGCAACTTCTGCTGCGCGTGCTACCAGCTGCTGTGTGACGGTGATGGGCTCGTCATTGGTACGCCAGTGATACGCCATGGTGTCCGGGACTATCCTTGTTTCAGGGGGCGGTCACACACTCCCGCTTGGCAAACCAGTTCAACATGCACTCAACGAGCCCTCTGAACGATGTCCTTTCGGTAGAGTGCTTGTCATTAATACTTCAGACGATAAACTGCCTGGATCCCTGTTATCACCAGTCTGTAAGCAAACAGAATGTGGAGTCTGGCCATGCCGGGCCAGCACCCAAACATATACGGCACAGCAACAAAGGACCTGAATCCTTTGTATAGGAGGTGTGCAGTTGCACACGCATCGCCGTGCGGCGTGCAGCAATCGTCTTCGATCAACCCCAGCGAGTGTTGTACATAATCGGTGCAATGAGCTCCTTTCCGGAGGTTCCGGTGACTGTATTCGGTGCAACTCCAGCTGCTGATCACGTTTGGGTTTGGTCCAGTTCACGTAGCCAGGCCTCTCAGTGTCTAACCGCAGCCCGCCTAGCTGTCTGGCTGACAGTTGGGTAAGTGTTGCCTAGGATGTGATCTTGCCAGGTTGACTCGCCAACATCCTGCGACTGGCTACCGTGATTCGTCGGTCGTGAGGAGACTGCAGACCCTTGAACGCACGGTGACCCGTTAGAGCACGTGTGCATAAGACCTTGTGACCCGGCTGATGGATGACGACCTGTACCACGATCACATCATGGCGCCTGCATCTGCATCTGGTTCGAGTTCTGCTTTGCGCCATGGCAGTAGTGTAGGCAAGCCAAAGTACAGATACGGGAGCACTGCATCGAGCAGAGCGGGGCGCAGGAGGCTTCTCGAATCAGGTTCGCCCTGCCACAAGCTCACAGCAGCGGCAACGAACCAAGATCTGGCGCAGGCATCTGCAGGAAACGAGAGCCAGTCCCTTTCTCTCTCTTCATCGCCGCCGTCCCGTCACTGCATACTACTTCCAAGGGCAACAGCTACAGCCCCTTCTTTACCCTCAGCTTTGTTCTCACCATTGACCCCACCGTCACCTTCCAAGACACAGAAGAAACTGACATCGATCGTCAAAGGCTCTCCGCACCGCTCCCCGCACACGCCCTCTAAGAGGCCAAAGGATCTTTCAGCCCTTTTTTCTTTCGCTACCACAGATTGCAAGGTCCAACATGGCAATGGAATCGCCACAAGCGACAGTACAAGGACTAATCACGATGGTGCCAGCGATCGCAAGGGAGGGGCTAGAAGCCTTGGTGCGCAAGAACGCGAGCAAGAGGTTACTGGATGCAGCAGCACAAGCAGCAGCAGCCCAATGAAAAAGAGAAAGGTTCTCTCTTCACAAGCCCTCAGTGACGATGCCGACGAGCCGTCCCTGACGCATGCGGATGCGCTTGAGCCCGAGCTCACCCCTGGCCCGCTAACGAGAATGAGAGCCAAGGTGCGCAGTCTCACTGTACAACAAAACGAGCCTCAGCATAAGGCTGAATCGATAGGAGCACAACCTCCCAAAAGGCTTGCGGCCCGCATGAAAGGCGCGGTCTCGGATGTGACGCAACCTAAATCACAAGCTCCGTCCCCAGGTGTTCGTCCAAATATCTTAAAACGTTCCAAGTCCCCTCATTCTCAAGGGCCCTCGCTCTTCGACAGCCTTGTAGGCGTGCAAACGTCACAATCACCCTCGCCGTCGCATTTTGCTTCTACCCCCGCATCCCCATCTGCATGTTCGCGCGATGGCAAAGGTCTCTCGTCGCCTTGTGATGCTCAAGTGGTATGTAAGTCGCAGTCAAATTCGCAGGAAACCACAATTTCTCGTTCCCATCAAGCAGCTACGCGATATAACAGCGCAGCAGCTTCCAAACCTACGTCAGCAGCAACTGGAGGCCTGAGCGGAGCGATCTCACGCGCAAAGACCTACGGTGCTCAGCGTAGCTTTCTCGTGGACGCGTCCAATTGGTCTCATGAAAGCTCCGGACTGCATGAGCGGTTGCGCAAAAGTGGCGAGTTGCGTGTTGAGCTCGGCGATGGGAGCCTTGCTTGTATCAGTGAGAGGGGGGAAGAGATGTTAAGTGTTGATGCAGAGCAAGGCCAAACTTGGCGATCGCGATCCAATTCGCCATCAGGCGGCGTTAGGCGCTCACGTAGGGCAGGAGCCACTTCCTCAAAGGCAGCAGCGCTGGACTCCCTCCTCGGCCTCGACACCTCGCAGGCGAAACCAAAGGCGCGAGAGAGCTATAAGGATCTGCTCAAAAAGTGGGGAGAGGGAGATCTGGAGGAGCAAGGAGCACAGGCTTTCGTGAGTCTGCTCCCTCTGAATACGAGTTGCTTGTGTATATAAGTGAGATCGTGCTAAACCTTCTTGCTACGCAATGCTTGGCAGATGGAGTTAAAATCTGTCACCTCGCTCCGCTCCGCAGGCGAGAATCGTCGATTCAACGATGAGCTCGAATATCTTCTTTCTGGCCTCGACACAAGCGAACCGCGCTCCCTTTCAACACGGCAGAGCTCCTGTGCACTTATCGTCGTTGAAAAGTGTTGCCCCTCACCATTGCAACTTAGCTCTAATGGCAAAGGAGTCAGTGGCATCAGATGTCACGAACACCATGATGCTGACGAAGAAGGGGATGAGGGAAAAAAACAGGCCGAGTTGGATGAATCGATGACCTTCTTGCGCAACTTGCAAGTCACGGACAACATCCAGCGTCTCTACCGCGCTTTGCTTGCGTGCGGCTGCGCAGCACCGCTGACGAGCGACCTGCATGATCCGTCTGGTACGCTCGACGCCATCTTTGCGTTGTACCTTGCTCGCCTCGTCGCTGCAGGAAGCGGAGCAGGTTCAAGTGCTACTGGTGGCGAAAAGGGCGAAATAGGCGCTAGCAACGGAGGCCTCGCGGAAGACCTGCTGCGTACCTCCACTTCTCATCGCGACCATGGTCATGCTTCGCTCTCTGAGGCAAACGGCCGCGTTTCAGAGCATTTTGGTGGACCATATTCTCTTGATCCACATGACCACGCTACTCAGGAGCTGCACCTGTGCCATGTGCTGAGCCGGATGTTGCAGCTGACCGAGGAGCGCGACGCGCTCGCTGCGGAGGACACCGCCGTCCGTGCCTCCCGCGCCACACTTGTCGAGCAGAATTCAGCAAAGGGCACGGCGGGCGGACCGGGCGGCAGTAGAAACCGAAAGCAAGGGAATACACTGCGACTTGTACGAGAAGCCGTGCAGGCATGTCGCTTCTCATTTGCTTCTTCTCACCTTCAGCTGCAAGGCGTCCGAGAGGATCTGCAGCGGCCATCTACACGTGACCTGATCTTTTTTACCCTCACGGAGCTCATTCCATGCTTGTCTCCCGAGGCGCTGCGGCTGCTCTCTTTTGGAGGCGAGGGCTCAGAGTTCGACTTCGCGCAGCCGGCTTCGCAGCAGAGCGAAGACTCTACGCAGTTGATGTGCGCGCTCGATTGCTTAATCAAGGCTTACCGGGCTAACGTCCCATTGTGCGAATCGTCCGGCGCATGTACAGCCTCGGCTGCGACTTCGTCGATGCCCTACGGTGACCGCAGCTTCAGCTGCGGTAACACTGGCCGTGGCGGTGCCAAGTTCAAGACCGATGTCACGTCCTCCAATCTCCATGTCATGCATGCCTGCCTCGTTTCGATCCTCAGCCGCGTCTCAGACGTAGCGGGCTCGCTTGCCGCCAGGAAGATACGGCGTAAGCTACAGCCTCTCGTTCCGCATCTCCAGAAAAGCTTTTTAAATGGCGCCAGTGCATCCGAGCAGCACTCCGCGCATTCAGGGGCGTTTAGCATGCTGGTACAGCTCCTTGTCCTCTCGACGCAAGACAGTGCCGAAAATTGCCAGGCCCTCGGCAGCGTCCCCTTTCTGGAAGCGTTGCTTGCACGAGCGGTTCCGGCGTCGAGACCCGCGAACATCTCTGGCAAAACATCAAGAGAGCTAGGCAAGGAGGGAGAGGACGCTGAAGAAAACGGCTTTGCAGATGTCGAACAAAGATGCTTGATACTCAGCCTGCTCACGAACATCCTCGAAGCTTGTCCTTCACAACGCGCCCTCATCGCCGATGCACCAATTCTCGTTCACACCGGTCGCGAGCAGAACTTGCATTCCAGTCCTGCACTCTCGATTCTCGCCGCGGCGTATATGGACAGTTCAAGAAATGCTCAAGAAGAGCAGACGGCAAAGGCTGCTGCAATTGGAGTCTTCACTGGCTGCTTATCCGTACTGCTTGCCCTGCTCCTCGTTGGTAGTGAGCAGCGCCGAGCATCTTTCATCGCAGCCGCAAATGCTCGCCGAGGCGCCGCGGAGGCAATGCAACAGCTCCTGGAGAGCCTCGAGGATTTCGCGGCCGCGAACCGAGAGCTGCGACTTGCAGCTGATCAGCAAGAATTGCGAAATACCACGGACGAGCAAATGGACAAGATCCAGTTGCTAGCAGATCAACTGCGCAGCGAGTTTGGAAGCGTGTAATTTAGTCAGATGCGCTGCACTACATGTCGTTGGGCCACAACGCCATCGTGAAATGAAAGTGCCGAACACTTGTCGCGCTGTCCGAAATGCACAGAGCTCCTGCAGAGAGAGACTCAATCTCTCGCCACTACACTGCATGTAATGCAGCGGTGCGCACAGCGGGCGAGAGGAATTCCGTCTGCCTTTGTCACACGAGCAAGACTCAGCGCATGGCGCGCGCGGGCAAGCTCGCCAGGTCCCAACCGCTGCCGCGACGGGAGAAACATGTGGCCAAAACGGGCCTTGCACCAGAGAACACTGATGTTCTTTGGGTGGAAAAAGATGAAGAAACCAAAACTACTGGATAGCTATTGCTAGCCGTTCGGTGCCTTGTGTGCCAAGAAGATGTGGGTAATCTCCTTTTGCGTGGCAGCTGAAAGTCCTTTCCCTCGCGCTTTGAGGCGCAAGTTTCGGTCCAGAGTTACAAGAACAGCCTTCGTCGTTTCCGGCTTGATTCGCTCGCGATCGCGTGAGGGGTTGTCTGACAGGATTGCCAGTCGATCCATAAAGTGCGTCTGTTGCCAGTTGACCACCCGGAGAATAATCTCATCGAGCGAACGAGCGCGCACATCGTCCCCAACATCGTTGCCAAAATCGATTTCCTCTTGACGCACAGTCAAATCCGCGAGGTAGTTGCCACGAGACGTCTGTACTTTGAGCCATTTGCTGCAAGAGCGTATGTTCTTTTCGATATAGGCTAGAGCACGTTGGGCACCAGGACCGAGCGGCTCCGGATTCTTTTGCAAGCCATCCAGTTCGGTCACGACCGCGAGTGGAATAATGATGGTCCAGCGCTTCCACTCGACGAGCTGTTCGAGCAGCTTGCCTGGCGCAATAAGAACGTTGGTGTCCAGGACGAGGACTGTGTATCCCGGCACCACGTTCACAAGCTCTTTCCTTCCTGGCTTGCGCCCGGCCTCTTTCTTGCCCTGTCCATCTTGCTTGGTTCGGGTGGGCATAAGTGGCGCAGCAGCAGACTTTGCCTGTTGGATTACACTCTTGAGGTATCGATGACGCGCCTGCGGGGAAAGAAAAGATCGTGGAGTCATCAGTCTACATTGCTCGTATGAGTTGCCAGGCCGCTGACCTTAAGAACACGAATCTCCTCCGGCAGGTTCCCGTCATCAGCGTCTTCGTCGCTCTCTCGCTCGCTCGACGAGTCCGCCTCCTCATCGCTGTCAACATCAAATTTGCGAATATGCGGAGAAGTTTCGATCGCTTCCACTTCCTTCTCTTCAATGGCCCAACGCTCGATTTTGTTGCGCAGCGGATTGACAACGGCGACAGATTGGGTTCGCTCATCAAAATCGAGACCAGGAACCGTCTTTGCGAGAGACATGAGCGTGTGTAAGAGGCGCTTCCAGCGCAAGTCTGTGAGCACCGAGTCGGCACGAAGAGTTGGCTGGTCATCGTCTCCTTCAGAGGTGACGTTCTCGCTGCCCCAACCTGTTTCCCCCATGGCTTGTTCACGAGTAAGGACGTCTACCTCAGATTCGAACTTGAGGGCCGAGATGCCTGCGCGAGGCGGTTTCCAAAAGCCTCGTTCGTACACTCGGCGCCCAACCCAGGCCATGCCGCGTAAGCACCAGTCTTCTGGTAGCGGTTGAATTCCCGTGATCTTGCTGGGCATATCCTTGCGCGGGTCAATAGGATGAGGGGCATGTACAGCGAGCTGGGTCAAGGCTTCCCATGGCACCCATCGCTCAAGAATGCCGAGCGCAACGGTCTGCTTCGCGACGGTCGCCAGGAAGGTGAGTATGATGGTGAGGTACGGGTTGATGGTTGCGTTCCGTGATTTGATCCAGCGCACGATAAGGATGCGCAAGGAAGTGAAAGCCAGGCGCAATGCACACCGGAGAGGCAAGGGCAGGTCCTCATCAGATGGTGCTTCATTGGACTTCTTCTGCAACGTGACGATAGTGTTTTCAGGGGCATCCCTCATCCCAATTTTCGGCGATGATGGCGGGCTAGAGACTTTCGAGTTCTGACTGAGTATGATGGCTGTAGGCGTCTTTGCCTCGATGCGCTCCGTCTTGCGCGCTTGACTCTCTTGACTAGCTGCATCTGTCGCGGTGGCAAAGATGGCATCCTCGGCACCGTGCTGCAAGATGGCTGCAACGTTCGCCGTCGCCATCATCATCCACTCAGCGGAGGAAATAGATGCCGTGCTCATGACATCCGGCGAGGAGCGGCCGCTTGGATCGACATCTTGCAAGGCAAAGAGGAAGCGTTGGAACACGTCTTCGAAGTCGTCAAGCTGCACGCGCGTAATGATCATTCCGTGCATGCACACGAACAAATCCGTCAGCGACGCGTCCGAACCTTGCCTCCTGCTTTGCAGTTTCGGATCGAAGAGTGGCAACATCGACTCCCTGGCTGAAAGGAAAGGGTGAGAGGCCGTCAAGCTGCAAATGAGCAACCGACAGCACAAGTGTCGCATCAGCAACAAGGTAGAAAAAAGATAGGAACCCGCAGAGACAAGCGCCGAGAACTTGCTCACCTCCTGCAGAAATGATGTAGGGCCCGCAGCTCTTCATTCCGGCTAAGGATCCCCAGGTGGTGATGCAGCCTCCCCGTCCCTGGCATATCTGCTAGACCTTTGGCATACCAGTCCCTCGCGGTGATGCGCCACGTTTCTTTTTCCTCTAGCTCCCAGTCGCCCAGCGCGTCGCTTCCGATGCTGGCGCGCTCCAGGCCAGCAACATGCGGTGGCGGCCTGGCGGCGCTCCCACCTTCGTCATTGTCTTCATCATCGATACGAGCCAAGTTGGTTATCTTCGCCTCGGTCACGCTTGTTGACTGCTGCTGATGCTGCTGCCTCACTAGCACGCGTCTAGCCTTGTTGCGCACGCCACCATTACAATTCTTCGCTGATCTGTTGAGCGCAGCGCTGAGACCCGCTACGGCCATCCTATAGCGCGCCAGGTCGCCGAGGCTCTCGATCCACGCGCTCTTGAAAACGCGGAGGATCTCCGACTCGAGCAAGTTACTGTAGAATGCGTACGCAAAGTAGATAAACTCGGTCAAATGGTCGAGCAGCTGCGCTTGCGCCGCTGTGCCCGCTTCGTCAGTCGGCTGCTGCGTCGGCTGAGGGTACGGCAACGCATGGCGCAGTCGCTCGAGCATGATATGAAAGCCTGTCTGCCAGAGACGCGTGGGGATATTGTAGTTCTGCGGTAAGGAATGCAGCGACGCCGGCAAGCCCGGACGCAGCACCATCTCCATGAAGGCTTCGTGCAGCTCGGCAAGCTGTCGATGCTGTGCTATGAGGCGCAGCCACGCCTCGTGGTCAACAGCACCGACGGCACTGGTACTACTAGTGCCGGTAGGGTTGCCTGCTCCTCCTCCGCCTGCTCCCGAATTTGCCCCGGCCATAACGACAGCAATGCCCGAGGGAAATCCAGCGTCAAGCAACTGGGCACCACTTCGCTCGTTGCGCTTCTCGACCGCGGCCTTGTGATCTTCCTGCAACTTTTGCTCGAGCTGGGAGATGTCCCGGTAGGCGCGTTTGAGGTCCATCACATAGCTATTCACTTCACCTCCGCCCCCGCCTGCTCCGCCGGTTCCGCGAGATTTGGCGTCGCGCTCGCTTTTGTTCCCATCCGGAGCTGAAGGCGATGCGTCTGTCTGTCCACCACCACCGCCTCCGCTACGTGCGCTGGACGCACCGCCACGCCTGCGCCTGCGTTCACGTGACGCCTCGCTCGACGTGACGCTCGCTGCGCCCGTGCTCTTGCTAGCGAGCGAAGAACTGACAAGTGATCGGGCGTCGCTGAACGACGTAGGCGTGATCGTCCCCACAGCCTGCACGGCAAGTTGGCCGCTAGTGCTCGTCACAGGTCCTGCCACGGCAGAGGACACCGACGACGGCCAGACTTTAGAATCGCTGCCGCCGCCATTTGCGCTTGCCGGTGCACGCTTTTGCATCGCAGCAAATTTGACGGGATCGTGTCGACGCGGATCGAACAGTTGTGTCCCGCCAGCGCTGCCGGCGGCGCTACTTGCTGTTGTTGTCGCGAGCGATGCGGTTGTGCCTGTGCCTGAATTAGCGTTTGCATTTGGACCCGGTCCTCCTGTAACGCCTGTACCGCCGCCACCGACTGTCGAAGCGTTTGCGTTGCCACCATTGGCTGCGGCTGCTATCGTTCGTGGACGAGGCTCAAAGTCGTCGTCGTACGTTGTGCGGCTGTACAATGGGCGCTGCTCTTCTTCCCAAGTTGAGGCGCCACTTGGGGGGAGGGGCGGGTGCAGATGGTTGTGATGGTGGTTGTGATGATGACGATCGAACTCGTCACGCTCATTGCGCTCTCGATCTCGATCTCGATTCTCTCGCCTCTTGCCACTTCCAGCCCCGCCTCCCGCACTGCGATGATGATATGCATGTTGATGGCCCTCCTGCAAGTGTGAGTGGTGCGAGCGATGTGGAGCATGCTGTTGTTGACGCTCAGATGCCGATGTAGGTGCATCAGGATCGAACAGTTTTCCACCCGATGGCCCTCCGCGCTCGCCCATGGCGCCTCTCGGCACCATGCGCAGGGATGCGACAGAATCCACCAGGTCGTCACCTGCATAGGCGGACGCGACTGCTCCTCGCGATTCTGCACGATCCCGATCCCGATCGCGGTCGCCGCGTCCTGCAGCGCGATGTTGGCGGGAGGACGAGCCAGCGCCATCCCTACTGTCCCTCTCCCTTGACTTGTCTCTTTCTCTATCGCGCTCACCCTCCTTGTTCCGCTCCCTGTGGCTGTGGCTGCTGCCGTCTCGATCTCGATGCCGCTCCCGCTCGCCGCGCGTCCCATTTGCGCCCACTCCGCCACCCTCCTTGGCAGCCGTCTTGCGCTTGTAATTCATCAGACTCGTCGCAAGGTCGACCCTAGACACACTCTTCGATGAAGATCTGTCTTCATCCGCTGCTGCTAGTGCGGAAACTCGAGCGGAGGCACCGCCTCCGCGCTCTCGCTCGCGGGCTATGGCGGCGCGCTCCTTGTCGCGGCTGGCCCCTTCGAATCTGCATGCGCGCGCGTTACCAGCACGAGACGATTGATTCTGCTGCTGAGTATGGGATTTTAGATGCAGCTCCGAGCTCGAAGCAGACGTGATGCCACCGAAGAGCGTCGCCTCCCCGGAAGAGCTGTTCGTCAACCCCGACGGCGCACTGCGATCGCGCTCAATGGCACGGTGGTGTTGCTGTTGTTCGGAACACTGTCCTGCTGCAAATATGTGTACATTCGGATCCGATTTTGTCGGAGCAGGCTGAAGGTCGTCCTTATTGGCGGCTGCAACAGCACTGTTGGCGCTCACTGCAGTGCTGTGCGTCTGCGCAGGCTGGAACGAAGGCGTTTCGGCGCTCAAGACAGGTGCTGCGCGCATACTGGTTGATGGAATGCCCAGCTGTTTTTGCCTCGGGGAAAGTGTGATTGGAAGTTCCTTCAAAAAGACACGAATGGAGCACTCGAACGTGGTCTGTACTTCAGATGTCTTTGTCAAGCGATGCTGCTCAGCAGCAAGAGGTCTTGCGGTTAATTCTGCTGTAGACGCCAAGATGCAGCGTGTTGAACAAGAAGTCTCAGCGAGATGGGACCGAACGTGACAGAGTTGTAGCGCTTTTGTCTTTGTACTTTCGCTCGCTGCTCCTGATGCTACTACCACTTCTTCCGCTGCTGCTGACGCTGTTGGGTCCAGGTGTTGGTGGCATGGCGCGGGTAATGGGTTTGCACTGTTGATGAACACTGATATTTCTTCCACACGTTCGGAGTATGGTCTGAAGGTTTCTTGATGCCTGTATGGTGGGCTCCGAAGCTGTCGAGGCGACCGATGTGTTGCGCAGTCACCAAAGACCACTTCAAGCGACTAGTTGGCGAGGTCGACCGTGGCCATCCCCCCTCAAGCGGCCTGAGATTCTAAAGCTTTGCCGCCGTATTGGAGAAACCTTGAGGAGAGGTTTTCAGCTATTGCCTGACCGTCTGCTTCTCGATCGGACGTGACCCAGCTTTTCTAGAGATTAGCAAGTGCCCGTACAACCGTGAGACTTGCTCCAGCTGATGCGGATGATGGCGTTGCGTTGTGAGGTCTCCGCCGAGGCTTGGTTTTTCTCACTGGCATTGAAAGGAGCGTGTCTTGAAGCAAATCACGTGATCATTTTGTAACCTGTTCCTCACGAGAGCCGCAATAACCAACTCGAAGCACCCACATTCCGCAGGAGCCTCGCGAAGAAATCGGGTTCGTTTTTGCGAAATTCACTTCGGTTTTGTTCATCAAGTCATTCTATCTATCATGCTTGCTTGCTTCTCATGTGTGCAAAACCGACTGCGTCTACTATATTTTTGAGAATATACAAACGCGGTCATCGCTTGTTGTAGCTTCGCCTTGGCTGTTCGAACCCCAAGAAGAACTCACAGCGGTGAATGATGGCTTTCGCTATCTTTTGCTCTGGCTCCTCGGTTCACTGGCGATTCGCCGGCCAACGTGCCATGCCCCCCCTCCCTCGACAACTTCGCATTCTTCCCTACTAGAGCTTCCATGCAAGCTTTCTCTCCGAAGATTATTTCACCTTCCTTACAAGCTGAAAGTACTGGGTATTTTTCCTTCCTGTGACCAAGTCATCTCAGTGTCACCTGTTGAATGCGCTTCACGTCAACGTCATACCCTCCGCCATGGCGCTGCGTATCTTGGATGCTAACGGCATTGCATGCATCATTGAGGATATAATGCATCCCGTTCAAGACTTGATTCAGCTTGAACAACGTGACCTACGCCAGGGTCTTAGCTCATGGAGCTTCTGCAGCTACTGACTCAAACTTACAATGAGGACATTCGGACTTTGCGGCGCGTACCGATCGCGATCGACTCCACAATCTTCCTGCGTCAACTGATTACAACGATGGAGCTGATCATGCGGTCCGCCGCAGCCGATGGAACAGTCTTCAGGAACTCCATTCATTGGACCTCGCGTTCGAATGGGGCCGCTCAGCCTTCATCCTGCTATTCAGGGTGGTACCTTTGTGGCATATTAGAAATTGGGTAACAATTTGAGCGGCTGAAGGGTTATACATGACCGAGGGAAGGCATTTTCTCCTTGTTAACGCGAGCAAGTTTGTCGTTGGATGGGACATTGGGACCATCAGCGGCAGCAGAAGCAGATGATGACGACGATCATGGCGGTTATGGCAATGATTGATGAAGGAGAGCAGAGTTAAAATTGCCTTTTCATGACGCAAACGATCCAAATCATGCTTAGCCATACTGTTTCGAGCCAATGACACCTGGATTCGAAAGCCTTGTGATGAGCCATCTACACCGTCTTGATTGAATTCCATCTGCATAGGGACGTACCGTCTAATGGACAAAACTGGGTGATTTGTGGGTTTGCGGCGATTGCAAGATACCCAGTAGCTTACAAGCGAGGCCGAAATGATGAATCGATGCACAGCATTCGATTCGAAGCACACACCCTTTGCATCCCCATTCACAAGCCACCTGACCGAGCGAATAGGCGAGCATCTGCATCAGCAGTGACTGGAGAAATCGAACATATAGACACTAACGCTAATGCGACATGACACATTCCCTCAAACTCCGCCATCCATATAGCCATAACCCGGTCCAATATGAATCATATAATTGATATCTCCATTCCTGGCCAATGGTCTTTCTCTCCTTTCCACCTCAGTTATGTGCGGCCCTGCATTGATCTTGCGCACTGAAAACGGAAACGAACCGTTCCGCAAAACGGAAAACGAAAATTCCGGGGAGTCCCCCGCGAGCTTTTAGACCCGAAGAAGTTGTCTTTTTGTTACCTTTTTGGACTTCGTCCACCTTCCACAGATCCGCCCATTCTTCGTCTTCCTCCTTCCCACTTTGTGTTCCTGGAGATTGTAGATTCGGACATCCGCAGGCAAACGTAGCTGCTGCACGTTTGGGACACGCCGGGAAAAACGAACCAAGCGATTGCACACGCTCGAGTGACGGGCCCACAGCCAGGTCACCCACTTACTTCCCTACACCCTGTGGGCTTACTAGGCGTTGCTCAAGTGCATGAATGCTCAACGTTGCCGCACGCAGTATACGTAGCAGTTTTACACACCGAAGTCTGTCGCATCACCCGCTTGCTGTCTCTAACGCCACAGCTGCATCGCCAATCTCGGTCGCCTATCCAAGCGCTAGAAGAACTACAGTCTCTCTAGTTCGACACAGCAACAGCAGCAGTTTCAAAATGGCTGACCAGGTTGCAAACAATGCCACAGTGGGCGCTGCCGCAGAGCCTCCTCGCAACCTGCACAAAGACCCTGTCACCGGTGAGATGATATCCAAGAACGAGCTCAAGAAACGTCAGAACGCGCGCGCTGCCGCTGAAAAGAAAGCCGCCAAGGCCGCTGCCGCACCCGCTGTAGCTGCTCCGGCCGCTGGCAAGGCGGCTGCCGGTGCCGAAGGCCAGGAGGAGGACGCAGATGACCTCTCACCCCAGCAGTACTACGAGCGGAGATGCAAGACTGTCCTCAAGCTGCGCGAAACGCATCAGCCAGATCCGTACCCGCACAAGTTCCATGTCTCCATCTCACTCTCCGAGTTCATCGCCAAGTACGACGCAACAACGCAGCCTGGCACCTCTCTCAAGGATCAAGGAGAGGCGCATCTCGTCACTGTCGCAGGTAGGATCCACAATGTCCGCAGCTCATCGTCCAAGCTGCGGTTCTACGATCTGCACGGCGAGGGCGTCAAGATCCAGATCATGGCCTCCGCCGCGGACCACCAAGGTGAAGCAGGTACGCCGGAGGGCTTCATGGAGCTCCACGACCTGCTGCGTCGAGGTGACATTGTCGGTGTGCAAGGCTACCCTGGCAAGACCAAGAAGGGAGAGCTGTCGATCATGCCTGTCTCACTAAAGCTGCTCGCGCCGAACCTGCACATGCTGCCGCGCCAAGCGCACACCATCTCCGTCGGCGATACGTCCATCCAAAAGGGCGGCTTCACCAATCCGGAGCAGCGCTTCCGCAAGCGTTACCTCGACCTGATTGTCAACAACCACGTGCGCGACATCTTTGTCAAGCGTGCAAAGATTATCAACTACGTCCGCCGCTTCCTCGACAACCTCGGCTTCCTCGAGGTCGAGACGCCGATGATGAATCAGATTGCCGGCGGTGCTACGGCCAAACCGTTCGTCACGCACCACAACGACCTGAACATGGAGCTGTTTATGCGTATCGCGCCGGAGCTGTACCTCAAGGAACTCGTGGTCGGTGGCCTGGACCGCGTGTACGAAATTGGGCGTGTCTTCCGTAACGAGTCGATTGATCAGACGTGAGCATGCTGGTCTCTTCTCATTTGGCGACTTCAGTGCTTACTGAGCACATCCCTTTTCCGCGCGTCGACAGGCACAACCCAGAGTTCACGTCGTGTGAGTTCTACATGGCGTACGCCGACTTTAACGACCTGCAGACGATCACCGAGTCGATGATCTCGGGGTTGGTCAAACACGTGACTGGCTCGTACAAGGTCGTGTACCACCCGGAGGGCAAGGACAAGCCGGATGCTAAGGCGTACGAGATCGACTTTTCGCCGCCCTGGAAGCGCTTCGACATGATCGAGACGCTCGAAGCGGCACTTGGCGTGACGTTCCCGCCGGCGGACACGCTGCACACGGACGAGGTGCGCAAGTGGCTCGACGAGCTCTGCAAGAAGCACAAAGTGGACTGCAGTCCACCGCGGACGTCAGCGCGACTGATCGACAAACTCGTCGGAGAATTTATCGAGGAGCAGTGCGTCAACCCGAGTTTCATCGTTGGCCACCCTCAGGTCATGTCGCCGCTTGCCAAGTACCACCGCTCGCGTCCAGGTTTGACAGAGCGTTTCGAGGTGTTCGTTGCGAAGAAAGAGATCGGTGAGTGGGGGCCTGTCGTATTGTTCCTTTGCGTTTCGCACTCTCATCCTGTCCTATTCTGTCCGTTTCGTATTTCCAGCCAACGCGTACACCGAGTTGAACGATCCGTGAGTTGCCCATCAGACTGAGGGCGCGTCGTATAGCCTACTCGCGATTGCATGCTGACTTTTGCGCTTCTGCCGTGGGTACAGGTTCCAACAACGCAAGATGTTCGAGGAGCAGGCGAGCCAGGCGGCGCAAGGCGATGATGAGGTCGCGCTGATCGACGCGACGTTCGTCGACGCGCTCGAGCATGGTCTGCCGCCGACGGCTGGCTGGGGCCTGGGCATCGACCGGATGACGATGTTCCTGACGGACAGCAATCGGATCGGCGAGGTGCTGACGTTCCCGATGCTGCGCCCGGATGTTGTCAGCAAGCCCGACGCTAGCACGGCGGCCAAGGCAGCGGTCAGCGCTGCGGCTGCGGGCGTCACGGCTGATCCGAGCGCGTAGATGCGAGGCGCTCGCGAGGCTTAAAAGAACACCAAAAGAGAGACGCTTGTAATTACAGACCAATGGCCCCCATCGTATCGCACTGCGCATGAAAGGACGCTCGTGTCCCGCTCTAGACGGACAGAACAGACTGCTTGCGGCGGCATATCCGCGCACATGCGAAGGCGCGCACTCCCACCCCATTTAGTTCCAAAATCACGCGCAACTATCTACAGGCCACATGAGCGTATTGAGCGGCAGCTGTGATCGGATGAGAGTCTGCACGTCCTCGTCCCGCAAGTGCAACTCGGCCTCGGCCCAGACGTCGCTGATGCGCACGGTGGCGAAGCCGAGCGAGCGGAAGAGCGCGAGCGACGGTGCGTTCGCAAGGGAAATCTTGGCCATGAAGCGCACACGTACGTCGGTCTGTGCTTGCGCGGGAAGATCCTGGGTGCGCGGTCGGGGCGGAGGCGGGCGGTAGATGGACAGCGAGGGCGTGCACCGGGCGTACGTGAGGAGTAGCAGCAGCGCTTCGCGCCCGATGCCGTGGCGGCGGTACTGCGGATCTGCGCGCGGTGTGGAAAGGTATGATGAGCGGCTGCATGCGCTTTGAGCACGGGGCACGCACCTGCAATCATGAGCTCACACTCGGCGTCGAGCAGCTTGGGTGTTGGCAGGTACGGTGAGGCTGATGTTGCGTGGCCCTCTGCTTCTTCTGCGTCGTCATCGGAAGCGGGCTGGAAGAACATATTGACATCTCCGCACATGGGCCAGGCCTGGAGCCATTCGTCGATGCTCTCTCCCTCGCGCGGCCCGGACGGTGACGGTGGCGATGACGGTGCCGCCGATGCAATTGCATGGTCTGTGCCGCTGATACCGCCATTGCCGCGGCGGTCGAGGCTGGGGCTCTTGGCGAGGATGATGAATGTGAGCTTGTCCGGATCGTCATGCCACGACGCCTGCATATCGTACTCCTGCTCTAGACTGAGCGGCTCCGACGCGGTCTGCTGCTGCAGGACCGGGTCGGCCATCCACTCGTGGTAGCGTTGCACCTGCAGGAGGCGGAAGGAGGAAGGGGGGGGGGGTCCGAGGCGTCATTCATTTTTTCATCCATCCATCCGTGTAAATACACTGTTCAGCGGCGATCGACAAGACCGCCCGAAATTCCGCGACACATGTACGGCCCCGTGGGAGATCCGTTCTCTACTACTGGCAAGGAGTACTTACATGCTGCCTGCGGTAGGGAACGAGGATGCACTTTTCGCCGACGAGGACGGTGGCCTCGTTGTCCCTCATTGCGTGGCTCGGCGGGGCACCCCTTTGCAGTTAGCCGCAAGTGCACTAGGAAGAGCTCTGGCGATACAGGAAGCTCGGCGCAGCCATGTCCAGCCAGCCAATGCAGCTGTGCAAAGCTCGTGTATCCATGTGATGGGTCGTGTTGGTGGCGAGTCCGTCGGCGACGCCAGCCCAGTGAGGATCGCTGGGTCTTGGTAGGGCTTGTCCTGGCGTTGTTACAATGTAGGGTTATTATTTACTACTACTGTGCAAAATGTGCGGGAACCAGTTGGTTAGGGTTGGTGCTGGTGCCTGGCGCGCACGTGCTGTTTGAGTGGGACGCGTCCCAAGTGCAGGGCAGAGAGCGGGAGCGACGGACAGAGCGAGTTAGGGTTGCCGTGTCTGGTGCTCAGCAGGAGGAGTGAGAGTGCACAAGTGTTGTTTATTCTCAAACTCTGGCACGCCAGCAGCGCAGTGTTGTGGTTCGCTGTCCAGCAATCACATACCGCCCCCCGCGCGCGGGCCCGCCTCCGTCAACAAGAGCGCATTGCGCAAGCAAGAAACGCTCGCTCGCTCTCCCCTTTTCTTCTCTCCCCTTGACCATCACCATCGCATCAGTCACCTCTCGCCCCCCATCAACCGATCCACCCACAACCGCTGCACGTTACTTTGACAGCGCAACTGCATCGTCTCTCTGCGACTCTTCGCAACAAAATCCCCAAACACAGATCCGAATACACTCGCCACGATGAGAGAGGTGAGCGCCGCGCGCCGACCACCCACCCCCCGCTTGCTCGCTCTCTGCCCCTCTTTCTCCCTCCCCGTATGCAACCTGCTGACGATCTCTTTCGTTTTGTTCTTGCTTGTGGCTCGGTGTTCTAACAGGTTCTGGTACGTGGGATAGATGTGGAATAACGGCCTCTGCTTGGACCTGGGCTCATTAACCCGCTTCCCTCCTTTTCCTTCTACTACAGTCGATCCACGTCGGCCAGGCCGGTATCCAGATCGGTAACTCGTGCTGGGAGGTGAGCTTGAATAGCTCCGCAAGCAACATATCATCTCCAAGACTGACATGGCATCTTACCTGCCTCGCAGCTCTACCTCAACGAGCACGGCCTTTCGCCCGACGGTCGCATCGTCGCCGGCTCGCCGTCGGAGAACGATGACGGCTTCAGCACTTTCTTCTCTGAGACTGGCTCTGGCAAGTACGTCCCCCGCTCCATCTATGTCGACCTGGAGCCCAATGTGGTCGACGAGGTGCGCACGGGTACCTACCGCTCGCTTTTCCACCCCGAGACGCTCGTCACGGGCAAGGAGGATGCGGCCAATAACTATGCCCGTGGCCACTACACGGTCGGCAAGGAGCTCATCGACCAGACGCTCGACCGCGTTCGCAAGCTCGCCGACGCCTGCTCGGGTCTGCAAGGCTTCTTTGTCTTCCACTCCTTTGGCGGTGGTACCGGTTCGGGTTTCGGCTCACTCCTCCTCGAGCGCCTCGCGCAGGACTACGGCAAGAAGGCCAAGCTCGAGTTCAGCGTTTACCCCGCGCCGATGATGTCGTCCTCCGTCGTGGAGCCATACAACTCGGTGTTGACGACGCACACTACGCTCGAGAACTCGGACTGCTCTTTCATGGTCGACAACGAGGCGATCTATGACATTTGCAAGAGGAACCTCGGCATCGTCGCGCCAGGCTACTCGAACCTCAACCGCCTCATCGCACAGGTCGTCTCGTCGATCACTGCGTCGCTGCGCTTTGACGGTTCGCTGAACGTGGACCTGAACGAGTTCCAGACGAACCTCGTGCCGTTCCCGCGCATCCACTTCCCGCTCGCGACCTACGCGCCGATCATCTCAGCCGAGAAGGCGTTCCACGAGAGCAACTCGGTTGCCGAGATGACGTACTCGTCGTTCGAGAAGGGTAACCAGATGGTCAAGTGCGACCCCCGCGACGGCAAGTTCATGGCGTGCTGCCTGCTCTACCGTGGCGACGTTGTACCCAAGGACGTCAACTCGGCCGTCGCGGCAATCAAGACGAAGCGCACGATCCAGTTCGTCGACTGGTGCCCTACGGGCTTCAAGATCGGCATCTGCAACGAGCCGCCCGCGCTCGTCCCCGGCGGCGACCTGGCTAAGGTGAGCCGGAGCTTGTGCATGCTCGCCAACACGACGGCGATCGCCGCCGCGTGGAGCCGGCTCGACCGCAAGTTCGACTTGCTGTACAGCAAGCGCGCCTTTGTCCACTGGTTTGTTGGCGAGGGCATGGAGGAGGGCGAGTTCTCCGAGGCGCGCGAGGATCTCGCAGCGCTCGAGAAGGACTACGAGGAAGTCGGTCTCGACAGTGTCGGCCCTGAGGACGAGATGGAGCCAGAGGAGTACTAAGCGCGAGCCACGAGTGCTAGTGTGACATGCGGTGAACCTTGGCTCTCCACGTTGTGTTTGGGTCGCTCGCCCATCTCCTACCGCCTTCCATGCTTGAACCGGGCGCTGGATCGCGCACGCGCTCGCCGTGCGACGTGAATGTACTACACACTTGTTCCTTCGTCCATTCTTCCATCTTATCCCATTCTTGTCTTCACTGTGCTTGAGCTTCGCAAGTGTACGACGCAATGTTCAGTGCTCGGCATGTAGCTGGTAAGCCAATCGGGGCTAGGCTGCAGCGTGCGGGGGACGGTTCCATCGATTCTGCTGGCAATTCTCGGCAGCCTTGGACTTCTCTTTGGTTGGCGAGCTTCGCCAGCTGAGCCGGGAGATGCCCCGTGGCGCATCTTTCCCGTGCCAGGGAGGCGGCCTCGAGAATCCATGGGCAAGGACCAGTGGGATCCTTAGTCAATGCTGTGGTGTGAGAGAGGCTGAGAGAGTAGCAGGTGATGCGAAAAGTGACTCTTCGCTGCAAGTGTTCGAGTGCCTGCCCCAACAAGCCACACCGCCGGCGGAACGGCGAGAATCGGAATGATGACGAGAGTCAGACATTCTGCGAGATTTTTTTGCGTTTCATGGACCATCTCACCCCATCCTTGAGGCGACGATGAATTGAGCCAACCATCTTCGAGGCTGCACGCGGTAGAGAGCATCGACCGTCACATCCGTGCCAAGTAATCTGCGTTTACCCATCGCATTGTAAGCCTGCCGCCCGACCCATTCCTGTCGTCGTCGCCCTCGCCATTGCCGCTGCTGGATTCTTGTGAACAGCGCCAAGCGGACCAGCTCGCTGTACACATCCAGACCCGACTAATTCCAACTGCCAGCGTTGCATCTGTTTACACTACGCGCCAGCGTTGGTGCCGTTGAAAAATAAATCTGGTAGCATTGTCACTGGGAAGGAGGACACACATACAGGATGGCGGACCATACTCGTGATCCGTGTCCGTACGTCATCCTGAATGACTTTGTGAGTGCTACATTCGCTGAGCCCGACAAGGCATGCTCGCGCAGCTGACGTCGCCGCTGCACCCTTTCTCTTCCTTTTTGTCATTCGCCTTTCGTTGCGGCGTCATTCAGGGAGGGGCTTTCGCGATGGGTGCCATTGGAGGCACGATCTGGCACGGAATCAAGGGAAGCCGAAATAGCCCAAGGGTGAGTGTGCATCTGAAGAGATTCTAGAACCGCTCTGGCCGAAAGAGTAGTTTGTGCTGGCGCCGAGTTTGCAAAGGCGATGGTGCGATGCATTTGACTGCCGCATTTCATTTCGCTGATATTGCATAACCCTCCACTTTTTTGCCCAACGATGAACAGGGCGAGCGATTGCCAGGCGCACTTGCAGCCATCAAGGCGCGAGCGCCGGTACTGGGCGGCAACTTTGGCGTGTGGGGTGGCCTCTTTGGGACATTTGACTGCACCGTCAAGGCGATACGGCAAAAAGAAGACCCCTACAACGCCATCATTGCTGGTTTCTTCACTGGTGGAAGTTTAGCGATCCGATGTGAGTGTGGTGCAACCCCGCGATCGATCAGTGTATCCCTGCTGAACCTCGCACCCCTCCACCTGAACAATAGCTGGGCCAAAAACGGCGCTCGGGTCAGGCATCATGTGTGGCATTCTATTAGGCGTATTCGAAGGTGTTGGTGTCCTCATGCAACGAATGATGGCAGAGGGGAACAAGCAGCAAGCACCACTCATGTGAGTCTACGCATCTCCTAGCAGCGGATCCAAAAGAAATGTCGGTTGCTGAACCCCCCCCCCCAAAACGAAATACCTAACAGCCCCGAGCAGCTAACAGCACAAGCGCCGGCAGGCGGGCCTGCTCTGGCAGGGCCATCAGCTTTTTCCACCTGAATTCTGAAGGGCCATAGTCGAGCCAAGATCTCTTTCTTTTCTCGGCCCCCCCTTTGGATGCAATTGCTCTCGACTCGCTCTGCTTGCAGCAAATACAGCACCACTCGATGTATACTAGTTCAATCCATTTTTGTGGTATTTTCCACTTCTGCTTCGGCTATGTATTGAACGCAGCTGCAGCTCCGTGTGGGGATGGTTATTCACGCATCGCGGCAGCTCGATACATCATGGTCCGCAGTGTCAGCAGCGACCACGAACGTCGTCCAAGGGCCGCAAAGAACGCGAGTGGCATGATGCTCCGTAGTGCCCATGCCAAATGGCGCACAGCGTTTCCATCCAGCAGCTGTGCGGCACTCTGCCTCAAACGACGCCGAATGCTCGGTAAAATCTGCATTTATTAGAGCTCCCAGTTGACCGTGTTCATCTGCCATGCAGCATGTGACTTGGGGTCAGCACGCGTCACGAACGGTTTCTGTGTTGAGGCACACTCACTAGATCCAGAAGTCCAAACACTTCCATCCTGCAGCACGACGGCGGTATGGTCATTTCCGCAGTCGATGTCCGAGACAGAGACGATCTCGTCTTCGACATTGCTGTTGCCGGAAGACAACGTCAGTAGCTCTGGACGGCGCACCAGTTTGCTGCTGGCTTCGCCGAGCTGCCTCTCGGCGTTCCACCCCCACACATACACATCTCCATCGACGGTCAGGACGGCGTTGTGCCGCAAGCCCGCGGCGGCGCGTTTGATGTGCGTTGGGAAGCCTTCAGATGGGCTGAAAAATGCCACGGGCTGCACAGTGTAGTCGCTAAGCGAGCGAGTGCGCCTGCCGAGCTGGCCAAAGCGGTTGTCGCCTAGCGACCAGAGCTGGTGCGGGCGGCTCAAAGAGCTTGAAGAGCCCTCATTCTGGCCCGTTGCGTAGAGCAGAAAGTGTCCGCCACCTGCTACGACTTTGAGCTCGTCGGGTCGCCTTCCCTGAAACGGATCGCGCGATCCCTTTCCTTTAAAGTCATAAACTTGTTCTGGGCCAGATGCTTCTGCTTGACCAGCGTTCATAACATCTTTGAGCGAATCAAACAGCAGGACGATATCTGACGGCGATCGCAGAACATGTCCGTGGTCAGTAGAGATATCTGCTACGCGCGTTTGCTCATGGCTGTTGCGTCCAATTTGCTCACCTTCGGATATGGCCAGCACTTTGCCCTGCCAGTTGACGCTGACGCTCAGCCAGCTTTGTGAATCCACAGCAGTGCCCGCCCCATCAATAGGTACTAGCTGCCCAGTCTTCTCGTCGATATAGGCATTGATGTTGTCGGCGCCAACAAAAGCCCTGACGTCTTGTTGCGAGCGAGAAAAGCACCAGCCCTTTTTTGGTTCGGGCCACAGTCGCAGCGAGGCATCTACGACCACAGCGGCGCACGACCACGAGGCATGAACGATATCTTGTGCACTCTGACCTGCCTCCTGGGTACTATGGCCGTCCTGTCTGCCATCTTCATGTTGGGTTTCTACAGCTGCATGACGATGAAATCGAAGTGGACGGAAGCACGGTGGTGCCTTCTCTGGTTTGCTTTCAGCTGTCGGTATGGTTGCACGCAGGTCGTCGGCATCGGCATTGGATCGCACGAAGCCTGCGTACCATACGGACGTCAGCATGCTTCAACGATGCATCTCGGAGAATTGAGGGGTGCAAGTACCAGGCAGCAGTGAAAAGAGAGTTGATGTTCCATTGGCGTGTCGGACTTGAGGGTAGATATGCACGCGTTTGCGGGCTGCATGTTCTCGCGTTCTTGCACTCACACGGTCCATAGATCGCACTCCGCAATTGGCACGTAGCTTTGTTGCGATGCGCACCAAGCAAAAGGTGCGAGCAGACAGTCCAGCAGCTGCGAGTATAAATTGCACACGTTGCGGAGGGAACTACATGCACCAAAGGGAAACGCAGGGGATAGAGATATAGAAACACTGTCACGGCAGTCCGGCATGTCGGTTCGGGTCCAGCGCGTAAATCACGCCCTGAAACCGAAGATCATAGGTGTGGAGAGTACTAACGGTTAGCCAGAGATAGACTGCCGCTGTATGCTCGTCACAGACACTCACGCCGCTTTGCGTCTTTGAGACATGCTTGGCGAGCGCCAGAGCGTTGAGGCACTTGTTGACTTGTACTTGGGGCAGCTTGGTGTTTGCGACAATCTCCGGTACTGCGGTGGACGGTGACGGTGACGACGGTGCATCGGGAAAATGAGGAAGGAAGGTCAGCACCCAGTTTGAAGTCCTTTGAGCACCCTTCTGTTGCACATACGCACATCGCATGCCCTTGTCCTTGGCGTCGATCAGCGTCACGATGACGCTCTCCGCAATTTTTTGCAGTTTCTGTTGAAGAGAGGAGGCCTAAACTCGTCAGATCTTATGCATACAAGCAATGACGAAGACTTCTACGGTGGCGAATCAGGATTTGGACGCACCTGGTCGCTCCCCCTCCATTCCAGGGGCAGAGTGTTGATGATTGTATGTGCGTACTCCTGCACAGAGCCAAAGTCATACAAATCAGCATCTGCCTGCGAAAAGGAATCCGGCCCTTGCAGCGTCGTACGCACCTCGCGCCGCCTTTTTACCGCCGGAGATATCTTTTTCGCAGTTGCCCCCGCACCCGCAGCGGACACCCCTGTCGACGTTGTCGAAGACTTCTTGAGTGCGCTCTTGAGGGGCTGCTGCTGTGTCGTCGTCCTGGCACCTGCACCTGCCCTCGATGTTCCAGCAGCTGAAATACCGCCCCTACCACGGGAGCTGCCTGCTGCAACTCGCGGGGGCGTCGCATCGACCGCAGTGCTGTCCTCGACAGTCATATACGTCTGATCTGCCAGGCTGCCCGCCGCCCCGCCTTGGTCCGAAAAGGCGCCAAGAGAGGGGCGCCCGGTATTCAAGTTGACGCCGATCGATGGATTGGCATACAAAGATTGTTGATAGGCGGATTGCTGGCGTTGGACGACTGCAAAGGCTCGACTTAGTTAGTGTCTTGCGCTCGCATAGGGAATGACGGCGAGCAGCTCACCTTGCCGCTCGTTCGCGCGCTCAAAGTTCTCTTCGGTTGGTCTCTATTAAGACGGAGTAATTCAGTAACCAGCCTCTTTCTAGTGCTTGCCCCTGCACGCACCTCGGGCCATTCCACACAAAAAGCGTTCATCTTCAACCCGTAGAGGTACATGGAAAAGTTCTCATTGAACACACCGAGCGCCTCGTAAATTGACTGAATCTGCTCTAGATTCAGATGCAGCGTCGCTACGTCGTCCGCAATGTCCCGCATGGCCGTTTCCAGATGCGAGAGTGGCGTGGCAGACGGGTTACCCGACGATGGGTGCGACGAGGCGAGCGCCGAAATGGATCCGCGCGAAACGCGTCGGATCGGCGTTGTTGGGCGCTTGGATGTGGACATTTTGGTGGACCTAGTTACCTTGATTTGCGCACGATACTCGAGCGTAAGTATCTCTCTCCTCCCCTCGTTCGAGCCCAGATGGTCTCCAAAGTCTCGATGCACAGTAGGCGCGATGCAAGGCCAGAGAGAGGAGTGTTGAAGAGGGAAGAGATCAACACGACACGCAATGCAACGCGACGTGTTTAACCTCCCAGCAGGTGGGCACTGGACCAGTGCGAGCGTAACAACCCTAACCCCCAATATGATACATGCCCTATTTCGTGTTGACCATTGACCATCTCTTCCCCTCGCACCGTCGTGCAATCGCAGGCAGCAGCTCCAGGTGAAAGAGTTGGCGGCCTGAAGCGCCGAAGCGAGATGGTCTATTCATCATAGCTATAAGTAAATATTGTTTCATTAATCTCATCAGCCGACAGCCCGTCCACTCGTCAGCCTTCTTCAAACGCGAGACGTTGTCGACACGGTCTCATTCCAGACCACTCACAAGAACATAGAATCGTACATGTTGAATTTGTGAATATGCATACCATCGTACTCTATTCTGATCACCAGTCTGCGAACTCTTTGTACAGCTTTGGAACGCCGAGCAGATACCTTTCCAACCATCGACCTAGACCATGCAAGTCAAGTCAGCGGGGCTGTAGTACAGAACGTGACGAACAGAGTGACGAAACCGTCAACCGCACCAAATACGCGGTAGAGCACGTACCCAAGCCCCAATGGCAGCGCGAGCACGATGCCCGCTCCATCGAGAAAGCGGTACATCTGCAGCGGATCAGGTACTTGACCTGCAAGGATGTGTACAGAAAGGTAGGAATCAAACGTACGGAGGAAGGTCTCAAACCTCATTTGCACGGGCAAAAAATGGATAGAGGGGTAGCAGGATCCGTGCAGAATGGCGTCATCCTGCTAGCAGCCTCACCCTGGATTCTGACTACCCCTCACTAAGAGCCATGGCCACATACAACATGTAATACGTAAGGAAACCCACTTGAATAAGGCTCGAGTCAAAGCATCCAATACCCTTGAGCTCACCGGGGATATGACAAACCTCGCTGCTGTTGGGGTCAAACCAAACCCGTAGAAAAAATGAGACAGGCGCGCTCTCGTGTTTCTTAGCATTGAAATCCCCCTTATCGAACAGCGCAAATAGGGAAGCACTCACAGTATGAGGTCTGCACGGTGGAATCGTCAGCGTCTCCCCATTGGTTAGCTCGCCGACTTTCCCGTCGACGTCATAGCAAAACACGCAAGAGATGCAGTTGAAGGTTTCTATTTGGTACAGATGGACGTGTTATGGCAGCGTGGCCGTGCTCTTGCGTCTTATATCTGTGTGAGGCGAGCCTTTACGGAAGATCTGAGCAGGTGTGAGGCTTGAAAATGTAACGCAGAGGGAGGGAGGAGCTGAGGAGGGTCCGTTTGTATTGGTCGAAATGTAGACGAGGACCACCATCCGCAGTTGAGGCCTTAGAGCCCATTATCCCCATCTTCTGATGCTTTCCAGGCGATAAGATCGCCGGTGAAGAAATGTCAATGACCCTTATCCACGAACGGCTTTGGCAGAGCACCGCGACTTGTAGACTATATCATCCCTCCATGATAATGGGTTGAACAGTCATCGCGCACTATCTTGGTTTTGGAATCGTTGGTATACGGTGCAAGGCGGTGGAAAGGGTAAACAAGCCCTCTGGAAAGTTGTACCGCAGAACTGATCGCCCCCTTCACTCCTGCTTGTTCAACTTGTGGGAAACTCAATGGAACTGCTTGCTCGTGACCATAATGGGTGGTGCTCTGATCACTGAGTCATGGGCTTTCATCGTTGCAAGCAAGCTGCAAGCTCCACCCAGATAGGCATTGCCGAACAAGTGTCAGCAGCTATGGAGTACCTTTTGGGTTGAAAGCCCGACGAATGTCGAATTGACTTGGCCAGGTTGGTCGCTGGACTCTGGTTCGGGATGAACGCTTGGAACTTCGGAACAGGCGGAGATGTGACGTTGCACCGAATGAATTGACTGCCTTCCCAATCTCCATACGTTGCACCCTCGAGCAAATCTCGGCATATGCACTTCCAAAACAGGTTACCGCTGACAAGGTTCGCGGTCCATTTTTGAAGCACTCCCTCGTTCGGTCACTCCCTCCTTCTGCCCTCGATCCGCGTTCTCCGCACTCGCAGAGGCGATGGAGAAACCACCATCTGTGTCATAATGAAGGCCTGCATTGTTGGCACTGGCGCATCCGGCCTCATCACGGGACGTACGCTCCTCGCCTTCTCCCACGATGTGACGGTCATCAAGCGCAACAGCGAGGTGGGCGGGGCATGGATCAAAGGGCTGCGCTACCTCGGCGTAACGGTGCAGAATGCCAAGGACACATACTCGTTCAGGGACCTTGCGATACCCCGCGATTATCCCGAATGACCCACTGGCGAACAGGTGCAAATGTATTTCGCCTCGTATGCGAAAAGTGCGGCCTACACAAGTATATCCGATTTAACACTGAAGTCACGTCTGCAGCAAATTCCGGAGGCAGGATAGCAGGGAAATGGGCGGTCAATACCTGCGAACTCGCAAACGGTGCTGACAACGAAGCCACGTTCGCCTTTTTTGTCGTCTGCCACAGCACTTTTGCAATGGCAAGCTTCCGACCCACCTGGGCGCTTCAGATTACCTCTCCTCCGGCGGACAATTGCACCACACGGCCGCATTTCCCCACACCACGCAATAGCTACAGGCCATGGTCTGCGGGAAGGAAGTGAACGTCGGCTACAGCAAGAGCGCATGCGACGTCGCAAAGGCCGTCAGTGTTAACGGAACGAAGTGCACGACGGTGGTTATGAAGAACTTAACGTAGAAGATGCCGTATAAGCTGTTAGGCTTGAACTACAAATACCTACTGAGTGAGTATGCACGGGATGTGGCAAGATTCCACTCCAAATCGCCACGGCGCATCTGACGCGTAAACTACCGTCCCAATTGTTCCTCAGTGGCACGTTCTCGGCAAGGCGCTGTTGGAGTACATTACGCTACCCAGTCCCTTCAAATATCTCCTGCACCGCACGCCAATGCGTGTCATACGAAATGCTCTCGTCGAATCATTCCGCACCGCCATCAATTTCCAATTCTGTCTCTCGAGACTGGGCCTCCATCCCAACAAGCGCTTTGCGACCATTGCGCGCGCGAGCATCTCGTTCGCCACCGAGGGGTTCTACGAGTGCGCTTGCAAAGGCACAATCCGCGACACGCAGTATGTGACCATCCAAGAATTACGTGCTTCTACCTCGGAACGTCAGCGCAGCGCGTTGCTTTCTGACGACAGTGAGCTGCGCGTGGAGCTCATTTTCTGCGGTATAAGCTACTACCATAAGTCGAGCTTCCTACCGTCGGAAATCATCGCAAAGCTGACAGATGGACAAGGGAACTGGTCCGGGCTGTACAGACACATTTCCCGTCGTTGTCCCCGGCCTTGCTTTCAACGGCTACAAGTCCAGCCTTTTCTGCACGATTGCGAGCGAGGTTGCAGCGCTGTGGGTCTTCGAATACATGTAAGGTGAGCCGACGTTCCAGCAACGATAGCCACAGCGACGATGCAGGCGCTGCTGCTGGCACGCAGGACGCCGATCAGGCGCAAGACACGTTCCACCGGCTCGACGAGCATTCCAAGGACAAGCACGCCAAGGTGACGAACTTCGTGCCATTCTCGATGCATGCCGTCAATGAGCTGCTGAGCGACCTGCGGCTCTACATCAGCATGGACTCGCGCGGCTTACTGGAACCTTTGCTGAGGCGTACGGAGGGCAAGACGCTGGACGCAGCGGAGCGTCATTGGGACAAGACGATGGTGTAATCAGGAGCCGCTTACCCCGATGCTTTGGACTTATGAACATATTCCATCCCGGCCTTGCCCTGCCTGACCGGATCGTGGTGCGAGCGTGCTGCCACTGCACACGAGGCCTACGAAAGAGAGGCTCATCGCAGCTGTCGAGCCTTATACGAAGGTGGCTCTGACCGGGCCGATATGCGTGTCTGTCGCTGGCCAAGCACCTTTAGAGGATTCTGGCGGCGGAGGCCCGCGCGTGAATGTCCCAGCACCAGGTGAATCCTGCCCGTAGTCACCTCGCGTGCACTTGTTTCTGGTGTATAAAACCTTGAGTGCACACCACCTTTGACGCGCGTTCGAATGGTCCCAATTGGTGTGTGTGTGGGGGGGGGGGATTGTGCACAGGCAACCGCGGTGAAGGGTTAGGACAACCAGAACTAAGGTGCTCGCTGGCAAATGACACTGCATGCGCCCTTTGGTGCCTCGGCTGATCATCCTGGTCGGCACGTGGCATGTGTGTGTGGTGAAGTAACAAGTTCCGTCCCGTTCCGCCCGACCCTCTGTTCCGCATTTTGGCACGCACACCGGCACACACACCCACACACTGTTGCCGCGCAGTGTTTGCTTGCTCTCGCGTCTCAGTAAAGTGATCGCGGTCCGGCGACGAGCAGCCTGCCGTGCAGTGCAGCGCAGAAGAAGTTGCTTCCTACGCAGCAGACACACGCTCCTGACGGGCTGGCCCTTGGTAGCGACCACTACTTCACTCTCATCGCGCACAGCGTGCGCTCTCCAGCACACACCGATATACGCAGCAGCAGCAGCAGCGCAACTCGCCTTTCCGGTCAAGCGTCGCAACGGAAGCAGTGGCTGACGGCACCAAGCGGGCAGCGGACCGCACTCCTCGGTGGTCTGCGCGGTTTCCTCCCTGTCTGCGTCGCGAGCGCGTAACCTTTTTCAAAGGCTCCACGCTGAAGGCTTATGTAGCAGATACACGGCGGGACGCTTGGAACAGCGACACCATGAAGGCTGCCGCATCGACTTCACCATCCAGTCCTGGCGACAGCACTGCCGGAGAGCCGCCAGATACGTCTGTGGCACAGGCGTCTCGCAGTAAAGAGCCATTAGCGAGCGCTGTCAGTGTCGCCAGCGGCAGCAGCAGTGGCAATCCCTCAGGTGCCAAGAACCAAGGCGCAAAAGCGTCGCAGGCTGGCAACAAGACTGCGACGCATCTACCGGCTCATGCAGCGCCCCCTCCGCTCTCCCAACCCGCGTCGACGTCCTTCTTCGGGTCTTCGTGGATCTCTCCATCCTCCTCGGCCTCCGCCGCGGCGTCTTCGGCACTCGAGTCGACCGTGCGCAACAAGCAGAAGCTGATGACGTACGAGCAGTTCCGCGCGCAGGAGCCGCCGCAGGCACGTCTACTGCGTCTGCGTGGCCTCTTCGACAAGCTCATGGATGCCGATGCCGAGCATGCCCTCGCCGACGGCCGCGCCAAGGATGAATGGACGAAGAGCGCGATCCGTGCCCAGTATGGCAAATTCGGCCCGGGAAGGCTGCCCAGCGAGAGCGATGAGGCTGGAGGGGGAAGCGGTAGCAGGAGCAGTAGCAATGGGAAACGCAGACGCGAGGCGCCGATGGCTGTTCCCCCTCGTCCATCCTATGCCAACGAGCTTCTCACGCAGTGTCGGAAATGCCGAGAGGAGCTGGACCGCGAGAGGGCAAAGGAGTATGAGAGAGAAAGGGCGCGCATTGCCTGTGCCACTGCAGCTTCGAATGCTGGTGGCGATGGCTCTGCAGCGTGGTGGACATTTGGCGGCTTGCTCGGCGGCAGCGGCAACTGGATCAGTGTGAACAGCGCGTCGCAGGCGAAAGGATCAGTCGAAGGGAAAGCCAGCGAAACGTCTGGCCCGCCATCGGTCGTTCAAACCGTGGTAGGCACCCTGACACCCACTTTCGTGCCTTCATCCTCAGCGCCACCACCATCGACCTCCTCTGCCTCGAGCAGCACCTCCTCCACCGTGACAAACGCGTTATCCTCTGCCGCATCGTCCATCTCCTCGCTCTTCACCTCTACATTCGGATCGGAATCGTCCGGCAGCCAAGGTGCACAGCACCCCGATGCGCCGCCATCGCCACCACCCGATCACGATGGTGAAGCTGGTTGGACAGGCTCCGGCGTCTGGGGTCTCAGCGCCGTCGGGTCAGCACAGCGCGAGATGGATCGAAATGCCCTTGCGGCTTCTTCATTGCATCCTAGAGGATCTGGTCTCTCCCTATCCTGGTCGAAGAATGCGACGGGCTCTTCGGTGGCAGCCGACGCGAGCGAAGGCGCGCGTGCTGGGGCGCAGGCACAAGAAGAACGCTCGCGGTGGCAGCAGCGGCAGATCGAGTGGGAAGGGTTCCTGCGCTATGCCGAGCAGAAGGAACGCGAGCTTTATGCCATCTTCAACGAGCTGGACAAAAATGGCGACATGCGTTTGGATGTGCAGGAGATTCGAGCTGCGCTGGACAGGGCTGGTGAGTAGTCCAGGCTTGAAACGCCGCTCCCCGCTCCATGACTGCATGAGTCGGGATGCATTCAGCGATGCCGTGCTGACGCCTACCTTGTACAATGCGCGCATGCAAAGGTCTCGATGTCCCGCCTATGTCGCTGGAGGACTTTATCGCCTCGCTGGCGTCGTCGCGAGTGCAGGGCAATCAATATCCTTATCCCCCGCGTCGATCGGGGGTAAAAGAGACCGACAAGCCTTACGTCAGTTTCCCGGAGTTTAGAGACTATCTGCTTCTTTTGCCTAGGAAGCCGAGCGTCAGCGAGGTGAGTGTTGGGGCGCGTGCGACTCCATTCTCTTATTAAGATCGTGCTCACCTCCGCTCTGTCACCCCGTAGATTTTTCGTTTCTACCAAGTACGCAAGACGTTCGGACTCTTCCGCGAAGGCGGTATCTTTGCCGAACTCGCGAGCAGCTGGGGTAAGCATGAGCGCGGTGCTAGCGCCGTTAACCTCGATGGCGATGTCAGCCTTGCTGGTGAGGAGAAGCGCAAGTACGGATCTGCCTCCCCGGATGCCTCTTCGGCCACTGTTTTCAAGGAAAACCATGGCGGCAGCGCGACAGACGCTGCAGGCGGGCAGGCAGCGAATTCAAGCGAGCAAAGTGGTGGCGAAGCGGCTGCGTCCGACAAGGTCGCACCGGGCGCCGCGGCATCCGTGGGCCCCTCTTGGGGGATAGGCACATTGAAGGCTGCGGGCGGCGCTTCCAAGCCTCCCGGTCAGACGTGCACCGCGAGCCAGGGGCAGGGCGATGCGAGCAAGGTCGCGCACGGGCACGAGGACGACGATGACGAAGAGGAGGAGGAGGACGACACGGATATGATCGCCGGCTCCGTGGCGATCAAGTTCCTCCTTGCAGGCGGCATTGCAGGCGCAGTCTCGCGCACTGCAACGGCGCCGTTCGACAGACTCAAAGTCTACCTGATCACCACGTCGCGCAGCAGCGCCACGGTGCAACTGCTCAATGAGGGCCTTATCAAGGGCAGCACGATGCCCACTGCGCAGCAGGCAGGCGCAAGGGGAGTCGGGCTCATCGGCGAGGCGATTCACTCCCTGTACAGGGGCGGAGGTGGCATCAAGGCTTTTTGGGTCGGGAACGGCTTGAACTGCCTCAAGATCTTTCCGGTGGGTGGATGCAGTGCATGTTCCAAGCTGCCTGTTGAGGATCGTTGACTGAATGCTTCATGCTCCCTTTTTGATTTCCTAGGAATCTGCGATCAAGTTCCTCAGCTACGAGACCTCCAAACGGGCATTCGCCAAGTACGTCGACGGAGTGCATGATTCGCGCGACATTAGCGGCACGAGCCGCTTCATCAGCGGAGGCATCGGTGGCATCACGTCGCAGTTGGCGATCTACCCGATCGAGACACTTAAGACGCGCCTGATGTCCTCACAAGGTGCTGGCGCCAAAACGCGCGCAGAGAGCCATGCGCTGCTACGCCAAACTGCGCAGGATATGTGGCGCCATGGAGGCCTCCGGACGTACTATCGCGGCTTGACCGCCGGTCTCATTGGCGTCTTTCCTTATTCTGCCATTGACATGAGCACGTTCGAAGGCATCAAGCTGTTCTACATCAAGTACACCGGCAAGGATGAGCCAGGCGTACTCGCCCTGCTTGCGTTCGGCAGCATCAGCGGCTCCGTGGGAGCTACGACGGTCTACCCACTCAAGTTAGTTCTCTCTTGCGAAAGGCACGCTGGCCACTTCAGGGAAAATGTTCTACTTGCTGATTTGGTCTCTTTCCAGTCTGGTGCGGACTCGATTGCAAGCCGCCGGAACGCCGGGTCATCCTGCAACGTGAGCAATGTTCGACTCCGCCGCCTTCCTTGCAGCTCGCTGATCGCCTCTTTTCTCTTCACTGTACAGCTACAACGGTTTCTGGGACGTGGTACGCCAGACATACCGCAACGAGGGCTATCTAGCATTTTACAAGGGTCTTGTCCCAACTCTTCTGAAAGGTACGTTCGTAGGAACGGTTGACTTGATCCGTTTGCAGCTACTCATTCACACGCTGTCGATATTCGTTCCCGCACTGCAGTCGTACCTGCCGTGTCCATCTCCTATGTTGTCTACGAGCAGAGCAAGAGGCGACTCGGGGTACACATTTAAAACCGTTGGTAGGGGTACGTAGACAAGTTCAGCAAGTGGTGCATAGACAGTTCAATCACTCGCGGCACCTTATAGATCATCTAATTGTTCATGTACAACAATCTCCAAAATCGCACCGACGAAGATCGGATGGCTGTGCTCTACCTCCGTGTAGGAGCTCTTCACCGCGTCCGTAAATCCACAATTTCCAGCTGATCCGCTTGCTCTAAGGTAACATGGCCCCATGCGTCGGTGTATAATGCCGGGATGTTAGTCCCATCAGGCTTGATGTGTGGATGGAACAGTCCGGGTTGGCGGCAGCTTATGACGGTCTGAAGGCCAGGTGGACTTGTCAGGCGGAACAAACCGAAAGAAGGATTGTCGTTGGGTGCACAAACAATTGCTATCGCCTGCACATTCGAAGAAAAGGAAGAACTCCGTGTGTGTCAGCTGCAGAAATTGAACAAACGTACCGAGCGGAGATGCCCGACGTACCTCGGGCAGCATCATCTGGTAGCTGGCATGCGTATGCAGATCCAACGAGCTCATGAAGCATGTCTGGCTCGGATGTGTGTGGATCCAGCCGAGCGTGACGACCTGCGCCTCGTCCTGAAACTGCATGATCTCCTCCTCGTGCTCGGTCGTGCAGGTATCTGGTGTTGCGCTCTGCTTGGGGATAGTGAGGTGTGTGACGACGAGAGAGGTCGCGTTGGGATCGGTCAGGTTGCGTGCGGGCCCCATCAGCAAGCCGCAGGTCTCGCGATTGGCGAGCGTGTTCTCGTATGCGATCGCGACGAAATGATCAATAATGCTTGCAGGAACGCGGAGGTTGCGCAGCGACTCGCCACCTTCGGTACGCGCTTGCGTCGCGGTGGCTTGCGCATGCTTGGACCCTGGCTCGCTAGCCTGCTGCTGGCTGAGCAGATTCTTCACCTCGAGTGCGATGCGACTCTGTGAGCGCACCAGACCGCCAGCTGCCATTTCCACTCCACGCGGGCTCAACTTGCGCTCGTAGTGGTGCAGGTTGCGTAGCGATGCGTCGCGTGGCAAACTCTCACGGAAACCTTCAGATGCAGACGCCGATGGTGCTGGCGTCGGCATGGCTATTCGATCCGGCGCCAACGCAGGTGCAGCAGCGAGTTGCATGGCAGGCATGGCGACTTTGCTAGGTAAGCTCGGCCGCAACTCGTATTTGCTCGGGATCGTGGGCCGTACCTGCTGCTGACCACCATCGCGCGGTCGCGCGGTAGCACCCTGCGATGTAGTATTCGACGACGGCGACGGAGACGACGTTGACGAAGATGCAATTGTCGTCGAGTAGTAATTCCCAGCCAGACGTGTGCTAGCAGCAAAGCCCTGCGTGGCTTGATGCGCCGACATGCGGTACGTGTTGGACGCTTTGAGGATAGGGTAGGAGTACTTTTCCGGTATGCGTGACCCTGCGCCTCCGGCCGCTACGGCAGCACGCGCAGCGGAGAGAGCTGCATCTCTCTTCGCGTTTGACCAAGGGGTAGAGACAAGTTTTGGGCTCGGCATCTTTGAGTGCGATCCGTTGAAGGGCTCGAGCGGCGAGGATGTGAAAGGCGACGTGCCGAGCATGTCGCGAACATCGAATCCTCCCGAGCCAGCTGCGCTGCGCTTCCCCTTTAACTCCAAGCTGCGAGGCCCACGAGGTTGTTCCTTCCGGATCTGATCGTAATTTCGCTCGTTGACCAACTCGTCTTGGCTTTCGCCTCCCCATTCCGGGTCATCGTCCAACCTCGCGTCCGGATGGTTCGCCCGCCACGCTTCGAATTGATCATTTGCCTGCACCTTGAGCTTTCCAATACGCTCCAGCACGTCCTCGGCATTCATTTTTGCTTTTCTGCGCATTTCCGAGTCGAGTTTGGCCCAGCCTGGATGCTTGGAGGGCAGGATCTCGAGCAGGAGCCGCGCAGCCTTGACGAGCGAGACCCACTCCTCCTCCAGCAAGATCCAGAGGGCTTCCTCGCTCGGCGCGGCCCTTTGCCGCTGTGCATTGCTTCGAGCTGCTGCTGCTTGATTTGAGTATGCGTCCGCTTGCCTTACCAGGTTTTCTGCGCCGGTGAGGTAGCGGTGAACGGGGATGCCCGGGCTGAACGGCATCGCCTCGACAGCCTTGTCCGCCAGTGTGGCCAGCTCAGCGATCGTGCGTGGTCGACGAAGCCGAAGATGAGGACGCTGGACATCCAAAGATTGGCCCAAGGAGGAGGACGGGGAGGACAAAGACTGTGAGGAGGAGCCGGCGGCGGAGCTGGAGGACAAGCGCGAAGAGCTAGACGTCGTCCCACCTGCTCGCAGGAAGACGGATGGAATGGGCCGCGGCATTTTGCCGCTGGTTCAGACAATTGAAGGAGATAGCTGTGTATATATGATCGACTTGATAACTTGAATGTGTATGCGATGGCTGATGCTGTACACTTCAGGGCACATTCATGTGGCTGTTCGCCGCAACTATATTTACCCTGCCTGACGTGGCTGTTCAGCGGGGACAACCGTCAACAACGCCGGTCGGAAACGCGACCGAAGAGATGCAAGCGATTCCGAGCGCCGTATTCAGGCTGGTTTCCACGACGGTACTTGCGGCCGACAAGCTGTAGCACATCTCCATCTTCGATACAATTAGCCTGAACAAGGATGAGCGTTGATAGACACCGCGACATGATGATCTCGTCATAGGAGCAACGGGCTCGTTCGTCTCGCATAGTGGGGGCATATCAAATGCCGGGGCGGTACTACACCAGTGTGCATGCGCGTTTGTTGATTCGGTGCATTGCACCAGATCATCGGTATCTCACCCCACAGCGTACAGCAATCAAAGTCAGAATCATTACCCTTTTTTGCTCGAGTTGCACTCGACCCACGGAGAATCAGATGCTTCTGTAGTCTCCCATTCACTCGTGAACGCGATCCGGTACTCCCCTCACCATGGTATATGGCACGCGAAACGCGGGTTGGTTCTGCGACGTCTGCTGGGCAGACGCCGCCACCGCCTTCGCCGGCGCTGCTCGACGGCTTCACGCGCGCCGGCGCTTCTCAACCTCACTTGCAACTCTGTACGCGGGGGCTGCAGCGTCAGAAAATGCTGCCCGCACAGAAATCAAGCCGCTTCTGGCTGGACTGCCGCACCGCTCGCGCTTTGCGTACAAGCCTCCGGAGATCGCTGTCGATCATCTTATCGTTGGCGGCGGCGCAGTCGGGTTGGCGATCGCCAGCGCGCTGGCGAAGAGATGGCCGGAGAAGACTACGTACCTAGTGGAACGACATACGGGTGTGGGCATGGAGATCAGTAGTAGAAATAGCGAAGTCATACATGCTGGTTCGTCAGGATTCACCATGAGGTGCTGCCGCCTATGTTCTTTGTTGACTTACCATTGGTGCCCTGCTTGTGGCCTACCTTCGCAGGTCTGTACTACCCCCCAAGCTCGTTCAAGACTAGACTATGTCTCAGAGGGCGTGAGCTCATGTATCAGCAATGCAGCAAGCGCGGACTGCCGTACAAGCAGACCGGAAAGCTGGTCGTCGGCGACGCATCCTCCTTGCACTATTTCCAAGAATTGAAAAAACACTGCGATACACTCCCCACCTCCCTCGACCTTTATCCCGATGGTCTCGGTCACAGTGTACAATTGAAGCGGCCTCCGGTGCGCCTCATATCAGGCGATGAAGCCCGCGAGCTAGAGCCAGACCTGTCCAAAGATGTCGCGCATGCGCTGTTCTCAGAACGGACAGGGATTGTCGGCACGCACGAGCTTTTGCAGGACCTGCACAGAGAGTTGGATGAGGGCGACAGCGCAGAGGTCGTGCTTGATACGAGTGTCGTTCGCGTCGATCCGATGCGCAAGGATTCGAGCTCCGCGGGTGCACCCGAGAATGGAAAGCGTGGCAAGGATAAAAGTAATGACGGCTGGGTCGTGCAGACTGTTACGGGGGATCCAGCCACCGCAGCGAACAATGCTTCCGACTCGATCTTGGCTCGCGTACTCATCAATGCTTCGGGGTTGAATGCACCTCTGGTACTGAACTCACTCATGCTTGATGGACAAGGGTTGCGTGATGAGAGTGAAGCGAATGGGGGTCTTGTGCCGATGTTCTACAGCAAAGGGAACTACGCAAGCTACAAGGGTCCTGGTGTCGGCAACGTCAAGCATCTCATCTATCCGACACCATTTATGGGTCATGAGTCGGGCCAGAAGAGCGGTTCCTCAGGAGGCAAGCACAGCCACCAGTCGCTCGGCACACATCTCACTTTAGACCTCGAGGACAACGTCCGCTTCGGGCCGGACACTCAGTGGCTCTCCGTGCCCCAGGACACGATCTCGCACGAGGAAGCCGTTGACTTTTGGTCGGCAGAGCTCGCGCCACTGCAGGAAGGTGATGTGCGTATTGCGCAGATGCACCGAGACATCACATCCTACCTACCCGGTATCTCGCTCGAGGGGCTCAGTCCAGATTATGCTGGGATACGACCCAAACTCGTCGGGCCCGGTGGGGGCTTCATGGACTTCACCATCCTGTACCATGCGTCGGAAGGACTTCAGGGCCAGCGGCTATGGCAGGCAGACGAGGTGCCGAGGGCGGCGCAAGGCGGCGGACTGATGCTTAGCTTGCTGGGCATCGAGAGCCCAGGACTGACGAGCAGCTTGGCCATTGCCGAGTATGTGCGTGAACGACTCGCCGCAGACATTTGGGGCGATCATAATCGAAGCAGCGCCAAGAGCAGCTGGAATGAGGAAGTTGGCGGTGGCAAAGAACTCGATGCTTGGGCGTAGCGCGTATTCATCACGTCAACGGGTCTCTTCGTCTATATTTTAAGAAACTTGTATTACATACAAGCTTCCTTAACTGACTGTCGCGAGTAATCACTCAGACGACGTCACTGGAGAAAATGTCTTCGTGGGGGCCAGATAGAAAAGTGGGATGTGTTCTAGGAGAGCTATGATGCCCACAGTCTCTCCGCCAGCGTACGTCTCGTTTGTCCCGCTGAGGAACAGTGGACAGGGAACTAGTCAGTTGGCGCAACTTCTCTTGCCGCACTTCAAATATAGCGCACGCTAACTAGTATGTCCACGGGTTCTCTCCATCCTTCGCCCTCTTGCCTGACATTTAGGCTTTCCAATCCATGACGTTGTGAAGCGTGACTGGGGAGACGAGCAGACGCGGACCAATCAGGTACGTTTGCGTTGTGGCGTTCGTGTTGCTTCGCATCATGTTGGCAATGCTGCTCTCCGCCTTGGAGAAATCCAGGCACAAGGTTCGCATGATCATGTAGCCCTGCAAATAAGAGAGACTCTCGAGTTAAACTTGCAGCCACCTGTCCGGAGCAACAAGAATACAGAGCACCCTGACGTGCAGATTCGTGGAAGGCAACAAAGATTGCCTTCAGGTACGGCGCGAAACGGTTCCGCAGATGGATACATGAGACACCTATCACCATACTTCCGCGGTTTATTGTTACAGGTCCTGCGACAACGGACATAGCGTCAGCATCCCTGCGAGCCCTTTTGCCGGAAAGAGAATGCTTACCAAACGCCTTGGAAGTTGCCAAGCCCTGTTTCCATGATTGCGCATGAAGTGCAAGGGGGTAACCCATCGCTGTCAGTGCACGTAGAGCTCCCTACACGACGGATCGTCGATGTTGTTAGATCAGCTTACGGTGCGATTACTCTGGAAGCCGCCAGTGTCCAGCGTCCACCAGCCCAAGCAAGTCGCCTGCAGTGAACCTTCATGGCAAGTGATGGAGATCCGTTCAGTACTCGACATCCTCACCGCTGGTCCTTCCCATCTTTGTTTCTCACAGCAGCCGAAATTCCGCTGGCCATTGATCGCTCAAGTTCTTCCACATGGCGGTCGTGTCGTCTCACCAGGTTATGGAGCAAATGACCTTTGCTCCACTGTAGCCTGACCGTCTGAGGGAGACGTATTGGCACCGTTCGCGGCTCTTTGTGCTGGTGGAATAGTGGCGGCCATCATCGAGCATGGACCGGTGTAGCTACCGGTACAGCTTGTCAACTTCCGCTTGAGCGTTGCCGTAGTGAGGCACTTCAGGTCTGGCACAAGGGATAGGCTGAATGTAGAGGGTTTGATCCTTGTTCTCGTACACTTCGCCGAAGGAGCCCCCGTTTGCTTGATCGATCCAGAAGTTCTTGATGCGCTTTTCAAAAGAGTTCTCCTTCATTGTACCGAACGGAAGACCGGGAGTCCGACTTCGCGCTGTCGTGGTTGCGAATGTACGACCTGTAAGCAGGAGACAGATGTTTCAACCAGAGCCTTCAGCAATGTTGGAGGACTTCCTCGGTTTGAAAATCACATATTGAAGAGTCCGTGATGCCCGGGCCACTACTGATAACGCTCAAATAGCCCTTTCCCTGCATCTTGGCGTAATCGACACTACCATCTTCCACATTTGGCCAAAACGATGCCATGGTCTCTACACCACTGAGGTTCTTGACCTTTTCAATCATCGCAGCTACTTCGGGCCACATGCCTTTGTCCAGTCCAAAGTCACCTTGGTAAGCCCATGAATTATAATTGATGACGGTCATTTAGAGGAATGTTGCGGTCGTGGAACTGCTAAAACAGCATTTAAATCTCGTTTTGTTTCTTGCAGCGAAGCTTGAATGCAAAGGTTGGAAGGCAAGTGGCCCAGGGAAAGGTCCGGTGGAAGCGAGGCTCTGCCAGTCAAAGCCGAGAGACGCTGCTACAATGTATCAACGTCAGCCTGTAGGGCGCTCATCACAAGCTAGTCGGTCACAGTCACTGAATCTGCGACGAAGCGGTTACATGAGGACCCAAATTCTGGAGGGTTGAAGTGTTTAGCAGTTGACATTCTCAGTGACATCTGTTTCAAGTTTTGGCAGCTCAACCATCCGGCCTTCGCTAGGATGCTCCAGAAGAAGTCATATCCCTCATTGCTTATGAACACTGGGGTGGGTGCGTACGTGAAGTTGAAAAAATCAATCGTCTGCCTCTTATTGTTGATCATGTGAGAATGTCTGCGTGCCCGTGGCATAGCTCTGCTCATCCGCTGTGGTGGTGAATGAAAATGTCGCACTGAGCGCGCGAAATGAGTAGTTGAACTTGTAGTGACTGGGGTAGAGACTTTTCAGTGCTGTGCACTCGATGGTGAGGAGCGTCTCGCTGGCTTACTCGTGGATGCTGAAGAAATCGGGATTGAATTCTTGACCACTGATCCCCAAAGTCGTGGCAATCGCGTTACCGATAAGAATTTAAGCGAACTGTGTGCCATTGACGTCGGTATTGTAGCTCCAAACACGAGTTTTATCATCGTCAGGGTCTTCCAGTGGCAGTTTTTATATGAAAGAGACGATATCCGCCTCAGTGGGTGGGCTCCATGGCCATGCACGAAAAGGGAAACCACCATTGCCGAAGGTGGCACAGGATCTGCTCGAAGCCATGTTGCGTCAATAAGCCTGTGGAGTTGAGCGGAAAGTATGAGAAGTTGCGTGCTGTATGAGTCGAAGAGTGGCCTACTCTGGCAGGATCTGCCCTCAGAAACGCAAGGGCAAGCAATCTTCACATGATTCTGGTGATGGTGAGGTGTTTTCTACATGGTAGGAGGAACTGGTCGATCGTTCATTGCCAAGCGCCCCTTCCTTTATTGCTTGATCAACCCGTGCAGCACCACATGAATATAAGCATGAAATCATTGCCATCCCGGGAGAGAGATCATTCCTTCTAGTTGCGGCTATGTGCTTAACGTACATGGTGGAGATGGTCACAGAGGAGCCAAGGAACGCAGGTTGGAGCATTTTGCCCCGTTGAAGCGGTGCCTGGCACGAAGCCGTTCCCCACGCTTCGATTGTTCTTTGTCCCTCATGCATCGATGGGACAGAATGCATAAATTTGTGCATGTGAGCGTCGTCGACGAGCCTGTCGATGAAGACAATGTGATGATGATGCGATGTAACGGTGAGAGCAAGCCAAACTGCCAAAGGAACCCGATGCAGGCGAATGTCGATCATAGTGGGCGCAGTTAGGGAGGCGATGGACCAACTCGCCGGAAGCGCACTAGCCCGCAATTTACCAGCCGAGAGCGGCCCGAGCGTCCAGCGGACCCGAGGCTCCGAGTTGGATTTATTGCGCCGGCGAGGTTCCATGTTCTGTCCATGGTACCCTTTTTGTTATCGAGGCTCTCGCCTTCTCGGACAAAGACAATCGTCAACCGATTTCAATCAAAGGTTTTGCGTCATAGAATATCAACATATTAAACTGGGAGAAGCCAGATCAGCTGTCAGTGCGGCTCGCAACGAGCCTGTTCATTCCGTAATGAAGTCGCAAAGTACAGGTTTTCTACAGGCCTCCAGCTGGCAGCTTCCTTCACCACCAGCACATCAGCACACGCTTGCGGAGCGATAGGATGCATCGGATACATATGCTTTTTTACAAGACACACGGTTCCAATTCACAAAGGGAAAGGGCGCACAAGAGACACGCGGACCGGAGCTGGGGAATCAATGTTGGGCGCCTATTGTTTAGCACCTTCCAATGCTATTGAGAGGACTGAAGACTGAGTTGCTTTATCATGTCTGTACCGGAGCTCGGTTGCCCATCAGAATACGGCCATGTAAGTCGAGCCTACATAAAACGGGCCTTTCCCCGAAAGGAGTGCACAGATCTTGGCTTAAGCGACAAGTGACACTCGTCTGAAACAAGAAATTTTGGTTTCGCCATGATCTCGTCTCCATACTGCCATTGCGAGAATATAAAGCAACCGAAAGCGTAAGATTGACCTGATTTGTGCGGATGGTGGCCATGAAGAGTCTCCAACTGATAATGATCGAGAGTCAATCCGAGAAAGGCGCTGCGAGGGGGGAGGACGCTCGAAAGCCAAAGTGAAAGTCTGACGAGAAGAAGGCGAAATAGAACATGAGAGCCATACGACCATCTGAAAAACCTGGAAGCGAAAGAAAATGCGCGAGGGCACGCCACATGCAGTTGCTTAACGGGTGTAGCAGTTAACTACGTAGAAGGTCGCATCAGAACCACCGCCGGCGAGCCAGGTCAAGTATATGTCGCCGCTGCTGTAAATCCCTGACCGCCAACATGGCCGCCGTTTTATTCGATTGCATAGTTGGTGATGAGGACGGATATTGTGGCGGCGTTCTGGTTCAACTCTAGGTCGCGGGTGAAGGGCTGCAGAAGACTCTTCGATTGGTGGAAGGTAGAGTCATCCAAGGTGTCGACGTCGTCAACGTTGCATGCCGCGTAGCGGAAAGATAGGCCAGTGGTACTCGTGCTTCGCAATGAGAATGTCGATTTGTCCCGGACTACCAGCGGAAATGGCGTTCTGGGTCTTGGAGATGCACGTTCAACATTGGACTCGATGTCGGTGGCCAGGTCCAGAAGTCGTCAAAATTTCCTCGTAGTCTGAGCCCAGGGCGGCTTTTACGCCTGATCTACGGGCTCTGTCAATGCTGTCAGACGAGTAGTACCCTTTGAAGGTGAGATAATGCTGGACGAGGGCGTCACTTCCGGCAGAATAGTATTCTAGGGAGTCCAAAGTCCTCAAGTCAATCTTCTTCGTCGACGCTTTGGTACTGGTGATCTTTGCAATTATGGGCGTAATCTGTTGCAGACAGAGGTTTCGCAATCAGCGGCTGAACCACACTAAGTGATGCGAAGCAACGACAGAGCGCGCGAGAGCAGTGAGTCTGAACAGGATTTTTGGATGAAAGGGAATGCGAGGGCTAGTAGAGGTCAGGACGGCCGAGGAATGTTTAAGATTGACTACAGTAAGCCTGCGTGAGCGCAGGGAAAGCTGATAAGGGGCAGTAGGAGGATGAAGGAGACAAGGCCCCCGCCTCTCATTCCTCTTTATATAGAAGAATTCCCGTTAAAGGACGAACATGGTGCGTGTACGGTCCCATCCATAATTTGTACTGCGTATGGCGCGTTGCCTACTATAGACGTTTGAGGGCATCAGTGAAGAGCGAAGCGTATCAAAGAGAGGTGATAGTGGTGACCGCTGCTGGAAAAATGAGTACTCGCTCTTGTATTTGAGGTTGAGCGGCTCTCTTGGCCTCTTGGCGAGCAGATCTAGAGAAGGGAAAGAATACCAGAGGCGTAGTATTGAGTTGTAAAGTGGACTGGAAACAATGGCTGACAGTACGATGAAAGAATAAGATTTCATGGAAATGGCCACTATCCGTGTACTCAACTGAGTCCCCGTGCCCGCCAGAGTCACTGTACAAGCTTCAGGAAGGCCGGTGTGGGGAGCGTTTTGCTAATTCATGTGAGTAACAGGAGAAGTCGTGCGTGCGCTTGCCGAGATCTGTCATCCTGGTCGGCCCACTTCCGTAAATATTAGAGAGGGATATGGCATGGTGATGCGCTCCGAGGACGATGCCTTCAAACGAGTTACAGGGAGTGGCAAGCCATCGGCTAGCCAAACTCTTGGCTCTGTCGATAGATTGCTGAAGCACTTGGCACTTGACCATTTGCTCCGTAATGAACATCAAACGATTCGCAAGTGGATCAAAATGTCGAAGGTGCGACGCGGTCTTCTGGCGAGTCTTCCCGCTGCTCTGCCCAGTCAGCTTAAGCATTTGGCATCTGAAAATAAAAAGGGAAGTCATCATCAAGGATGTCTCGATCCAATGTTTATTGTGTCAACTGCCAAGCATGCGGCTGACAGCGGAAGAAAGATTGGGGAATCTCATTGATTTCGCACCCCCGGAATGAGTGGCAACAACTATGCTTGCTTTATGGATGTGGACGGCCTTCTTGCCTGTCCGTGCATGTGGTCATTGGATGATGTAGTCCGGAAGTGCCTCGCCTGCATTCTTCTCAGGATGGGCTTCCCCACCAGCCCTAAGGTTGTCATCCCAGGCGCGGCTGGATTAGCAGCTTGCATTGATGCGTTGAGCGAGCTCTACATACACTCCTGGAAAGCGTGTATGAATGAATGCGAGGTGCTACAGGCGTTCAGGGTAGCCCTGCAAGTCGGGATCACAGTCATTTTCAAAGCCTACGCGTCGCGTTCAGTGATCTCCGAGCGCTGTCGCTAAGAACGTTTGGGACAGTGAGGCTGATGCCATGCAAGCCACAACGGCGCGCTGGAGTGTGGAATCTTGTTGGATGCCATTGAGTTCAGTCAAAGACCAAGGTTGCCGCTTGTGCAACCGGAAGAAGTGGCTGACTAGCGTAATGAGCAATGTGACACGTGAGTCCTATCTTATCCTGTTCTTCTGTATGGCTTTGAGGGTGGCGTAGATGGAGAAATCGAAACCTGATGGGGCAGCTTGGGGCGCACAAAGGAGTATATGAACCCCAGCCTCCAGAAGTTAGCTCTCCAGACTCCCAGGTGCAGCCCACGAGCAGACTCCAGCTGGATAGCTGCTCGCAATCCCCAAAGCCTAAGCGACAAGCCTCCATCATGATGCGTGCTTAGTGACTGCTTGCGGTTTCGAGGCCTCGTCAATTTTATGATCTGTCACCTGGTGTGACATTGCATCATGATCACTGCGGAAGAGAGATCATTTGACCATTGGGAGTCGAAGCAAGCGACACGGGAGGAGACATTGAGGAGCGGAGACATGCACAAAAAGGAAATGAGAGAGGATGAGGTTGTCTTGTGGACACAGCCTGATACGAGAAGGCAAAATGGGTTTAGGATGCAACCCTATTTATAAATATGCTGGACCGGCTCGCCCAACGCGTACATGACGCTTGAAGGCCGTTTGTGGCTGCTGTGACAAGTCGACCAGTTCATCGAGTCGCGAAATTAGCTTGAAAGCATGTTACGGAATAAAATACAAATGATGATCAAGGTGTTCCCATGACACTCTTCCCCTCTTGCGTGAATGCGTTCCGTCGCGCGGAGGAAAGAAGCGAATACCAAAAAGTCGGGCCTCTAAAAGTAGACCATCCGCTGTCGCTCGGTCAAAAGGCTCTCGTCGGCACGTGAACGTCTTTGCTGGTCCGTTCGCCCGTTGCTTGGGCTGCCTTTGCGTGCCTAGGCGAGTGAAGGAGCGAGGTAGAAGCTGGGCGGGCCGGCTGAGTTCGCGTAGTTGCCGTCGATCCAGAACGACTCCCACGTGTTTGTGCCGGCATGCGTGGTGAATCCTGCGCCAAAGTTGTTCGCAAACGAATACACTTGTGACGACTTGCTATTCGCTGTAGGCTGCTGGTAACTATTTGTTAGGTCAAAGATCTGCCGGTACGTCGCCGCCGAGCTGGCATTGTCGACAGACGAGCAGGACGAAACGTAGACATTCCCGGCGCCCGTCGCGGCGTTTGTGCCATACGAGACGGTGAGACACTGGTTGTTTTTGGATGGGATGCGGACCTGGCCGAAAACGCCATTCTGGTCGTAAGAGGCTGGGTCGATGATATTTGCATAGTTGCACTTCCACATCTCGGCCGTCACGCGATGGCCCGATCCAGATGCTGAGGAAAGGGGTGTAGTGATGGAGCAAGCCATGCGGAGAAGCCCATCCAGTCAGCACATTGACTCCCTGCTACTGGGCATGCGACACCGTGCAGAGACTCACTGGTTAAGATCTCTTCTTTCACACCAGCGCCAGTCGGTCCATCATAATTATCCAAGCTGTAGTGCGCGTTGAACGAGAGGCTGCAGGGGAGCACAGAGGACCATGCGAGAAAGGAAAGGAGGCGCCTGGTCAGTTCCACTGCGGCAGACGACGCATTTCGACGTGGAGCATCCAAACTCACTAAGGCCTGATGGGCTTCGTTGCCAACGCCTTGTAAGAGGCGTCGTCGATGATAGACAAGTAGAGCGTTCCTGTGCTGTATTTCGAGCAGCTGAGTGGGAGGGATGTTGATGGGGTTGCAGCACAGAGCGACGACGAAGGATCACAGTAGCCCGATGTGCAGCCAGAGTCTTTGTAGCACGTGTTTCCACCCGGCTTGGTCACGCTGCATGAGCCTGCAGAGTTGCTGGCACGCTGCGACGGCGTCTGCCGGCAGTACCCACTGTTGCATTGTGACTACCAGAAATTAACGCAAAAGAGAGAGAGAGAGAAAGAACGGTGAACCGTGCGTCCAGTTATGAGTTTTGGATCAAGAAGCACCCGCAACAAGACACTCACGTCATTCAAGCAAGTCGCACCATTGCTGAAACCGCGGGCCTTGAGGGCGACGGGGCTGCCAGCGACAGCGGCAGCCAAGGTAAAGAGCGAGGCGAGCTTGGTGATGAGCATTCTGTTGTTTGGCGGGGAGTGAATGCGTGGTAGTGGTCCCTCATGGGTCAGGATGAGTTGAAAGGATGACGGATGGGCGAGGAACTGTGGAAAGAGGGAAGATGGACGTCACCACTTTTGAAGGACCCGGAGCTTTGGGCTTTGGTGCACGGGAAGAAGATATATAATGTCAACGGAGAGCCACCACCAAGCCCATCCACATGGCGACAAAAGATGAGGAGAGGCTATGCACTTTGCATATGGGAAGGCAGAGAGAGCAGCCAGTAACGAGAGAGAGATATGTTTCATGGGACGCTTTGTTGAAGACTACAACGGGATCAACCCATCACCTATTCGTCGTCAAAGAAAATCCCGGGGGAGGGGACATGCATCCCGCTCGCAGCGCTGCTTGCAGTCGCCCAGTGCCCAGTCGCCTGCAGGTGTGTGCGCTCATCCGCCACATGGCGCCGGGCCAGGGCTAGGGACATCGCCCACTACCGCTTCTGCCAGTGCTCATATCATCACATCACCGCTCCGTCAAACGCGGGCAGGTTAGAGTGGGGTACTGGCAGACAAGGGAGCAGGGTTAGGTTGCAAACGGTCAGAGGGCTCTCTCGTGAATGCATCCAACGGTCGTATGAGCCATCAGCTGACTGAAAAGCCGCTGGCTCTCTGCAGACTGTCCGCGGATGCAAATTCTGGTCAACTCGACGTGGAGACTGGCACACTGCCCTCTCCTTTTGCAGATCCCAAGCAGGGCTCAGGAACGGAGTAAATGCACAAGCAAAGGAACAGTAAAAGCCACAGCCACACTTTTGTGGAGAACCCCCGCTGGAATACGAGGCTTCAGGATCGGTCACGTGAATGTTTGTGATGTGTCCCGCGACGCTTCTGGCACAAGCAAATGGTAGCAGCAGATGGGGGTTAGCGGCTGCCCGACCTTTCGAACACATCTGGGCATTTTCGGGGCTTCAACTCGAGAATTGGAGGCGAGGGCGCAGAACGTATATATGTAGTGCTTGGATGAAGGTGTCATGTATGGACGCGCAGGCAGAAAGCCCAAGACGAGACATGAGAACATCTGAGGTCCTTGACCAAAGGCACTGCACGTACTGGACAGCTTGTAACCCTGTAACCCTGGCCATGGTCAAGTCTTTTCAAGTCTCAAGGATCAAAACCTTGATGGAGCCGGGAGTCTTTCGAAGAGCAGGCCTTGCAAGTCGAATATGTTCCAAAGTTTGCTAGCTGCACGAAAGAGACCGCCAGAAGCAACGGTACATGTTCTCCTGACACAATGGTCGCCTCATGGACCATGGCGCAGCGGCCCTACATCTTCAAGTACGCAACTAGATCCGAAGGAGTCTGGAACCTCAAACCTAGAGCCTGGAAAAGGCTGTGAACCCAACGAGCGAGTACTTGTAGCAGCTGCTCTGCTATTGTGCTCTTGCGCTGGGCGATGACGCTTGCGAAGTGCGAATCTTCATCGACGCACTGAACGTAGATTTGCAGGCACGAGTGTGGTCAAAGAATGCTGGTGCTTGCTACAACTAAAAGTCTGTCCATGGAGTACAGTGAGATAGGTGATATATACATTGCAGGGGTTTGTGTTCGCCCATTGCTTGCATCCGACATGGCCCATATAATGCATCTGTCGTTGGAAACATAGTACACCAACATCCAACGTTCAAACCAGCTGCCTTGCGATGTCTGCGAAGACATTCGCTGTCTGCGGCACAGACGACGACTTCTCACCCGCAATGTCGTGTTCGTCCCCACGCTCCGCATCAGCATCCGCAGAAGATTGTCGGTGGAACGCAAGCGCAAGCGCAGCCGGTTGACCGCAATCTCCTGCGGCGCTGAGCGCAGGCTCGAGCGGGACGCGGCCCAGGATGGGGACGTGCAGGCGTTGCGCAAGGGCGTCGAACGCGGCGGAGGAGCCAAAGAGCAGGAAGTTCTTGCCCGTGTCTGGCGAGATAAAGTGCGACATGTTGAGAATCAGGCCGGCGATCTGAAGTGTATTTAGATGCAGTTAGTGATTTGTCGAAAGTAGGACCGTTGAATGCGCCACAGTCAAGAATAAAAGAAGGCGTCGATCCGCGACGGAGTTTCTGTGCTACTCACAGGGACGTTGGTCTTTCTGAACAGGCTTACGCCCTTTCGCGCGTCGAGGAGCGCCACCTCTTGCGGAGTGCTGACGACGACTGCCGCGTCAACCTGAACAAGCTGCGACAGACTGAGAGCCACGTCTCCCGTACCTGGCGGCATGTCAATCACGAGCACGTCGAGGCTGTCGCCACCTTCATCTGCACCGATATTTTCCCCTGACGATGGATGAGGGGCGGCGTGTGGTCCGGAGCTGCCGGTTGATGCGCGCCAGTCGACATCGAACAACAGCTGCTGCACCGCTTTCATGACCATCATGCCCCTCCAGACGACGGGCGTATCTTCATTCCCACCTTCCGCGGTCGCAGCACCTTCGAGCAGGTCCTTCGGCTGCGCGCTTGGCGGCAGAAGGAAACCCATGCTCATGCAGGCCACTCCGTGACTGTACAGAGGAAGCAAGGCGCCCTGCGCTGACAGCTCGGGTTCCCCTGCATTCTGCAGCCCCATCAACTTCGGCACGGACGGTCCAAAGACGTCCAGATCTAGGAGACCGATGCGCCTTCGTCGCTGCTGCTTCCGCCTGTGCCCTTCTCCATCTCCCGCTGCATTCGACTGCGACGGCGAAGTGAAGGAAAGCGCGACGGCCAGATTAGCTGCAATGGTGCTTTTGCCGACTCCCCCTTTACCAGATGACACGACGATCACCTTCTTGACGTGCGGTATCGGTCGACGCTTCGGCGGACCTCCACCCCTGCTTGGCATTTTCGGTGCCGGCCGGACATTGTTGCGAGGAAGACCCTGTTGTATGTAAGAAGGAGGCGCACATATTGCGGTCAATCGTCCGAAAGAGCTCGAAATCTAGCTAGAAGATTTAACATACAAGAGGATTCTCGTGTGATCGTGCGTTCGATGAGCTGGACATTCTTCTCGCATGCTGCAGCAGCAGCGATGCCGTCAGCAAAGTCGCCGATGTATCGACAGCTGACGACCCTTCTCCCGTGCTCGACAATGGTCGCCACTGGCGCCATGATGATGCTGCATCTTTCCTCCCGACTGCTCCAGCGAGGGGGTTATGCAGGCCGCGCGAGACTGCAAGACACCGCCGACAGAGGCTCATCGCGTGCGGCAAGCGCTTCTGCATGGACGAGCTGTAGGCATATGTGGCGCGGGTGATTCTATCCAAAGAGATGCGCCTTGGCCTGATTTTTGCAACGATGTGATGAAGGGAGAAGTCAAGTGGACTTAAGTCAACCCCAGTCGCATCTGTCGTTGTCTTTTCTCGGCACTCGGCAAGCGCTCTCTTCTCGCTGGCATCTCGATGAACTCATTGCTCATCACGTCACTATATTAATGTCTTCGTTGTCTCTCGGCCGAGTGATGCCAGGCTGTGGGTCTCGCCGTCGTCACTGGTAACGACGCTCAAAGCACAGCGACCCTATCAACGATCGTAACCATTCTCTCCCGCGCAACAAGATCCTTGTATACATAGCAGGCAAACACCTTGGTCATGGTAGCATCAGCGCTTGAGTCATCAATGGTTGGTCTTTGTATACAGCCAAGCTGACCGCGTGCAGCACAGTCCATCACAATAGCTTTGCCGTCTGCAACTCTGGGCCAAGCCGAAGCGAGCCGCAGACAGTCGCGAGTGCGTCTCATTCAGCTCGATTCGACCGAAGTCAACCCTCGCTCGATCATCTTACCATCAAGTTTGCAGTCCCCACGCATCTAGTATCTGCAAGCTGCAGCAGCCAGCACTGAAGGACACGTAATAAAGCGCGTCTGGAGCGAGAGGATCAAAGATGGGGACAGGCTCATGGGACTATATCAGCAAGTTCATTCTCATAGGCGACTCCGCCGTCGGCAAGTCGTCCATCCTTGTGCGACTGACTGATGATCGGTTCTTAGCCGACTCGTGAGTGTTGGTGATGGTGATGTAACAGTGCGAAGAGACCGAGCTCGATGTGAAGGCGCAGCACGGTGGAATGCATTTCTTGCTTCGCTCGCGCCTTGTCCTCCAGCGTATTATGACGATAAAGAGACCATGATGGGCGCTGACAATACGTTTTCCCGCGCCGTACATGCGAACCCTCAACCGCTTACGTGAACTCGACGCGTCGTTTTCGCGCAGTGACCCCACGATCGGCGTCGAGTTCGGCTCGCATGTGATCGCGCTTGACAATGGAGAGCGGATCAAAGTACAAGTGTGGGACACCGCCGGCAGCGAGAGTTTCCGTTCGGTGAGCATAGCTAACTGTGTTTAGCCCACTCCGCTTTCGCTTCTAACCATGTGCGCCTCGCCTCGCCTTGCCTCGCCTCACCCCGCTCCGTACCGGGCCGTGCCCATGTGGCCGCGCGTTTACTGTTTTCTAGATAACGCGATCCTATTACCGCGGCGCAGCTGGTGCGCTGCTCGTCTTTTCCCTCACGCACCGCGCGTCGTTCGAGCATGCCAAGGAGTGGCTGGAGGATGTGCGGGAGCACGCAGAGGAAAGCGTCAGCGTCGTGCTCGTGGGCAACATGCGCGATGTCGCCGATGCCGACGCTGATGCCGACGCTGATGCTGATGCCGTCTCCGGGAATAGCAAGGAGGGCGAGAATGCGGGCGAACAGAAGGCCCTGGCAGAGCAAACGGGCGAAATGCCAAATGCGGCAGTGGCCGGGGTGACAGCCGAAGGAGAGAGCAGCGGTGGAAAGCCGCGGTCAGCACGGACAGGTAATGGCCCATCAGTAGGAGCGGTCGCCGCTGCTAAGAGCAAGCGGAAAATCGGACCGGCGCGGCAAGTGAGCGTAGAAGAAGCAAAGGCGTTTGCAAGGAAGGAAGGGTGAGTTTTCGGCCATTCCAATCTCAATACGGCAAGTATTTCCACTGTTCCCTGGATATTGACATGCTGCAATTGTCATGTCGCTTCACAGCCTGATGTACGTCGAGACGAGTGCCAAAACAGGAGAGGTGCGTGGATAACCCAAGGTTCAGGGAATCTTTTCCGCTCGCGTGTATTTGTCGTCCTAACTTCGCTCTTTCCACCCTTGCCTTTGCAGAACATCGAAGAAGCATTCACAAAAGCGGCGCGCGACATACACACTAAGTTCCTCGCGCGCCTTGCCGCGCAAAAATTGCCCGGCGGCGGCGGCGGAGGCAGCACCAGCACTTCCTCTGCAGCAGCGGTGGGCGAGGCTGGCCTGCGCCTCGGACGTAGCAGTGCCGGCGGCGGCGTGAGCCTCGAGACGCCCGTGCGGAGTGCGGACGGGAGAGGGAAGGATGGGAAGGGCTGTTGCGTCGTCATGTGACGCAGAGTAATAGCCGGCCGGCCGTCCGTGCCTGTGCCTATGCATAAATTCCTGGTGGTCAAAGACTTCGAGTCACCTCTGCATGCGCCGCCGCCGCGGTTTTGTGTACCTGCTTGTTGTACTTGTAGTCTGAATCTGAATCATTGCCATTCACGCCAACCTATTCTTGCGGAGAGCATGCATGAATGCATAATCTGCCTGCGTTCCTGCTTGCGTTCCTGCAGCTCTTTTCATTCACACGGACTACGAGAAGACAGAACGAGAACGGCACTTGCTGTTGCTGGGACGCGTCATTTGCTGCTGTCTAATTCCAGTCGATTGCATTTTGGAGGTATAAACTAGTAAAACAAAATCCACTCTGCTGCGCTGCGCTCCGCATGCGCGCTGGCTGGCTACTTGAATTCATCTTCAGCCTTGCGGATGCGCTCCTGGTCCTCCTGCTTGCTCTTGCGCTCAGCGTCCTCCGCGGCGGCGGCCTCCTGGTCCTCCTTGATCTCCTTGATCTCCTCGTCAATGCCGATCGCCTCGTCAAAGTCCTCCATGGTGCCCTCGCCCGTCGGGCGGAAGAGGAAGGGCTTGATAACGCGCTCAAAGTACGGGTGCGGCTTGCCTTGCGGGTTATTGCGCTGCAGGACCAACCCAAAAAAGAGGGGAGCGGATGTGTCAGCAGAGAGAAATGGCCAACGAGCGACCGCGGGGGAAGGGTGGCAGCTCGACTGACCCTGACGAGCCTAAAGTACTCTGCGTAGACATTGCCGTCCGCCCTGCCGATGGGACTGTTGATGATGTGGTCGCTAATGGCGAACGCGTCGATCAGGGGGATGGCAAAGGCGCGCACGCGTGTGCAGCACTCGGACACCTTGGCCTGCACGAGGTCGAGCTGCTCGGCGCTGAGCCAGCGTGCGCGCAGGAAAAACGCAGCCTTCTCCTCCATCTGCCAGAGACCGTAGAAGCGCGCAAGCAGTGCGAGGTGCTCCTGCACCTTCCTGTCGTCGGCGCTCTGCAGCGGCAGGCGCTCAACAGCTTGCTTGAACTGGCGGAAGATGAAACAGCTTGAGTGGACGCTGGCCGCGACGAAGCGTACCTGGCTGCACTTTTCATTCGCGGCGTCCTTGCTCATGCCCTGGTCGATGCAAGCCTGGAAGTCCTCAGCGGCCTTCTTGACGGCATGCGCTGCGACCGTGTCCCAGCCCCGCTGGATGCCGTCGAGGCTGTCGAGGTCCGCGTCGCGCCCTGTGCGCTGCAGCACCGTCTGCAGCTCGTTGAGGTAGACACAGCCAGCACGCAGGTGCTTGCCCTCGAGCGCGTCCTGGTACGACGCGATGAGCGAGCGGCCCGACTGGAGGGCGAGGATGGTGTTGTCTCCCTCCCAGGTGCAGTGCACGGCAAAGTCGGCATACATGGATGCAAAGCCGTTGTATGAGCTGTACCCGTGCCCACCGCACGCCTGACGCGCCTTGTCAATTGACTCGAGTGTGGCCCAGGTGCAGAAGGCCTTGAGGCCAGCGCTCGTCGCGTGCGTTTCCTTTAGAAGCTCAAGTGTCGCCGCGAGGTTGGGGTCGCCCGGTTCGAGCGCCTCGAGCGCCTGGCTCGTCTCCTCATACAGGCGCACCATCTCGAGCGCGGTGAAGCCAAAGGCGACGGACTGTGCGAGCAGGGGCATAAGCCTGCGCTGGTGGATCGGGTAGTCGAGGATCTGCGTCTCGAGCGGCTCCTTGGGGTCGCTCTTGAACTGTCGGCGCACGGCAGCGTAGCGCACGGCGATCGTCAGCGCCTTTTTCGCCATGTTGGCCGCGTCAGAGACCATCGCGGCGCGGCCTTGAAGCAGGGCGCCGTAGGTGAGCTGTTGCAGCGGCGGTTCGCGCACCTCGCCGTCGCGCGTTACCTGGGTGTGCTTCATGAGCATATACGCGCGCGGGATGCGCACATTAGTGAACTGCACGTAGCCATTATCGATCGAGTCCCGGCCCATTTTCTTGCCAATGTCGCCGACATTAATCCCGGGGAGCAGGTCGAACGTCTGCGGGTTGCGTAAGGGGACGATGAACGTCTTTGTGCCGTACGAGCGGCCGTTGACGATCAACTTGGCAAATACGGCGCCGTGGGTGGCGGTCTGCGCCGCGCCGCCGATCCACCACTTGGTGGCGCCAAGGTGCGGGGTGTGTATGATGAATTCGTCCGTCTTTTCGTCAAATGTAGCGGTGGTCTCGAGGCCAGCGACGTTGGAGCCGTGGGCGAGCTCAGTCATGCAGAAGCAGCCGAACATGCCGTTGCAGCCGATGACGCCCTTGTCCATCCAGTAACTGAACTGGTTAGGCGTCGCGCCGGAGCGGATAGCGCCGAGAAAGAGGCCGTAGTGGACGCCGAAGCGTGTCCAGAAGCCTGGGTCGAAAAGCCCGATGAGTTCCATGCGCTTGGTGAACTCTTCGACGCTCTCGTTGGTGACGTAGTGGACAAGCGATGCAATGCGGGACATGGTGCGCTCGCGGAGCTCATCCTTAGTCAAATCGTGGTAGTCGCCCATGTAGAAGAGCGGGTTGCGCTCGAGCTCGAGCATTTGGCGCTCCTTGAGCTTGAGCATGCGCTCGTTGCCATGCATTGCGATGGACATCTGATGAAAAGGAGCGGACGTTGGTTGGCTCAGTGCTGCTGCTTGGAGAATAAAGCCGGGAAAGAAAGGAAAGAGAAGAGAGGCCTCACCTTGCGTACGTCAAAGGGCGGATTCTCACGCTCTGCGAGCATGGTGCGCACGGTGGTCTTGTCGATCCAGGTGTTCATGATGGGCACTATTCTACGAGGGGGGAAGCGGGGGTGCGGGTCTCTCCCTCTCCTGTCGACGCCAGACACGAGGGTGGGGTGACAGCCACTCGGTGAGAGGCTGCAATGTGTATATCGTATGTCTCCTGGGCAAGGGCTCTGCGTGTGGTGCGTGTGAGAGTGGGTGAGCAAGCGATGGAGGTGATGGGGAAGGGAGGGGGAGGGGGATGGGGATGGGGGGAACGGGGTATGTATATGGCGGGGATGGCGGATCGACGGGTGGGCGGCGGATCCGGTGAGGATCGGGGACCGGACATCAAAGTACAGCATCTAGCCGGGCGGAACACAAAGAGAAGAGAAGACTGTTATTGGCAGGCCAGCAAGGGTAGACCTCCCCCGGCACGGCACTGCACGGCACTGTTGACCAGTCTGCTGCCACTCGGCCGCCGCACTATACATACATGCATGGGTCTCACGTCGCTCACTCAGAGCCACACGCGCTCGCCAAAGCCGCCGCCCGGCCAGGCCAGGCCAAGCCATGCCGGAGCCTCCGGTGAGGGACAAGCGGTTTCACAGAGTGGAAGACCCCCGCGTGAAAGCAGCGGGGCACAACCCTATTCCTTCAAACACTCTTCTCACCACCATCCTCCACACACGACAGGTTGTATTGTAACAGCTGGGCAGGCACTCAAGCTGGCCGCGACGACGACGGTGGATCGAAACGATGCGTACCGTATAACAGCCAGCGTAAAAAGGTTAGCTCTACCCCTCCAAGCACACCGCATACATCGGCTGCCCCACACGCGTGCGCACCCCGCCCTCACAACATGGCGACCGTAGAGGCAGCAACAGCCGCCGTGTTCATGTCCCCCTCCGCCTCGCCCACCGCACCGGGTCCCGGCGGAGGCAGCAGTGCGGAAAGCTTAATCCAGCACGCGCGGCAGCGCAATGAAACAGCACCAGCGCAGGCAGATGAAGAACAGGAAGAAGACGACCATTCCCTCGTGCCCATCGGCGCAGCATACCTCGGCGCAACGCGCGCCTCGCTGCGAAGCGCATCGCGCTCGCCCGGTTACAACTACCACCACCACCGCAGTACCGGCCGCAGCATAGCAGCTCAGCAGCAGCAGGAAGAGGAGGATCTCGCAACCGCCGATCTGCGTACCGTCTTCGACCCCGCCACGTGCGCCAAGCGCGGCCGGGTGGCCGTCCCCGCGCGCGTCGTCCCGTGGCATCCGGTTGCCTCGAAGAGAAAGCAGAACCAGAACCAGAAGTACAACAAGGCACAGCGCATCATGCGCAGCAACGGCAATGGCACCGAGAATACCACAGCAGCAGAGGAGGAGGCGGAGCATGAAGGCGCCGAGGAAACGTTCAGGATCTACTACGAGGTCCACGGGCACGGGCCCAAACGCATGGTCTTTGTCATGGGCCTCAACATGGCTTGCTTCGGGTGAGTCTTGTCTCGTCTCGTCTGTCCCCAGCTCTTTGAGGTATAGAGTCAAGAAGGGACATCGGACAATGATTCAGGTGTATACATTGAGGCCTATTTAGCGTCGAGGGACCCCATCGCCACAGCGTAAGGGAACCTGCCTCTAATACCGCGATGAATGCAGCTTCAACCGTAGCCTCCGCTGACGTCCCCTCTTATGCCCTGCTCCCCCTCCCTCTCTCCCTCTCTCCCTCTCTCCCTCTCTCCC